AAACAACAGAACTAAAGGTACATCACTCAGGGTCAAAGTGGTTGCTCAGGTCCATACATTCTGAGTACAACACGGAGTTGCCATCACGATTTTCCACTTATATTTCAGCTACATGTGCAGAGAATAATACAACGTCCTCATTGTACCTCATAAGCATGACCTCCGAGCATTTGTTTCATTTTGTAAGCTTGTCTGCCGTGCGTACAGACTTGTCAATGCTTGTGACTAGAGCATGCAACATGCCACGGAGTTAGCCGGGGTATGCTACCTTTATAATTACAGCTATGAAGATAGCCGGTTGTGACCGGTCATGACTGGTTATTACCAGTCACTACGTATTTACTAAAAGTGCAAGACCCATAACCGGACCTCGTTCAAGCGTACTCTAACCGTTGACCGCAGTCACAGCATGACTGGTCAAGGTTCGGTCTTGTTTCGGTTAACGTCCGGTCAGCCTGACCTGACCTTCAACCTCTAAAGTTAGATATGGCGCTTACCAGCAAGGGTCTGCGGCTCCCACTTCTTCTCCTTCACTTGAACCTCAGGGGGATAAGTGAAACAAAGTCTGCAACTTTTTCCTTCGGTCACGGGAAAGCTACTGTGCACAAAATTTTTAACCATAATTTTAAGGTCAAATTACCCGAAGATTTTGATGTTGATATTGCAGGAGTACACGTTGAATACGGCAGAGTGCGTATTTACGCCCTTGGCGTCTTCCCCGAACAATCTTTCAACTCGGACATCAGGACGGGGGAGATACGATCAACGTTACACTTCCCCTTGCGAGGATATCTACTCGTAGGGTTACTTGGGTCTGAACGCCACCCTTTCTCGGATGTGCTTAATTTGCTAGAAGTAGCGGGTAGAACGTGGCACCGGGTAAGCGCTGAGCATATCACGGTCCCGGCGCCGACGAAAGTTATGAATATCGCTCCGATTGCGTTAAACGTTCCTCGATGCCTCATGCCGTCGCTTGCACCGGGTCCACCAGACCGTCTTGACTTCGATAGTACCATGTTGATGACAGTCTATTTATGACTCCATGTATGGTGTATCCTTCATATCCGTAATAGCGAGGTCGAAATATAAAGTCAAATTCAAAGATATACTGTAACTGCTAAGAGAGTTGAAACATTAGACATGATGAGAAAACCGCTCATCAGCACCACCAGCGAACCCCGAGTCCCAATCCTGAACCTGATCCCGTATCTGCTGCTGCTGCTGATACTGCGTCCACGACACCGGTATCGACGGGCGATCGCGTAAAACGGCACTACTTCTCGGTCCCAGAGGATGCGTCGGCATCGTCCGCGTCACCGGTGTCATCTGCGCCGTCTGCACCATCTCCTTCGGCGGCAGAGGTGGAGGCGACGGCGACGGCGATGGCGGCGGGGGCGGAGTGTCATCGCCGTCGCGATCACCAGTCCACATGTTCCAGCCATACCCCCCATCAGGGCGCTTACTATCCGGAACGTACGCGTCTGGCGGGCCTTGCGCCTGCACCTGCGCCATCTCCATCATCCGCTTCATCTGCGCTGGTGTTGGCGAGGACGGTCGTGCGGCTCCGTCTGGGGAGCCAGCCCACGTGTTCCACCCGTATCCATAGCTCTGGTCGGGGTGCTTGTTGTCGATATCTGAAAACGACGAGTTCTGCGCGTGTCCACGCCCGTGTGTTGATTGCATCATCTGCTTCAGCTGTACGGGAGTCGGCGACGGCGGACGCGCGGTGTCGTCTTCCGGGGGAGGGAGAGGCCATGTGTTCCAGCCGTACCCTTGGTCGGGGTACTTGACGTCGGGATTGGGCGACCACTGGTTCTCGGAGTCGGGGGAGTAAGGCTCCGCGACCGCGATGACTTGGCCAGGATCCGGATTGACATTGCGGTCGTGCTCCTGGTCGTGATCTGGTTCGTCTTCCCGGTCAGGGCTATAACGCGAATCGACCCGCCTCCCATCGCCATCAACCCGGCCTGCTTGGTAATCCCGGCCACGGTGAAGCCACGGTATCGACATCGTCATCATCCCCGACAACGGCGTCGACTCGTGCCTCCGTATCGGGAGCCCCATCCCCATCCCCATCCCCATCCCCGGCCTCCCCAGGCCCTGCTCCGGCGCCGTCCCCGGCCTCTCCGCTTCCCCTCTCCCAGCCGTCTCAACAACACCCCCGTCCTCGTCCCTATACCTCTCCCGCCGCACCGCAGGCCCATGCACAACCTCCACCACCCCACCCACACCCCCCGCCTTATCTCTCCCCTTATCCAACACAACCCCATGCACACTCGGATGCGTCGCGGGCGCGTGCGCCGGGTGCAGCGCGACCTGGTGCCCGTGGTGCCCGCCGCCGCCGCCCACATGCGTGAGCAGCGAAAACAGCCGCCCGAGGCGGTGCAGGACTGATTGCGGGGGCGGGAGATGCGGCGGGGGGCAGCCGCACTGCATGTACGGCGAGCGGAAGCGGGAGGCCCATGAGCTGCAGGTGTGCGAGAGGGAGGCGGTCAGGCGGGGTTCGGGGGTTCTGAGTTCGCTGGAAAGGGAAACGCGTCAGGTAGAACGTAGGTGGACAGTTGGATGAGACGCACTGGTCGACGATTCGTCCAATGTACAGCTCGCAGTCTACGTGATACCGGTTCGCCATGAGTTGGTGACAATGCCATGCGACGTCGATGTCCATCGTAGGGACAAAGTCGGCGCTCGGGTGCGCGGCGGTGAGATCCAAGAACCTAGTCCAGGAATCCACTCAGCTCGCGCACTTTGATGGCAATGCAACTTCAGAGCGAAACCGAACAGGAGACTCACGAATGATACCTGACAACCGTCTGACTCAGAATACGCTCCCTCTCCGGCCCGCGAAACGTGTTGCCCTTGAGCCACGATATCTCCTCCAACTTGCTGACGAACAGGTTCTGGCGGAGCGTCTATTTGCCATATAAAAGCCACAATCAGAAGCACGATAAGAGCTTGAACGAAACAAGTAACAATGGAGAAAGATACGACACGCACGGCTTCCACAAGCTCAATCGAAAACGGCTTATCATCCGCATACGCGTCCACGATCCTGTTGATTCTGTTGCTCTCGGTGAACTCGGGCTCCAATATGTGACGATCCAGACTCACAGCGGCATCCCATACTCCCTCAACGTCCCGCTCAGAAACACGGCAATCGCCGCCCTCGAATACCCCACGGCGTCCTTGATCTCGCGCTCCCACTCGATCCTCGATATCAGGTAATTCGAAAAGCGCGACTGCGCGCGCTTGAAGCCTGGCGAGTCGCCGATCGCGTTCTTGATCGCTGTTGCCCGCTCGTAGTTGGGTTTGCCGTACGGCGTGTACAGGGTCCCGCTGCCGATCGGCGAGTTTCAGCATGTAGCTGGGAAGGTGGGGAAGGGTAGATAAGATAAGGAGAGAGCGACGCACGCCATATACGTCCGCCCAGGCTGCGTGAGGTCGCTCACGAACTTGGCGACAGCGAGACTGTCGCGCGTGATCTTCATCCTGCAGGTCTGCACCGGACAGAGCGCGCTGAACTTGCGTTGTGCGTAGCCCGTGCCGTTGTCGTTGATGAACGCTGCATAATGTTTAATCAAGATCACACCATATCACATCAGCGATAGGGTCGGATTGACATGCACGGGTATAGGCGTTGGTGGAGGTAGCGGTGATGATAGAGGAGATGAAGGGTAAGGAAGGGAGAACTCACGGACGTAGACACGCGTGCCGCACTTGGGACAGTGCAGCTTGCGGTGCTGCAGCGCGGCCATGGACTCGAACGGGTCGAACGGGATGCCCGTTTGCTTCTGCCATGCGCTGATGCGGGATTCGCGCACGCGGAAGTCGGGGACGCCGCCGTAGTTGATCTGTTCAATCGACGATCCATGAAAAGCGTTGAGATCGGAGAAACGTTTGAGGCAGATAAAAGGGGTATATCAGACGGAGGAAAGGGAAGCAGGGGTAAGGAGGGCGTTAGAGGTGGGACGTACGGAGCCAACGACGAACATGTTGAGGAGTTTTACTTGGCGGAGGAGGGAGACGCGTTCGCAGTCTTCGGCGTACCAGCTACCAGTCGGCTTGACGTAAGTGGGGAATTGGAAAAGTCAGTAAAGGTGCACTCACATAGGGTTCAAGAGGTACGCATGCCACACCATCCACACGTCCAACGGTGGAAAATGCTTGTTAAGGAACTTATCGAGCGGCGCGAACTTGACGATCGTCAGCCACTTTTCGAACCTACCGCTCCCCACTCAGCCCAATCCCATCAAATCGGAGAAGACGAAGAAAGCGCACCTGTCCACCGCAAGCGTCACGAACCACGTCCACCTACTAATCTTATCCATCTCCATCGCAAACCGCGGCAGCTTCTTGTTCTCATCATCTTCGACGGAGACCTTGAGCTGGTGGAACGCGCGCAGGAGGCGGAGGTACGCCTTCACCTGCGTCGTGCTGACGAGTGGCCCGGACGTCTCGTGGTTCCCGATCTTGAACCGTGCCTCCTTGGGGATGTCGTTCAGACGCGGTGGGGGTATAAGATTGGTGTTGAAGGCGTCGGCGGCGCTGTTGCGCCGGCGGAGGGGCTGGAGCGAGGTTGGCATGTGAGTGGGGTGGGGTAGATGTAAATGAGTGTGTGGGTTGAGTCGAGTCGAATCGAAGTCGGTGTGGGAGTGGATCTATGGACAACGTTGAGGGCCGGGGACCTAGATCATAAGTGTGTATGGGAAAGCGGTGCTATCAATGGATTGGATGATGAACGAAGGGTTGCAGCATAGGAATCGAGTCCGCCGAACCAAAGGCGCTCACTTGAGATGGCGGTCAGCCATCATCATGCATATAGCGGTAGTATGGCAACAGTAAGCTAACGTACCTGGTCGTTGCGAACAGACCCGTAACGCAGAGGGGTAGGGATTGGTGTTGTACTAGTATTCCGAGCCTATCGCCTAAGACGCAGGTCATGGGAAGCTATCCAAGATGATATGGATGAAACCACAAAGAAGGGAGCATCGCAGCACGGGCCGCTAGTTCTGGGGTAGGTGTCGTGCGACTGGTAGGTAAAGATGGCCTTGTCCATGTGGTCCAACGGAGGCTATGGTCAGGTACAGCAGTTTGGATGCCGGGCGCCAAAAGTTCTGCTCCGGAGGTCAAGGAAAACTGACTTGAAGAGCGTCTCCTACCATTTCGCGTGTGATGTCAACAAAGATGTGGCAGAGACATGATGCTTGCTTAAATGCTGTCTTTGCGAGATCGTCAATGGCGAGAGATGCCTCGGAGGTGCTCGGTCATCTCTGCCTATGAGACCGGCAATTACCGGTGGTGCACTCACGTGTTAATGTCATCATGACGGCTCTCAACGCGACCAACGACTCCGACAAGCACCAATGTCGACCCACAAAAGCTATCTCGAGTGCAGACTTGGCCCGCATACACCTCCTTAACTGATCCTACCACTCTCGCACCAGACATCATGCCCAGCGTCCTTATCCCCATGGCTGACTACGGCCACGACCCCACCGAGGTCGCCATCCCCTACTCCGTCTTCAAAGCCGCAGGCTTCACCGTCGACTTCGCCACCGAGACCGGCAAGACACCCGAGTGCGACAGAAAGATGCTCAAGGGCATCACAGGCACCCTCCTCGGTGCCGACGCCAAAGCCAAAGCCGCATACGCCGACATGGCCGCCACCTCGGCGAGCTTCAAATCCCCGAAGGCGTGGACGGACCCGGCGTTCAGTCTAGACGAGTACGACCTCGTGATGCTCCCTGGTGGACATGACAAGGGCGTGCGGCAGGTCATCGACTCCAAGGCAATCCACGACCACCTTGCGCGGTTCTTCCCTGGCACATCCCGGAGCACCGACGGCGCCAAGAAGACTGTCGCTGCCATCTGCCACGGCGTGCAGATCCTCGCGTTCACTCCTTCCCCCTCCTCTGCCACTCCGGCCTTCCCGCTCAGCCTCGAAACCGCTAAGATCGACACGGATCTTTCAGCGAGCTACAAGTCCATCATCCACGCGTGCGCGACCACCGCTTTACCATCATTCATGGAGACGAGTATCTACAACACGACGCGCCTCTTCCTCGGTGACTACTACAAGACCTACGGCGCGTGCACTCCCAACGTTGAGGACTATGTCAAGTGCGGGTTGGACAATCCGGAGAAGCAGTTTAGCGCTGGGCCGGGGATGTTGGGCGGGAAGATGAACGAGCCGTTTATCGTCGAGGACGAGGGGTTCCGGTATGTGAGCGGGCGATTCCCACCGGATGCGGAAAGGCTGGCGGAGAGGGCGGTTGAGCTGGTGAAGGAGGCAATGGGAGTGTCGTAAGCTTGTACTGTTTTCTACAGGCTGATTGAGTCCTTTTTGCGTTTTCATTCACGTACAGTGGCGAGACACATGTCCTAACCTGGTATTCATTAAAGTTCATTGTGCGCCAGTCAACAGCAATCTGGTTCACGGTCCACCAGATGACTCGTCCGAAAGCTGTCATTCCGACCACTCTCGTGCGCATTCGTTGCCGTCTACTCAGGTGAGTGAATGCCCCGATGGCGTTCGATTAGACAATGGAAGTTTGTAAGTCGAGCGCTTAAATATCTTGAATAAGTCAACGTTCATCCTGTACTGGCGCTTGTGTCTTCCTTATTGGCAGCAACCCTTGTTTTTAGTTGTCACATGAGCGTCTCTTGCGATGCCCTTGATAGCGTCATTTACAGCAAGTATCCTCGCTGTTATCATTTAAGCTGGCACGTCGCTGTGCCCCTCGCCAGCTCATTCCCCCTCTACCGAGGTGAGTATACGCAACCCTACGGCCATTCTCGTCTAACTTCGAGCAGCATGACCCACTGTGACCTGCAATCGGTGTTCGAGGAATACGTCAACAATGAGATCCCCTTGCGCTTGATCGATGTCACCCACCTCCCGAAGCTTACTCTTGTCGATCGATGGCAAGTCAAGCAGCGCTTCCAAGGCGCTATAAACGAGATGAAAAGTCAAGCTGAAATCGTGGAACTCCACGATCCCTACCGCAGGGAGAAGCTGCTCGGCCTAGTCAAGCGCAAGGTCCGATACGCCATCTTCTCTCACAGGTGGTTCGACGCAGAACCAACCTTCAAAGAGATTTCAGGGTTCGACAGTCTGTCGCGGGAAGCCCGTGAAGCACTGGAGAAAAGCCAAGGGTATCGGAAGCTGCAGAGTTTCTGCGCGGAAGCACGCGCCGGGGGGTTCGAAAAAGGCTCCGAGAAGGCACGCGCAGGGGGCTGTGATTTTGCGTGGTCTGATACTTGCTGTATCGACAAAAGAAGCAGCTCCGAGCTTGACGAGAATATCAGATCCATGTTCCGCTTCTATCGCAACGCACACGTCTGCATCGCATACCTCTCCATGACATCCACAGTCGAAGACATGCACAGTGACGTGTGGTTCACCCGCGGGTGGACCCTCCAGGAGCTTATCGCTCCGTCTCGTATTAAGTTCTACACTAGGGAATGGACCAAGTTATCCAACGCCGACAACGACAAGGAAGTCCACGATATCATGTTCTCTATAACCCAAACCACTGCCATCGACAGCGAAACTCTCATTAACTTCAAGCCAGGTACCAATCATGTCAGCCAGAAGATGTCCTGGGCTGCGAATCGCACCACCACCCGTATCGAAGATATGGCGTATAGTCTTATCGGCATCTTCGACGTAAGCCTTACGGTTGCATACGGCGAAGGTCCTCGTGCATTCTTCCGCCTCATGAAGGCTATCCTAGAGGAGTACGACAAATGGGACGTCTTCGCATGGAGCGGGCAGTGTTCTCTATACGTTACCCGCCTCTTACCCTCATCGCCGGCATGCTACCCTCCTTTCACAGTCCCTCACCAGCGGAGGATCATACCGGGTGACCCTGCCACGCCTATGAGCTTGCTAGACAAGTACGACCACGAAAATGAGGTTGGATTCTCCTCGTTCGCGCTGACGAACAAGGGCCTGTACACCAAGCTACTCGTCATTCGCGTGTCCCTCAAGCCGCACGGTGAGGTAAACGGTCTACCCCTGTTGACCTTTCAGCAAGCGAACGGAACTTTAGAAAATGTACCCGTCAAAGTCAGGAGGATCCCAGATAGGGCAAGCATTCGCCACACGGAGTGGGCGCTGGGAGTCTTGGATTGCTGGATCATTCCATCGGGCGAAGGTCTCATCGACAACTGCAGAGACAGGACTGGCAGTGCGATGAAATTCACGGCTATTCTTCTCAGCTACAACCCCATGTTGGCGAAGTGGGAAAAGGAAATGACAGAGGACGTTCTAAAGGTTATACCCACGAAATGCGTGAAGGATAGGCTTACAGACTTATGGTTGTGATTCATACCTGTTTGTTCAGAAATAGGAAACGCTTTGCGCGTCTCGTAAACCCAACATAGACCGATTAAGCTACCGAGGCGCTCGCGGTCACGTTGCACTGGCTCACTGTTCGCGTCCGAGTCATCGCCTGCCACAGCAACGTTTGCTCTTGACCGTCGTCTATCAAAGCAATTGCCTTGCGTGGGTTTCGTGCCATTACATTACTACAAGGTATCTACTACAACTATTCTAATCGTGCACTGCCTGACAGTCGTAAACAGGCATGGCAAAGGCTGCGTTACAGGAAATCTTTTCCCACAGGTTGGGCGACCTCGAGCCACTCTATATCCACGTGGCGGAGAACATGCCAGGCAACATACGGAACGGGCCTGGGTGTGCCAAACTCCATCACTTTTGTAAAAATGCAAAGGACATGGACTGTAGACTCGTGACCAGTCTTGAACCGAGCCAAAGCCGCGTACGCCGACATGACCGCCACCTCGGCGAGCTTCAAGTCCCCGAAGGCGTGGACGGACCCGGCGTTCAGTCTAGACGAGTACGACCTCGTGATGCTCCCTGGTGGACATGACAAGGGCGTGCGGCAGGTCATCGACTCCAAGGCAATCCGCGACCACCTCGCGCAGTTCTTCCCTGGCACGTCGCGGAGCGCCGACGCCGCCAAGAAAACTGTCGCAGCTATCTGCCACGGCGTGCAGATCCTTGCTTTTACCCCCTCCCCCTCCTCTGCCACCCAAGCTTTCCCGCTCAGCCTCGAAACCGCTAAGATCGACACGGATCTTTCAGCGAGCTACAAGTCCATCATCCACGCGTGCGCGACCACCGCTTTACCATCATTCATGGAGACGAGTATCTACAACACGACGCGCCTCTTCCTCGGTGACTACTACAAGACCTACGGCGCGTGCACTCCCAACGTTGAGGACTATGTCAAGTGCGGGTTGGACAATCCGGAGAAGCAGTTTAGCGCTGGGCCGGGGATGTTGGGCGGGAAGATGAACGAGCCGTTTATCGTCGAGGACGAGGGGTTCCGGTATGTGAGCGGGCGGTTCCCGCCGGATGCGGAGAGGCTGGCGGAGAGGCTACAGGGGCTTCGTAAGCATGTGTTATCTTAGAGAGGTGAATCGAATCTTTTTGCGCATCTGACTCCTTCAACGACCCCTGCGCAACGGCGGTGGAACGTTCTCACATACAAGCGCAAGGCTCCACTGTGCTACTTTTTTCCGGCTTCTATCGCGCTCATGTGAGCCACAAGCTCCTGATATTGATCACAGGCGCTCGTTTTGTACCTATAGACGGCAACCCTTGTTATGTCGAAGCGCCATCTCCACGTCATTCTCCTCGCTGGTAAATCCCACTTATCTCGAGAAATTTACAGCTTGGCCCATACAAATGTCACGTGACTTCCCACGCCAAGGGAATCCCGGGAGGGGAACCCGGGTGGCGCGGAGGGAGGCAGCGGGGCAGGGTGGTCGGAGGGACTCCGGGAGGGCGGGAGGCGCATCTCGCGCGCGTCGGGACACGCCTTGGGCCAGCGAGGTACTGTGTAAATGCCGAGGCTGCCGTTGTAAATGCCAAGGCGCCAAGGGTTCAAATAAGCAGTCGTAAAGTGCTCTTTTGGCGGGGGATAAGTGCATCAGTAACTTATCGTCGAGAAATTTACACTTGGCGCTGTAAAAGCGAGCCTCGGGGTGTACAAGCGAGGCTCGAAAAGGTAAGAAGGTCTGCTTATTTTTTTTTTCGAGCGCTGCGCGCGCCTTGTCCAAAAGGAGCTCGGTTAACGAGCGGCGGCGACGCGCACAGCAAGCGCGCGCGTCACAAACCTTCGTGCACTCAGCTGCGCACTTCATGCACTGAAGCTGTTCTATAATACAGATAGCTAGTTGTATATAGAGTAAAATAAGCTGATTTGAAGACCATACACGCGGAGGGACCATACTCGCGGGAGCAGCTATTGACACGACGGACTTCAAGAATTCTCCACCTTCGAACTATATTCGGCCGGGTTCCTCGGGAAATGCCGAGGAGGGAATCCTTTTACAACATTTACGCTCGGCTCTGTAAATTTCTCGAGATAATACTACTTTTTTATGCCTTGAGAGCAAGAAACCTACGCACCGTCCCAACATTCTCTGCGCGCTGATCTAACGGAACGGGTTCGACACTGGTTTCTGGGTAAGCCCTTTTCATTGTGTTTCCTAGCTCTTACATGTTAACGGAGCTCCAATAAGGGCGCTTGATAGTTGTCTAAGTTTAGTGGGCCTTCGATACCAAATGGGCGCTTTTCGCCTTGTTTCTGTTATCTCAACACAGAAGAACATCACCGAGTTGACCCGTCCGCCTTATCTTTCTTTTGGAACAATGTAGTTTGGTAACGCACGCATTTAAGGCAATTGACGTCCACCTCCAGCCAAAGCGATTGATCTATGTCTGCGAACGGCAAACCTTGTCATTGGTTGGCATATAAACTGTTTCTGCATCGTTAACATTGTTGGTATCGCATTCACAGCGTCCCCTCTCGGTCAACTCGCCAGTCCCTGCTCTCTCGTCTTACGCTAGGCCCGCCGTTTGTCTTTTGAGGTATGCCCGGTTAACATCCTCACGATCATCTATTCACTGCCGATGCAGATGGCGCCCCCTGCCCTTCAGACAGTCTACGAGAACTATGTCTTTAATACCATTCCCATGCGCTTGATCGACGTGACTAATCTCAATATCACCAATCTTGACTTGACCAATCTCGACGCGATCAACCCTGACCTGATCGAGCTCCGTGACCCCGCTCGACCCGCAGTCACACTCGTCGAACGATGGCAGGTCAAAGATTACTTTCAAAGCGCTATTGATAGCATCTCCCTCTTATCTAAAGGAACGAGTCCCATCAGTGACGAGGAGCTGCTTCAATACATCAAAGGGATAATCCACTATGCTATCTTCTCACACCGGTGGGGTGAACTCGAGCCCAAATTTACAGACGTCCATCATCCTAGTTCCATGTCCGTAGAGACGAGAGGCGGCCCAGGATACGCAAAGCTCTTGAAGTTCTGTATACTCGCTCGCGTGGCGGGCTGCGACTTAGCTTGGTCGGACACATGTTGTATCAACAAGGACAGTAGCGCCGAACTGGACGAGAACATCCGGTCTATGTTCCGCTACTATCTTAACTCGCACATATGCATCGCGTACCTAGCGAAATCCTTCGTCTTGGACGATCTGCGTCGCGAAGAATGGTTCACCCGTGGGTGGACTTTGCAAGAGCTCGTTGCTCCTCCTCGCCTCAAGTTCTTCACAGGCGGATGGGTTCAGCTTTCCGAAGGTGACAACGATAAATGTAATCCCTATATCCTGGAACGTATCCATCAGATCACTTCCATCTCTCTGAGAGACCTTCTCGATTTCAAACCTGGAACAAACCGCGTCAGCGAGAAGATGTCGTGGGCCGCGGCGCGCGAGACGACACGTATCGAGGACATGGCGTACTCTCTCATCGGAATCTTCGACGTGAGCCTTACGGTCGCGTACGGAGAGGGACCTCGTGCGTTCTTCCGTCTCATGAAAGCCATTCTGGAAGAATACAACCAGTGGGACGTCTTCGCGTGGAAGGGACAGTGTTCTCCTTATGAAGTCACCCGGTTCTTCCCATCGTCACCCGCGTGCTATCCTACTTTCACAGAGCCACACCAACGAAAGATCTTAGGGCCAGGCATCCAGGCTGAAAACACACGGGAGAATTATGATAGCGACCATGAAGTCGGGCACTCCTTGTTTAAGCTGACCAATAGGGGCGTCAAAACCAAGTTGCTCATCATTCGCGTCGCTTTGGTCGGCTCAGGCGGGCGGTCAGAAGAAGGTATCCCCCTGCTAACATTTCACCAAGCTAACGAATACGTGAAGGATGTCTCCGTGACATGCAAGAGAGTCCCGGATGCAGTGAGCATCCATGGTGCGCAGTGGGCGTTGGGGGTCTTAGACTATTGGAAAACTTCGTCGAGCAAGGGTTTTATTGACAGCTGTGATATTAAACGCGCTCCAGACATTAAAGAACAGATGGCATTTACGTCTATTCTTCTCAGCTGGAACACGTCGTTAGGGAAGTGGGAAAAGGAGATGACGGAGAACATTTTAAAGGTTATCCCAAAGAAGTCCTTCAGTGAAGAACTTCAAGACTTGTATCTATGAGTGTATCTCTATCTCGTGTATATCTGTACTGTTACGGTTATGTTTGATAAGCATTGCATGTCTCATAATTCCAACATAAGCTAATCAAGCTAGCGAGCCTTAGGCGCTCGCTGCTACTGCCCCCGAATTCGCGTCGTCGCCTGCCATCTCTCTTCACAGCAACCTTTGCTCTTGACCATCATCCTCATCTATTACAGAATTTGCCTTGCGTAAGTTTCGCACCAATTCCTCACTACAAGGTAGCTACAACTGCTCTCATCGTAACTTGCCTGACCTAGCTGTAAATAGGCATGGCAAATGCTACGTTACAGGCAATCTATGAGAAATATGTCGATAACGACATTCCTGTGCGCCTGATTGATATCACTGATCTCGGGAACCTCAAGCTCTTCGAGAGATGGGAGGTCAAGAAACACTTCCAGCCTGCCATCGACGGCATCATTGTCTCCGATGAGGACGCAAACTCTAACAACCCCGATCGTGACGAGAAGTTGCTCGGCTTGGTGAAGGGCATAGTCAGATATGCCATCTTCTCCCACAGGTGGGGCGACCTCGAGCCACTTTACACCCACGTGGCGGAGAAGATGTCAGACAATGATACACGGGATGGGCCTGGGTATGATAAACTGTTAAACTTTTGCAAGAAGGCGAAGGATATGGAATGTACGTTTGCATGGTCGGACACGTGTTGTATCGACAAGCGGAGTAGCGCTGAGCTAGATGAGAACATCCGGTCTATGTTCAGGTTCTACCGCAACGCCCACGTCTGCCTCGCCTACCTCGCCGGCTCAACCGGGGACAAGGACCTCCTGAATGACGCGTGGTTTACTCGCGGCTGGACGCTGCAGGAGCTCGTCGCGCCGACCCGACTCAAGTTCTTCGTACAGGGATGGACGCCGCTCTCGGCGTTGTCCAACGACAAAGTCGAGGGTACACTTCTCACAAAGATTTCCGAGATCACCAAAGTCCCAGTCCGTGACCTTCTCCGCTTCAAGCCTGGCACAAACCGTGTCAGCGAGAAGATGTCATGGGCCGCAGGACGCACCACCACACGCGTCGAGGATACAAGACATGCCGTGCTCCGCTACGGCACAATTGATGGCCCAAGACATGTATGAACTTAGTCTCCTTTTTGCAGCCGTTTTACGCATATCGCTGCGCTCTTTTGACTATGAACTGCTTATGTTACCATCAGAAACCTAGTGAATGAAAAGGCTACATGACAGAATCAGACAGGTTCTAGATTGACCACGGCCTACCACGGCATCGCCTGGCATGGTGCTATCGAATCTCATTTCATCCATGAGGTTTCCCAATGATAGCCATCCTCCCTCTGTCTCGGCAAGTCACGGACCTGCCAGGAGGGCTTGTGCTGTGCAACCGTGATGTCTCTTGATGTCTCCAACCAACAAAACCCTATGTTACATTTCCTAAACATTCATATCTATCAGCCTCCGACGGCAGCACAATCTTTCATTGGGATATTGATGGGAGTCAGGAAAAGGTGCCATCAGCAGAGCATCTCAACCGGAGTAAATGCCGGGGTTAGACTCATTGAGATGTACATGTAGTACATCATGTCAATCCAGGGTCTGCATGCCCTGTTGTAATTTCGGAGGCGAATGAGGGCGAATCTCGCTGGCAAACGCACAGCGATTACATTTTGACGACAGCGGTTATAAGTACATGTAATTGGCTACTGAAAATCATAAATAAATGATGCGATAGTGATGCGATGTCAAAACAAATGATAAGATAAGCGCCGAAGCGCGCGGCTAGGTACGACGAGTCGTATGAGCTGACGCTCGTATGGCTACGTATTTCCAACATGCACCGCCAAAGATAGTGCCTGAAGTTTGAAGTGGACCATGCCGTGGCTACCAGCTCGATCGGAAACTTGAGTGATATGAGTATACAATAGTTCATAGCATTACATGCCGGTGTGTCAAAGAAAATAGTAGATAAATCATAGTGTAACAGAAAGAGCATAGCCGTGGTTATAGAGACGTGACTTGAAGCCAGGGAAACTCTGGCGAGACGCGGGTGTGAGCGATGAATCCAGCATCCCGCCAGCGGAAGTCTTAAGTCTCGCGTCAGCCTTCTATTACCATCGTAAAAGGCCTGCGACCATGCTGGTCACCGACGATGCGCCCCAGAGAGCGTTCCGTGTGGGGGTGCATTGAGTGTACGCGTTTGCACCTCGCAGGCGGGAATACCCTCTTGGGGTGCCGAAAGCGAGCTGTGGAACCTATACACGCGCGGCGCGCGGACGAACGGAGTCAGCACGTTGTGACGAGCCTGTATACCCGAGCGTGCAGCACGTTCAATGATTCGCGCGTCCGGATGGGGGAAAGGAGGGCGAGGGCTGTGTCCAAGCCCAATCATCGTAGGCAGTGCGAGGAGACCGGTAGAAAGAGGGTGTTGCATGTGTCGGGAGCCCCAGCTGGCCGTGGTCAAGTGCATGTTCACAGGCGGCGAGCTCGGCGTTGTGGTCTTCATCGCACTGCCAGTCCTGTCTCTGCACTTGTCGATGAGACCTTCTCCCGATGAAGTGATCCAACAATCTAAGACTCCCAGCGCCCACTCCGCGCCGGGAATGCTTGCCCTATCTGGGATCCTCCTGACTCTGACGGATACACTCTCTAAAGTTCCGTTCGCTTGCTGGAAGGTCAACAGGGGCAGGTCGTTTGCCTCACCGTGCGACTTGATCGATATCAGGGACACGCGAATGACGAGTAGCTTGGTGTACAGACCCTTGTTCGTCAGCGCGAACGAGGAGAATCCAACCTCATTTTCGTTGTCGTACTTATCTAGCAAGCTCGTAGCCGTGGCAGGGTCACCCGGTATGATCCTGCGCTGGTGCGGCTCTGTGAATGTAGGATAGCACGCCGGCGACAGGGGGAAGCACCTAGTCACTGTGAAAGGGGAACACTGTCCCTTCCATGCGAAGACGTCCCACTTGTTGTATTCTTCCAGAATGGCTTTCATGAGGCGGAAGAACGCGCGGGGGCCCTCGCCGTACGCGATCATCAAGCTGATGTCGAAGATCCCGATGAGGCAATACGCGATTACTCGTATCTTCAAAATTATGGCCCGCTTTTGTTTGGTTTTTTTGTTTGTATCCTTGATGAGATCCTTTCAGATCAGATTCACTCTCGATTCGGACATCACTCCTTTTTGGGCCACGCTGTTGATAAGATAACGAACCCTGGCGTAGCGCCAGTCCATCACCATCCTTTCCTCCCCTCCCTCCTTTCGCTCCTCCACAGTTTTCCCCAATTTTCCACCATGGGTGCTCGGTGAATTGGTGTGTCGTCCAATTTTTCTAACGCCTGCACTCAAGTCAATCGCTACCCTTCCCAAGTTGGTCCCGAGCTTCGCCAAGCAGCCTTAGCCACCATCGTTCTCTATTCCCCCACCAGTGGCAATCCCTGTCGTTATATGAGATACAAAGGCCCAGGTACGTTCTCTCTCTCTCTCTCTCGAGTACCGACCACCGCTATTCCAGGCGTCGACCACAAAGGCCCAGGTACGTTCTCTCTCTCGAGTACCGACCACCGCTATTCCAGGCGTCATTCACGGCTATTCTTCTCAGCTACAATACCACGTTGGCGAAGTGGGAAAAGGAAATGACAGAGGACGTTCTGAAGGTTACACCTACGAAATGCGTGAGCTACAGGCTTACAGACTTATGGTTGTGATTCATACCAATGTATCGTATAGCACTGTTTGTTCGGAAACTGGAAACACTTTGCGCGTCTCGTAAACCCGACGTAAACCAATTAAGCTACCGAGGCGCTCGCGGTCACGTTGCACCGGCTCACTGTTCGCGTCGTCGCTGGCTACTTACAGCAACGTTTGCTCTTGACCGTCATCTATCCAAGCAATTGCTTTGCGTGGTTTTCGTACCATTGCATCACCGCAAGGTATCTACTACAGCAGCTCTAATCGTAAACTACCTGACAGTCGTAAACAGGCATGGCAAATGCTGCGTTACAGGAAATCTATGAAAAATATGTCGATAACGACATTCCTGTGCGCCTGCTTGATATCACCGATCTCGGGAACCTCAAGCTCTTCGAGAGATGGGAGGTCAAGAAACACTTCCAGCCTGCCATCTACGACATCGTTGTCTCCGATGAGGACGCAAACCCCAACAATCCCGATCGTGACGAGAAGCTCCTCGGCCTGGTGAAGGGCATAGTCAGATACGCCATCTTCTCCCACAGGTGGGGAGACCTCGAGCCACTGTACACCCATATGGTGGAGAAGATGCCAGACAACATACGGGACGGGCCTGGGTATGACAAACTCCAGAACTTTTGTAGAAAGGCGAAGGACATGGACTGTACGTTCGCGTGGTCAGATACATGCTGTATCGACAAGCGAAGTAGCGCGGATCTGGACGAGAACATCCGGTCTATGTTCCGCTTCTATCTCAACTCTCATATCTGCATCGCCTATCTCGCCAACTCGACCAATCCTGCAAACCTAACCCAAGACGCATGGTTCACGCGGGGCTGGACTTTACAGGAGCTCGTCGCGCCCTCTCGAATCAAGTTCTACATGGACGGCTGGATGGAACACACCCCAGGGTCGCATAACGACAAGATCGCCGGTTCTCTTCTTCTAGCCCAGATCTCTCAGATCACAACCATCCCCGAATCAGATCTTTCCCACTTTAAGCCCGGCACAGACCGCGTCAGCCAGAAGATGTCGTGGGCCGCAGCACGGACTACCACACGCATCGAAGATATGGCCTACTCCCTCATTGGTATCTTCGACGTCAGCCTCATGGTCGCTTACGGGGAGGGAGAACGCGCTTTCTTCCGCCTCATGGAGGCTATCCTCCAGAGGTACAACAAATGGGATGTGTTCGCGTGGAAGGGACAGTGTTCTGCGTATAACGCGTTCCTCCCTGCGTCCCCTGCTTGCTATCCTGCGTGGGCCGAGCCGCACCAACGAAGAATCCTTCAGGCGGACGAGACCGCTCGGTCCACTTCAGAGCAGTACGATAACGACTACGAGGTCGGGTACCGGTCGTTCGCGATGACGAACAGCGGGCTGTACACCAGGCTTCATCTCATCCGTGTCGACTTGTTGGCGTGCGAGCACCAGAGCGATGGCTTGCACCTGCTGACGTTCCATCATGCCAACGATTGGATCCAAAGTGTGCCTGTAACATGCAAGAGGGTACCAGCTAGGGCAAGCTCGCGAAAAAGCGAGTGGGCGCTGGCGATTCTTGATAGCTGGATTGTAGGGGGCGGCGAAGGGTTTGTCGAGAATTGCGACACCGCAGCAGGGAGCCAACTAGGCTTTACGGCTGTGCTTCTTAGCTTCAACCCGGTTTTAGCGCAGTGGGAGAAAGAGATGACGGATAATGTGCTTAAGGTGTATCCTACTCGTCCTATCAATGACGGGTTGACAGAGTTGTATCTATAATCATGATTTAACGATACCATTGTAGTATGATTCATATGCTATGTTAACACGTGTAGCTGCTCGTTGGTTCTGTACATACTGCACTGGCGATTTTGAACGATTGTATGTCAGTCAGATTTAGACCCTGTGCATCGGCCTCATGCTCTCGTCGGATATCCAGCATCATCCATGGGCCTATCACCCCGTAGAACACATACTTCAAAGTAGTGTATGATATCCAATATAAACCCTCGGACTTGATGCCATAACATTCCCAAGTCAGAATCGAACACATGGACAACAAACAACGTTCCTCTTACTTGATCTACTGATGGAACTCCCTGCAGCACCATGACAAATAAGTTGAATACCGCGCTGTGAAATGCAGTGTCATTGTCAAGGACATTAGCGGAGGGACTTTAGTACACACATAAGAAAGTAGATCAGGTTTCCCCTTATTAGCGCTGTAGCCAGGCCACCAATACTCCGTGTCTGTAGGGTAACGCAGCTGTCTTTGAGGTGAACAACGGCGTAGTACAGAATCATTATGCACATAATGACTTCGAAGAAGAGGAGCGCGCCGTCAGCTAGAGGGTTTACGACAGTCATTATTTTGTCTGACAGCTCAGTCGAGAACTCTGCGTCTGCCACGACCCAGAAGAGCCCAAGTGGGATCTTTATGCATTGTACGATGGCGAAGGTGATACCCAAGGCAAGCTTGAGGCGCCGAGTCTTTCCGAGGAGTATATACACTCGAAATGCCATCATCCCTAGAGGGATACTCGCAACGTCAGAACCATACAAGAAGCAAGGAGTCTAACGAACCTTGCAACAAGAATGTTAAGATGAACGACATAACCTCGTCCAAAGCATATAATACATTTTCTATACGATTGTACGGTTGGTCAGATTCAAACGTCGGAAGGAAAGCGCCCACTTACCCCTGGCTACCTGTCAACGGTCGTGGTTAAATTCAAGATATGAAGCAGGACATACGCCTTGAATGGAATTTACGTACAGTTAGCTAATCACCCCACTCATATATTGCTTTGACCACGTACTTGGATAGACATATCAAACCCGAGGTTTAGAACTACACGTTGTAATTGGTATCCAATTTTTCGTCGAACGGGTATTAAGCAGACGCACTCAAGTCGATACTAGAACGTTCCGAATCAAGCTCAAGCATTAGATACTCATGCTCATGATTACATCAAGACAGCAGCCAGACTCACATTGACCAAACGATGCCACCATAGCGAAGCTTATATGGGACAACGTTAGCGAAGGACAAACGGACTAGGAGGGTCACACACCCCAGCGTAGACAAGCGTCATCTTGGAAAGCTTCCTGGACTACAACATTGACCTATCAGTATTCCGGTGCAAGGAAAGAGGCGCAGCTCCTGACCCAAAAGAACTCGACCTGGTTGAACGGATTTCAGACATTCTTACATTCTCTAGAGCATGAAGTTCAGACATACCTCGTCTTCGATGCTTATCACTATCCGTGTGCAAGATAGTAAGTACCAACTGCGTATAGGGATATGCAGGTGTAAGATCACTCACAACAGTCGTAAAATACAATTGTGAGGCCTGAATCTATAATAGGATCAGCTAAGACCCTCCGGGGATATCCCGAAGAAACATACACATGGCAAAGTTCGATATAAAGGTTTGCTCAGCGGCGGCAAGGAAGGCAGACGTCGCGTCTGAAGCCATGGTTCGCGTTCAGATGCGGATGGTTTGAGAGACAGGTGCTGAATAGACAAAGGAGCGTCGGCGTTCTTAAGTATGTTTTTCGTGCTGCCAGAACACCAGGAAGGAAGCCGCAAAGTTTCACAGCGTTCATGGATTCCCGATCTCCCGGAGCGAACTTCTCATTGCCTGCGCGCTGTGGATCTCGAGTTTATTTACAGCAGCATGTTTTCCGCGAAGTCGACTGGGTTCTTGGAATTAGCCAAGAAAAATATGACGCGCATGTAAAAGAGCGCCTTTTGGAGTTTGTCGGAGCGAACATGACGTTAACGCTCAATCACCCAATAGGAACACGTGTCATAGTTCGATGGCGGTGATATTGTAGCTTCTTTCTCCATCTTTCAAGTTGAAAAGGAAACCACTCACGCCCAAAGGTGTCCCGCTATCTCACGGAGGAGTTTCTGGGTAATGGTGCTAAGCTTCGTGGGAGGCTCTATCCGCGCCATGACTTTGATATGAGCGCTTATCCAAAGCTGTCCCACCGCCATCATTAATAGACGTCGGGAAGCAGCGGCTTCGCATGTATACTTATGTACATCCTTTAGCGGAACAAGAAGCGCCCCGGTCCGGAGATTTGTCTGACCGATGGAGGATATTCCAGTGGGCAGAATAGTCCAAGTAAAGCATCTGTCTTGTTCCGATGACCCGAAGGATTCGAAGCTGCACCGCGTTTCGGAGTAGACTAGCGACCGGAGAGAAAAAAAGGTACTCAAGATACATGAGACATGATTTGCTTGGCGATTGCTCAGCGTCGTAATTCAAACATGGAGGTTACTTCTGAGGTACCTTCCGGAAAACGTATTTCAGAATAAATTGTCCGATAAGCAGGGTTGGAGTAGCATCCTTTTGGTGTCGACACTTGGTCGAGACTCGACACTCATGCACTTATGTCTTCGCTTCTTTTGACATTCACGCCGAAGTCTGCATGCGTGGAGATTCAAATAGAATGCTCAGAATCACATCTCCGGGAGCTTCTGGAAGCACAGTCAAGGTCCGTAGATCCCGCGAGCATATGTCGTGATCAAAGCTGTATGAAAGCCACGAGGTGATCCTCGCCCCGAAAACGCGTTGCAGTGATTCTTCTGGAGCTAGACATATGGGGGGTGAAGTTTCCGTAAGTCCATGACACAATCTCAGGTTCAAGAACGGAGGGTAGGTGAGATTGGGTCCAGTCAGCGCGCACCGCGTCCGGGAACTTCCGGCGGTATTACTCGGCCACGTGTTGGACAACCGCGTTGTTTATGATTGTTAGGTTTGGATGTTGCATTCGGGAATGACCTTTGCGTCGACCTCGTCCGCTCCCTCGGAATTGTCAACAAACTCCTCGCGACAGCAGCGAATCGTTGCAAAGCCATCCAAATGTTTCAGTGCCATGGGCGCGCCACTTTATCTGAACAGGAACCTCGACTGTCCTCTCGAGCTGGCCCTTTGACTCGTCATTCCGCGGGATTGGTGAGGTACAGCTTGCTACTCCTGTCACAGTAGGGCCCCTCTCATGTTGGCTCGCACCCTTCACTTTCTTCACGCTGAATGGGATTCAAAGGTCGCTTCGCTGCTTTTCTCTATGACTACGTCATCTTTTGCGACGGTCATCATGAAACTGTCTCAAGTCTCGTTTCCTGAGGTGCTGTCATCGCTAAATATGACGGATGAAACCGTATCCGACGAGATGATTAGAGTCTGAAACGTCAGCGCACCTGATTACTCACCAAATTATCCTCCAGAGTCGCTGACGATGATTTGTTCTCCTGGACAGCCAAAGTATATAAGCACTAACCTTCGGCGTAAAGCGTCAACGGATACTCTCCCCGAGACCATCCTCACCAACCCCTACTTTCAACGTTTCCTTGATATGCTGTTTTCTACCAAAAACATCGCATATATCCTCGCGCTCGTGTCCTTCGGGAGCGGTGCCGTTCTCCGAAGCAGCGGTGGTAGTGTGAGTTCGCTTGATCGCTGAAATGAACACCGCTAACAGTTATCGCATAGAACGAAGTTTCAGGGTCTGGTTATTGTGAGCATCTATCAGCCTGGATAAAAGAACGTGAGGTAAGCCGATCAATATCAAGACTTCAGAACTCGAACTTACGTTGAGCGTGCATGAAAAGTATAGCAACGGAGACAAGGTCATATACTGGTACGTGACCTATAGATATCTCTGCGTGCCTGCTGAAAAGAGACAGGGGGTATATATGGACTGCCGCAGCGTGGTCATATAACAACCCTCCCAGCGGTGCGTGTTATTTCTATCTTTGTGGTGGTTTACTTATGTGTCTATAGAACTCGCGGCAGAATGGATCAAGAGCGAGTTCTGCGAGGATGGAAATCAAAACAGTACCCACCATACGCGCGGTAACGACAAGACCGATGACTGGGGCCGCGAGAATGACCGAGACAAAATCAATAAAAACAACGATGCGGAAAATGAGGACGACGGCGAGAATAACAGCGGTAATGGTGACGACAAACACAGAAATTCCGACATTTGGGGTGAGAGTGCAGGCGATGGTGATAACTGATATCGAAATCTCGGTCGCGATTCACCCTGACGGTAAGTTGACGGCGACGGTTTTCTAATGTACTCACTGACCGTTGTTCTCAGATCTGGCCAGCCCTTAGGTTGGCAGGGGCGAATGCACCAACTGGTGATTATTCGCAAGGACTTTATCATACCATCACCTTATTCCAAGAGCGCCTTTCTCGTAACGAAATGTACTTCGACGTGTATCTTGTTGATCTTTCGTGTATTGGAAACTAATGTTACAGATATACAGCCTGTATCATACTTTCATCGATGTTCAAGTAATTTCTTCCTTTGTGCCTGAAAGGGACGTCGATGAAATCGGTTGAAACTCGCCGCCATATCTTCCCTCCTAAAGGTATCATCTGCGTACAACCTTCGTCCATGCCATGTCCGTGGAGCAAGTATACCCTGATGGGAGAAAATATTGTGAGTTTCGCGTTCGTTTGTTCTTCCATGTCGATGAGGAGGTCGTAGCATGTAACCCCCAGCGCGTAAACGTGACGCAGGGACGAGTGTGTGACAAGCTCGCGGAAGAAGGATCTATCCTGAATCGTAACGGCCAACTCTTCGATGGCTGAACGGAAAATATCGTTCGAAAAGGAGAATTTCAAAACGGCGGAATATCGCTGGTGAGGAGGAGGCAGCGATGACGTTTGCAGCTTCAAAGGCAATATGACGAGTGGAAGGCGGAGCCCTTTGCTTGTAAGCGCCATGTCGAATGATTCAAGTAGCTCCGCGGAGACGCGGGGAAACATTGTGTGGCGTGATGCGCTGCCGGAGACCCGCTCCAGTTGAGAACTGAGGGGTCTCCCCCTGCCATCATGATAGCCTCGATTAGACGGCAGAACGCACGGTCTGCGCCTTCTCCGTAGGCAGTCGGTATAGACACATCGTATATCCCCATGAGCGAATACGCCGTATCTTCTCCTCTGGTGACGTCCCGGTTTGCCGCCCACGGCATGCGTTTGTCGACCATCGATGGAAAGGGATGGAAGTCGCATAGCTCTGGAACCGAGATTCCTGTGACGCTAGAAGCAACTCGCAAGGTTTCGGAGCCTTCGTCCTTATCATTTCCCATGGTCGACCCGAGCCGCGTCCAATCCGCGTCGAAGAATTGGATCTTCCGTGGAGCGAGCAGCTCCTGCAGCGTCCAGCCTCTCCTGAACCATTCATCCTTTTCCATATCCATCACAGAGCTCGTCTGGGCGAGATGGATGATGCAGACGCTCGAATTTCGGTACCACCGGAACATGGAGCGAATAGACTCATCTAGCTCGGCGCTACTCGTCTTGTCGATACAACACGTGTCGATCCAAGAAAAGGGTATGCCTTGATGCAGTGCCTCGTTGCACAACCTTATGATCTTTTCCCATCCAGTAGACAAGGTAGATATGTTTTGTGAGATTCTGGAGAATGGTGCTCCAGCGATTCCCGGATCGATGACCTCTCCTCGGAATCTAGCGAACATGTTCCATCCTGTGGTTCTAGCGGGCTCACAAGGAGCCAGGTCCTGGAACGTGACTTCTTCTGATGACCATCTGTGGGACAGCACAGCGTACTTGACAGTCTCTTTGACGACCTTTGCAACAAAATCTGATCTATCTTCGACTCCTAGACGCTCGTATTCTTCTTCGTCAAGGGCAAGCTGGTCAACGCATGGTTGAAAGTGCTCTTTCACTTCCCTTCGCCCAACAAGCCTCAAGTTCCCGTCTCTGTCGCAGTAGATGAAATGTAGAGGTATGTCGTTGTTCATGAGTGCCATGATGTCAAAATCTTCTTGGTCCAGGCTGAGGAAAGCTTCGCGTAAGCGTCACATCTCATCCGTCGTAACCAGGTCGAAAGTACCGTTTTTTTCTTCTCAAACTTGATGGTTCAGTCTTGAATCCGGATCAAACAATGACGATAAGATAAAATCGGTAGGTAGGTTCGGAGGTGAAAGTGAAAGATAATCGACACTACCGGTAACCCACGAGTGAAATATCCGCGCGGCCGCTCCTTCGTCCGGCGCTTATTTGTTCATGGTGTGTCGTTGCATCTCACCGTTCCCTATAGGTCGCTCGTTGTTCTTCAAACATGACACAGACTCTTAATCTGAGTCACTTACTGCAATAGTACCACCTAGGAAATCCGTTAGAGGTACACTGTTTCTATCATACTCTCTTCGAAAGGTATTCCACTGGTATAATCGCCGTTTGAGTCCTTCATGTTGGGATCGGTAACAGTGAAGGGAATGTTGATGAGATCCGTTTCTATCCTCCTCCAGATTCTGCCCATTGTGGTAAATTCTTTTTCCAATAGAAAACCTCTTAGCGGTGACTTAATGGCACGGGCTGCATAGCATGTGATGCCTAGCGCGTAGACATCAAAGGACATCTCCGGTAAGAGGGGGGCCATGTCGAACATGTTGTAGTCTTGGGTTGTGATGACGATTTCCTTGATTACTTGGAATGCCTTTGACGACTTGTCGAAGAAGAATCGCATAATACCTTGTCTTCGATCTGAGCCGGACGCCACGGCGACAGGAAGGATAACCAGAGGTACACGCAGACCTTTACTGGTGAGTGCCATGTCGAGCTTGTTTGAGGAGCCCGTGTCACGGTGATACGTGTGTATGTAGCTACGCGGCGAGGCAGGGAAGCACCGCGTAGCGTGATGCATGGCCGCCATTCCACCCCAGTTTAGGACAGAGGGATCTCCTCCTGTCATCATGATTGCTTCGACAAGGCGACAAAATGCGCGGTCAGCGCCTTCTCCATACGCTATCGCGATCGACACATCGAAGACACCCATCAATGAATAGGCCATGTCCTCTTCTCGCGTGACTTGTCGCTTCGCTGCCCACGACATGCGCCGGTCGATGTTGATGGGCGATGGATCGAAGTCGCACATCTCCCATGTATATATCCCCGTCGCCGTATAGACTACACGTAGAGGCTCGGAGCTTATCTCCTTGTCGCTGGGCGAGTTGGGGGCCTGAGAGAGCCGGCGCCAGTCTCTGTCGAAGAATGGATTCTCCGCGGCGCAAGGAGCTCCTGCAGCGTCCATCCCCTGCGGAACCACTCGTCCTGCGACATGTCCACGAGAGACGTGGTCTGAGCAAGGTGAACGACGCAGACGGTCGCATTTCGGTACCATCTGAACATCGAGCGGATGGATTCGTCTAGCTCGACGCTGCTTGTTTTGTCGATACAGCAGGTGTCGACCCATGCGAAATGAATGCCCTGGCGAGTGACTTCCTGACAAAATGCGACGATCTTTCTCCATCCAATCGACTGCAGAGATCTGACTCGTCCGAAATCCTGCAAAGCAACCTCTTCTGCAGACCATCTATGGGATAAAATGGCGTACTTGACGGTCTCCTGGACCAGATCACTTACGGCAAGTTGCCGCTGCCTCCGCGTGCGACTTTGCACGAATTGTTGCTCGTCAAGAGAGAGTTGACTAAGAAGTGGTTGGAAATAGTCCTTCACCGCTTGCCGTCCGACGAGCTTGAGATCGCCATTGAGACCGCACTCGATGAGGCGTATCGGGATGCTGTTGTTGACATATCTGTCAAACTCCTCACTAATCTCGGTAGAGGCCATGATTACGATAGTCTACCACCAGAAGGTTAGAAGCCCGTTCATATAAACGCATAGCTTTGGTCGACTTACATATGCGCGGAGGAAGATCAAGGGATGCTTTGAGGCGATGAGGACCCAAGGTGTTGTTATCGGCGCAGTCTCCACGTGCATCACGAGCGGATCGCACACCGCCCCAAACCTAAGTTAACATTCACCAAGTTTTAACTCCGTCATAGCGAAACTCAGAACACAGGCAAGAGCTTCTACATTGATTGAGTTCACGGATACAGAAAGGCAGCATATAGAATAGCCTATGTTCTCCGTTTAGCTTTCCGGAGCTAACTTTTCGTATTGAGGAACTCCATCGATCCTTCTTAGCCACGGCCTCCGACGGACGCAGAATATCTCCTGCACAGGCTTCCAGTCGGTGGCGTCATCTAGTGTGCCACTCTGCAGCATGACGAGATTTTTGTCCTCTGTCGTTGTTTCGAACATGGATGAGCCGCAAATGGCGCAGAACCAACGTGTCAGGGTGTTTCCGGAGGAGGTAGAGGAAGTTGAGTAAGACTTCAAGGTGCCCTGACCAGAAACAATCTCGTACTCCTACAAAGAAATCAGCTATAGATAGTGAAAGATGCGATGTGCGGACCTCTTTGTGAACCCCCAGATTGGCTACAAAGGCGGAGCCAGACGACTTTTGGCAGTCGATGCAGTGGCAGACATTGTACATCACTGGTTTCTCGGCAGATAACTCGTAGCGGATCGCGCCACAGAGACAAGAGCCTCGGCGAGGACTATCAAACGACATGATATCTAGCTATCAGAGAGGTTAGGATTACCCTGTAAGATTGTAATAGCGTAGCGCACCAAATGAGTCAGGGTCTCACTCCGAGGTCGAGATGAGCTAGTCTTGTTCGGGACCGAAATGTGAACCAGGCGCTTGCCAGGCGCATTTGGAGGAGCCAATCCTACGTTCTCTGAAAGAGCTATTGATAAGTTAATGATCGTTTCGAATATTATGGTTCTTTTGCGCATGACAGATACAAGACAGCGAACATAACATTCCACGGCATCGTTGGACGCGTTGCGTTCAGCGTTCGTGACGCGTCGACGATGCGTGTAAAACAGCCGAACGCGTCAGAACCGCTGCCATCAGGCTATAACTAAGCGTATGCCCATGACACGACGTGTTAACCTGCTATTTCATGCTGGATGGATGCTTGCAGCTGCTCTTGTTGCCGTTGGAGTAAGCCATGGCCCAGCGTGGTCTCAACATGGGGGTTGTTGACAAGCCGGGCCAGCACGGTTCTATCCCCGCTTGGGCCGGCTTCAATTTCTCCCCGCATGTGATTGTCGTGGGCACCGCACTCATCTCCCCCACGTCGATCTCTCTTGTCCATCTCTTTGCGTCGTTGACCACCTTTCTTGGACTGGTACTCTCTCGTGGACTCAAGAGCGCTCGTTTTCTCATTTTCACCCTGCTTACTTTCAACGCCCCTCTTGATACTCGATATCCTACTGTCTTTACTAGACTTTGGACACAAGGCGGACGAACCGAAGCCAGAAGCCGACGAGCCGTTCACGAGGCACCCCAAACGAAGTCATGGACTCCGACAAGAATCATCCAAAACCCCAACTACCTCGCCAGCCTTCTTACATCCAATTCACCCCCAAACGCGCCATGGCTTCGTTTGAGAATCTTGTTGCACTCGCCAATCACCAGGAGCGGCTCCGCGAGGCGCGCAAGATCGTGTGGAGGAATAGAGGAGAGCCTGCCGCAGAGCTTGATTCAGTGTGGGAATGTATAGAGCATGCTGGACGGGGTGGGATGAGTGAGTATATGCGTCTGCTTCAGTTGGGGCAATTAGGCTGACGCGTAGGCGAAGGGGCGGGCGCAATTGCATTCGCCCTTCGCGCATCTGTAAACATGGTACTGGCTTTGTTCAGGCTGGGGAAGGTCCCCAAGTGCGTCTCTATTTTCATCACTCTTCTGTCCTTCTTCTAAGTAGGTCTGACAAGGCAATTGCGCTCAACCCTGATCCTTCGTGCGATCTTTGGGCAGGACTCGTTCCGCTTCGCCGCCATGATGGGTTAGCACTCTTGACATAGGCACCTTCACGACGAGCAACTGACCTATCCTCTTTTCCCCCGCGTAATCTTCAACGGTGGCTTCACAGGCTCCTTCGTATCGATCTACAAAGCCCTCCTCAACGCTCTCCCTATCCTTTTCCCCGTATCCGACCTTAAGAATGGCAACAACCATGCACACGCCTCACCATTCGATGACGAGGACGATGAAGAGGACGAGAGCGACTTCGCCGACTTCCAAGCCAACACCTCTCCCACCGACCAGAACCGACCCGTCCCGCGCGTCATGATGGCCCAGCGGCATGCGCGACTCTCGTCCGCGGCACAGGCACATCAGGAGTGGGTGAGGAAGAAGACGAGACGATGGCACTCAGTCTTGGCGGGCGCTGTTGCGGGTGGGCTGGCGGTGATGTTTGAGAAGCGATCGAGGAGGATTACGATTGCTCAGCAGCTATTTGTCCGGTGCGCAAAACTTGGTTGGCCTCCTCTGCGCATGAAAGTCCTGACTATCTGTGCATCGCAGTGGACTCCAGGGTTCGTATAACGCGTATACCTCAAAGTGGGGCTGGCATATACCCAACGGGGAGGCCATTGTTTTCATTCTTTGGTACGTGCTTGCCTTGCGACGCTCGAGCTGTTTTTCTTACAGCTGTTTGCAGCTGTGGTCAGATCGTATATTCTCTCTTTTGTCATCCAGAAACGTTACCCCGTTCCTACAACAACTGGTGAACATGAAGTCCTCTATATCCTCTACAGACCGCTGACGCATAGATACAAGGCTGAGGACAGCCGCCGGTGCACCCCCAGAAGCATTCGAAATGATTCGGGATTTAACGCGCGAAGGACGTTTCGATGTTGCAGACCTCGACAGAGTTATTGCCCGAGGGGTCAGTCAAACACCTCCCCTCATCTTTCTCCAGCCATCCTGACACTCTGCAACTCCTTTTTAGGACGCGACCCCCTCCAACTTCACACAAATGCTCAGCCGGCGCTCCAAGGCACTCGCGGACCCGCCCGACTTCGGACCTCCGTACCCGCCATGCGGCGCAGTGCACCCTTGGGTGCAGTCATGCATGGCGGTGCCTATCCCTCGGTTCGTGGCCGTATTCCGCTGGGCGTTCTCCATCTACGGCGTGCTACACTTCATCCCGATGCTCCTCTTCAAGCGGCGTGCTGTCATGGATGCACCGCGGCACATGATGGGCCGCGCGCTGTGGGGCACGATGCGGAGCTCGGCGTTTATGGCGTCGTTTGTGGCGATATTCCAGGGTACGTCCGATGTTCTCTACGCTTGACCCTCCTTCCTGTCCCCTATTTCCTTCGATGAAGTAGAGTCAACTGACGTGGTCATCGCACATAGGCTGGTTCTGCTTCAAGAATTGGTTGCATGCCATCCTTTCTGCGTCGCCTGCATGCCCGCCTTGGCTTGCGAACGCATTCGGGTCGCGGCTGAGCTACGGATTTGGTGGGCTCTTTGGTGCGCTGAGCTTGTTCATTGAGGAGAAGCGGCGGCGCGGCGAGCTGGCGATGTATGTTGTGCCCAAGGCGCTTGAGAGCGCGTGGCTCACGGCCCGCGGAAAAGGGTGGGTGTTCAGGACGGGGCAGGGGGGCGAGATGGCTGTAAGTGTTGTTTTGGTTTGGTTTGTGCCTGAGAGGTGAAGTAGGTGCTGACTTGGTTTGGTGACAGTTGACCGCGTTTGGGATGGGAATGGTTATGGTGAGTTTTTCCACTTCTAGCGTGCTTTTGGTAGGAGAAGGTGCTGACGTGTGATGTACAGAGTATATATCAGAACGACCCACAGCATCTATCTGGGCTCGTGCGGAGAATCTTGTACCAGTTCATCGGGCCAAACTAAGATTCTTTTACGACCGTGATTGGTGGTGGCCAATCGACGATGTCTTGGTTGGGAGATACCATCGTGTGCTATCCATGGAGTCACGTTATATGTACGACAGTAAGGATGGTAATACTCATATTGCAGTAATGGCGTTGAAGTACTTAAGTCACAAGAATACAGTTTGAATCATATCGTGTGTGAGTCGCAAAGCCTCGCCCGCATGTAACTTGAAAGCTACCTCAATGAAATCGGTGGGTACTCTTTTCCAAACTTTGCCATCCTGTTCCATCATCTGTTCGTTAGGTCCTTCGGTCATAGATCCCTCCAGTAAATATCCGATCATAGGGGAAAATATCGCAGGCGTCACCTCTCGCGACGCTAAGTGGAGGCTCGCGGGATTATAATTTGTAACTCCCAGAGCGTAAATTGTGTGGGTATGTGCCGCGGCAGAGGGCGAATATGCAGCGAGGGAGATACCATCCTGAGGCGAAACTAGCAGCTGACCGACTCCTTTGCCCCCGATAGGCCCCTGAATCGAGAGGCAGTATTGAGCACGCGATCTTCCATCGGGGTGCTGCCTTGATCTTTCTAGCTTCAGAGGCAAAATGACGAGAGAAACGCGCAGGCCCCGACTGGTGAGTGCCATGTCGAGTTTAGACGAATTTTCTGGGCTGCGTTCTGGATGATCGCTGAAGCTTTGTGGTGACGCAGGAAGACAATCTGTGGCGTGGTGGGCTGCTGGATCTCCACTCCAGTTCAGTACTGACGGGTCTCCGCCTGCAAGCATAACAGCCTCAACGAGTCGACAAAAGGCTCTATCGGCACCCTCTCCGTAAGCAGTTGAGATTGAGACGTCAAAAAGACCCATGAGCGAATACGCCGTATCTTCCCCTCGGGTAACGTCTCTTTTCGAAGCCCAAGACATGCGCACATCGACTTGGGAAGGAGATGGATTAAACTCGCACAGCTCGGCCAGAGGGATTCCGGTGGCTTTAGAGGCGACAGCCAAAACTTCGGAGTTTTCGTCTTTGTCGTTATCTTGAGCTGAATTCTCGGTTGAAGTGAGGCGTCTCCACTGCCTGTCAAAGAAGTGGATCTTCTTCGGTGCTAATAGCTCCTGCAGTGTCCAGCCTCTACGGAACCATTCGTCGCCCACCATATCATTGATTGAGGTGGTCTGAGCAAGATGAATGATGCAGACAGCTGCGTTCAGATACCACCGAAACATCGAGCGAATTGACTCATCCAACTCGGTGCTACTTGTCTTATCAATGCAGCAGGTGTCGATCCAAGCGAACTGTATGCCTTGACGAATGACTTTGTCGTAGAAATGCACGACCTTTTGCCATCCGATGGATTTAAGACACTTCTTGCTCCCAAAGTCTTGGAAGGTGAGTTCATCTTCCGACCATCTGTGAGAGAGAACAGCATAGTTGACCGTCTCTTTCACTAGCCTGGCGACGGTGTGACGGCGTTGCACGCTGCCGATCTTCCCATGCTTTTCTTCGGTGATCTGAACCTTGCTGATGCGGGGCTTAAAGTGGTTCTTTAGAGTCCACCGTCCAACAAGCTTCAGCTTGCCTGTGGAATCACGATGAATGAACCGAATCGGTATGTCGTTTCCGACATATCGATGAAATTCCACCTCAATATCGTTAGGAGGCGTGGGCGTCGCGGGCTCCGCACAGCCGGCCCGGGGTGACTACATTCGCGCAAGAATATTTTAGCATGGCGTTTAACCTTATATATGCGATATCTGTATCACATACATCATCTGTCAAAGAACGCTCGACATCCTTATCCAACTGGCAGATACTCTTGAGCCAGTTCTTTGAAAGCTGTGGCTTGGCGTGAAATGGCATATTCTTGCCGTTGCGGCTCGGAGCTGTGCGGTCAAGTGGAATTTCTCTGTTGCTTAAATCTCCAAAGTGGCGCATAGCATTCACAAATAGACGCTAAGTCACCACAGCAGTATTAATAAAACCTTGTGTGTTGTTCGGCATGCTGTCAAGTTTGAATTGGCTCCACAGCTACTTACAGTCTATAGACATAGCTTTTTGGCGTTAGCGCATCATGCATACAGTACGCTCGCCAATTCCGTTCTTATTCGTTCGCCAAGTAGGGATAAATTTCAATCAGGTGCAATCGAGCATTAATAGACACAGGACTTACCGAGCATACGGACCGCTTCAGGCTGTACTGGTGAATAAAATCATTGCCAGTGTTTAACATCTCGGCGGGTCACCTTGTTGATGCTTGGAGTCCGGACACTTTACGTGATGGGAGCTCATTCATATAAGGCTGGTTACGCTGTACGAAATCATTTCGTAGTTTTCAACGCCTTTGACCATCGCTTAAGACCTCTTTTCTAACAAGTAGGCTCCTCGGCCCGGGTACTAGACACGTCCGCAACGGTGAGGAAACACGAGCTGCGATGAATCATTCTACTTATCTGACAACATGGAAGAAGATGCATGGTGAAATTGTGGAAGACCTTTACAAAGAATACATCTTCAGCGACATCCCAACGCGCCTCATATGCGTTACGGACCTGGATAACCTGAAGATCATGGATAGAGTCGAGGTTCATAAACATTTTCAAGGCGAAGTCGACAAGCTCAAGGTAGAAGAAATTGACAACACCAACCCTGAATACGAAGAGAATATTCGCAAACGAATCGCAGCCATTGTTCGCTACGCCATTTTTTCTCACCGATGGGTCATAGGCGAGCCCACATTTACCAACATGATGGGGGGAATACCTCTGGAGCTCAAGAAAGAGAGCGGATACATTAATCTGGAAAAGTTCTGCGGAAGGGCTCACTCAATGGGGTATAGTTTTGCGTGGTCGGACTCCTGCTGCATCGATAAACACAGGAGCTCAGAGCTAGATGAAGCTATACGATCGATGTTCAGATGGTATCGCCACTCGCATATTTGCATTGCGTACCTTGGTCAAACACACAGCATTGAAGATATGGGTCAAGATCAATGGTTTAAACGAGCCTGGACCCTACAGGAGCTCATAGCCCCACTACACCTCAAATTCTACACAGCAGATTGGAAAGAGTTATGCCCCGGACAGCCAAACGACAAAGTTCCTGGGCAACTCTTGACCAAGCTGTCTACCATCACTACTATCCCAGAGCACGATATTACCGACTTCTCTCCTGGAACGGATAGGATCAGTGAGAAGATGTCTTGGGCCGGTACGCGGCGGACCACCCACGTTGAGGACGTTGCATACAGCCTTATCGGGATCTTTGACGTTAGCCTCGTGATCGCGTATGGAGAGGGACGACACGCGTTCTTCCGTCTCATGGAAGCCATCATCCAGCGGTGCAATCACTGGGACATATTCGCGTGGAAAGGCGCGCCATCACCGTACAACGCGGCGCTTCCTTCTTCTCCTACTTGCTATGCGGTGCGAAACAACCTGCCGCAGGGCCAGAATGCCCTCATCCCCGAGTACTTAAAGGAACGCTTGTACAGCACGGGAGACGTATCGTTTTCCCTCACCAACCGTGGCCTTCACATCAGATTACTCTTCCTCAACGTAACCAGCAGCTCCACGGAACGTCCTTCGAGCGGCCCACATAATATGATATTGCACCATTCCGATGGGGTGATTGAAGACGTGGTCGTGGAGTTTCGTGTGTTACCTACGTGGGTCACAGAGGAAGATGGCAAGATAGCTCTTGGAATACTGGATTACCTGACGGAGGATGGGTCACCAACAGGGCTAATCGACAAACATAGGACGTTCACGGCCTTCCTTCTGAGGCTCAACTCTACCTCTAGCCGGCGGGGATGGGAGAAGGTGGTGACATTGAACTTGCTCACAGTAAGGCCCATTACATGTGTTCACGGGAAGTTTCAAGAGGTGTGGCTTTGAGAACTACTCCTCTGTCGCATATGAAATATACGACATACATAATCATCTGTAGTATATCCCGTAAATCGCTTAGGCTGCGCAAAGAAGCGCGAGGATGAATCATTGACGAGCTAATCCGTGTAAACCAGCGGAAGTAATGCCGAGCGAATTTTACGCGGTATTGATTCGAAACTGAACCTCCGCTTACTTGATGTTCATCCGGACACCTGGAGAGACATGCCAAAAATCGCGCAAACTCAACACGGCGAGGCTAATCACTGGCATGCCCTAGACTCGTGACCGGTCAGCGCTTTTGCGTTCGGAGATAATCATATCGCCGATCGCACCGTACAGCCCGAAGAAGACGGGGATGGGCGTCTCCAGCTTCCTGTCCCACTTCCCTGACCCAATGATCTGTCAGAATCGCTGGTGAATGGAAGAGGTTTAACTCTGGAAGCACCAGTCTCATTCCAGGAGATGATATCTTCAGATTGTTGGCAGCGCACTGGGACAAGGAAAGGTGCTTACAAGGAAGGGCGGCTTGCGTGGATTTGTCACGGTTAAGCATCCGACACACACCGAAGGCAATCGTGCCTGGCGTCAAGGTAACTTGGAAGAGCTCTAGATGATCGTGAGTCGCAAATGAGTCGCATACCCTCCGAGTTGTTGTCGCAGGTTTGCGAGCAAAACCTAACCTAGCATAGAGAAAAGGGCACGAGGTTGTCTAAGTCCACTCGAGACAGCGACACGGCCAATGAGGCCAAACAAGTTCGCCTTTCCCGAGCAAGCATCGACGAGTCGACGAGGCTGCAAGGATGCAACGTGCGTTCAAACGCCGCTTTTAGCATCCCCGGCGGTGTTCGCGCCACCCAATGACAGGTCAGGGAGCCGCACCACCAACCTCACGCGGAGCGAACGTGCGTGTTGGCGATGTCAGCGTCGCACCCGAACAGCACACATGCTTCATCTCGCTGCAGAGCCCAACATCATCGCTCTGTCGTCCGCTTGCGAACATGGCGCAAATCGGACAGAGTGGGCCTTTTTCGCGTTTTTCTCTCCAACTCCTCCAAGGACTGGCCTCGGTCGTGCAGACGGGGACCTCATTAGGTGAGCGACGCTCCACCGTGACGGCAATCTATAAGCCTGAACGGGGCTGGTTTATTCGTAAAGGTTGACGACCCCCCGCTCCACCCACAGCCTCATCTTCGACCATCCAGGCCACGAAGAACATCCCAGAAGGATCTGCACCGGATCTACGCATACATCCTATCTCTTGAGGACGACGACCTAGCACAACAACGACCAGGGTATACCACGATACCATCATGACCTACACCACAGATCGCCAACCTTCGCCATGCCTCAAGACCTCCAAGGAGGCTTCGACACACTTCCACCACGGTGACGACCCAGAACGCGCATCCCTTCTCGATCCCACCTCCCCCGCCCGTCCCTCGCGCAGACCGTTTCGCGCACGCGCACCCCTCCTTGCCATCTTACTGCTCATCCCGCTCGCACTATGGGGCGCTCGACACCTTCCACATCTCCCCCGCTCTTCTCGACCGCCCGTGCAGCTCGCCGACATGGCAAAGAACGCATCGTTGCAAGACGAGTGGGAGGCCATCCAGAACGAAACGGCGTCTCTGGGCATCGCGCGCGGTGTACAGCGCAGCTGGTCGAACTACAGCCCGTACTACCCCGCAGGGAGCTACGAGAGTCCGCCGGAGGGGTGTGTGGTTGATCAGGTACACTTGGTGTGTTTCCGTTTCTTCGATGAATTATCAGAGAATGCGATGCTAAAATAGGGTATATGCGCGGTAGCTGCAACGGCATGGTGCGCGTTTCCCGACTTCGGGCTCGGAGGGACGGATCCTGCAGGCGCTGGGGAAGCTCAAAGCCGCTGCCCCGTACGAGGACCCCGCGTTCGCGTTTTTGGAGAGGTTTAGGTGGATGCTTGGGCAGGCGGATTTGATTCCCCTGGGTGCTGCGCAGTGCGTTTTCATCATTGTTCATGTCCCTCCCAGGGCGCTTATCCTGTTGTTTGTTATCGCCGCGGCCAGGTCGTTCGATGCAGGGGGCGTTCATTACTCCCGCTACGCGCATCTTGTCGGTCCAGAGTATAACGCGGATCAGATGCCCTTTGTCAGAGCATCAGACGCGTCGAGGGTGGTCGACAGTGCACATAACTGGTCGGCGGGGTTCGCTGCCGCGAGTGGGAATAGGTGGCATCCTCTGCTATCGGTCATCATCGATGAGAATGTGCGCATAATCTATGCTATGACTGCATGTATGCGCGCAGATCTGACGTCTGACGCTAATAATAGGTGGGCGCGAACAACACACTGGACGACAACTGGTGTCCTGCGCACAACGCCGACCGCGGGCCGGAAACAGCGTTTCTCATCCGCGGGCTCTCCGCCGCGCTCGAGCGCATTCATAGGATCGCGCCTAAAGCGACGACGTTCGACACGGACGACGTGCGCGAGCTTCTCGGCGCGTGCGCGTTTGACACCCTCGCTCGTTGGGTGCCCGATCCCTCGTCCTCCCCATCAGCCCCAGAAGACGGATACAGTTCGTCGGGCGGCCACGGCTCGCCCTCCCCCCTCTGCGCGCTGTTCTCCCCCTCCTTTGAAAGCGACGACGAGTCGAACGAGTGGGCCTCGTACGCGCGCGCGGCGGACATCGAGAAGTGGTTCGACGTCGGCCCGGGGAACAAGCTTGGTCCAGTTCAGGGGGTCGGGTATATCGCGGAGCTGCTCGCACGGTTGACCGACAAGCCTGTCGAGGACGGGACGAGCACGGATGCGGGGCTGTATTTTCCGCTTGGAAGGAGGATGTATGTGGATTTCAGCCATGAGGGGGCGATGAACGCTGTTTATGCTGCTATGGGGCTGTTTTATGATGCGGAGGAGGGTGTCGCTGTGAGTGGTCTGAAAGACGGGGGAATATGGGCGGGTGAGGGCGAGGGCGAGGGCGAGGAAGATGGGGGTGCCGAGGTGGCGAAGAAGAAGCACAAGCACAAGAATAAGGAGGCGGAGAAGAAGGACAGGAAGCGCGCGTCGAAGGTGCCCGAGACGTGGCGCGCGAGGGATATGGTGCCGTTCTCGGGGCGGATGGTTGTTGAGCGGTTGAAGTGCGATGCGTCCTACGCCCCTTCGTCGCCCTCAAATGACGACATGGGCGATCTTGACTTTGAAGACGAGCTCGACTCCAACTCAGACCTCGATGCTGTGAAGAAGAAAAAGGACAAGTACCCGGATACGTACGTGCGTGTGCTCGTGGACGATGCGTTGCAGCCGCTGGCGTTCTGCGGTGCTGGGGAGGACGGCGTGTGCTCGTTGAAGAAGTTTGTCAAGAGCCAGAAGTTTGCGAGGAAGACGGGGCAGAAGCGGTGGGAGAAGTGTTTTGCGTGTAAGTCTGGGATTAAGAAGAGGAAGAACAAGTGTTAGGTATTTTGAGCATTACGGCGCATTGGGCATGTGTGCCATATAGGCACAGTAATCGGCTATCAGGACGGTTAAGGTATATCGAGTATACGTATAACCATTATAATAGGGAGCCAGGTTGGCGCGTATCTTGCAATTGAAGCATACCTGCGGTAGTTTTCACTTGGAAGATCCTTTGGAAGGTAGATGAGCGTTCCTTCTCATCTGCTGTCGTTTTGCTCTCGCCGAGGGTATATAAATTGATACCTTGGCCCGAGGTTACTGACAAGCACTTAGCAGTGCAGCGTACAATGAATCTCCTGAACCTTAGAGTACGGCGCTACACGGCGACAAGAATATTGATGACAGTATCATATACAGGGACAGGATCACAGCAGGGAAAACGACGCTGTGAGGTTGAGAATTTATAGTTGCTCGTGTGTTGATGATCGATTGGTAAGGCTTTGTTCAGCATGTACCTCCGCCTCCGGGCCCACCACCCCCGCCACAACCACCGCCTCCCCCGCCGCCCCCGCCACAACCACCGCCACCACCTCCTCCCCCGCTGCTGCTGCCACCACCGCATGCTGCTGCTGCTGCTCCACCTCCACCCCCACCTCCGCCGCCGCACGCTATTCCTCCACCACTACCGCCGCACACTGACCCCCCTCCAATGCCACCACCTACAATTCCTCCGCCTGAACTTCCTCCACCTGAACTTCTTGCACCTGAACTTCCTGCACCTGTACTTCCTCCACCACATGCTGCAGCACCGCCTCCGCAAGAGGCACCAGTTGCACATGCCCCAACACCAGCTGCACACGTGGAAGTGCACCCGCCAGCCTATAAAATGACAATTAGTATGTTCCATTATATCGGGACAGCAAGAAAATACACACAGCACACCTGCCCGACGACGCCGTCGGACCCGTCACAACACCCCCTGTACCAGCTACACGTCCACCCGGCATCCAGTAATACATAGGAACCGGGTACAGGGACGCCTGTGAATGCGTCGGCGCCCTCGCCCGACTCTGAGCCCATGGCTCTCCGCGGCTGCCGCTGTCGTTGCTTTGAGCCGCCTTGCGCACACGCCGCGCGAACTTCTCCTCGCGGTGCCTTCTTCCGAGCATACTCGAGCTCTTGCGATGCAGCGGAAACACGGCGTTGTGCTCGCTCGGATGCGTAGCTGCAAGCGCTAGTGGTGTGTCGGTAGGTAAGAGCGCTTCCGCTTCTGGGGGAGCGTGCCGGTTTACGAGGCGCTTGAGCTTCTGCCCGAGAGTGTCCCCGGGCAGAGGGCAGCCGCAGTGCATGTACGGTACGTGGTATTTGTCCTGCCACACGCGGCAAGTGACGTCGAAGGAGTTTGCGAGCCGGTTTTCTTCAACCTTGTCATTGCTGTAGCGAATGGTAAGACCAAGTGGAAAAGGATAAAGGTACTAGGATATTACTGGTCGACATATCGTTTGATGTATTTGATGCAGTTCTTCTGATAGGCCTTTGCCATGAGCTGATGTGTGTGCCACGCGAGGTCGATATCAAGGGTAGGTACGAAGAATGATGCCGGTGACTCAGCCATGAGCCCCAAGAACCTGCGCTACATGTTCAAATACAATCGTTCAATAAGGTAAAAATTGAGAGTACGCGTGATATCGAGCGACACAGTGTTCCAACACCAGCTGGTCCTCCTGAGCATCGAAAAATCCCGGCCGGATCCATTCGAGATCGTGCATCTTCTCTATGAACGATCCCTGACGAAGCACCGCGCCCACAAGATCAAGCGAAAATACGCGGTCATCTGTTTAAGCGCTGAATATCCGTGTTCGCCTATTGGAGCCGTCAGTACACTGCATGCGAGCGTACCAGAGGTGGTGAGCAAACGGACAGCAGGTGTAAAACCTGCGAATGCATAGCAGCATGAAACTTCTTGACCGAGTAATCAACGTTCAGCAGGATTTGTCGCGTGTAATTGTCAACGTCGTGTCCGTCGAGTCGCGGCGCCTGCGAGAGGGCCTGCTGCACCGGCATCGCAGCAAGGACACGGTCCTTGATATGAGTTGCGAACCTCTTGTCTATCAGAGACGTGGGCGTCATGACGGTTCGCCTGGTACGCGAGCATCGTCAGCCAGATATCCGGCCTGCGCGTTATGAGATGAACCTACGCAAGGTACTTGTCTGGAGCGCCAGTTTTGACGATGTTCCTGGCAAGTTTGGTGAGGCCGAGAGATTCCTTGGTGATTTGATAGCTACAGTCGCATTCGTGGCCGAACTTGCTCTGTGCGTAGCCTGTCCCTCGCGACGTAATGAACGCTGCCATAAGTCAGAACCGTGTTCCTTGACAGAGAGAAGCGTGTGATGAGAACTCACGGACAGTGACGTGGGCAAAGCATAGCGGACACTGAACATACTTATGCGTCATCTCGGCAATGGCGTTGGCTGGTGCATACGGCGTGCGTGTCCGCTGTATCCATGATTGAACACGTTCTGGAGTCGGGTTATCGGTGGTTAGAAGATCGGGAAGTGCCTATCATTGCATATACGTTAGGGTTCTCAAGGAATGCAGTATTGTTCGGATGACGTACCAGGAACATCTCCATGTCCTCAGTGTACTTGGTTAGGCGTCCAAGCTGACGAACGCGGGTAGTATCCTCGGCATACTTGCTACGGTAGCATCAGTACAATTGCCAGAGAAGAGTCTAAAATGGGGCGTACTTGGGGTTAAGCAAGTACGAGTGCCAGACCATCACTACGTCAATCGGCGGAAGGTGGTCCAGCACGACGTCATCCTCTTCTAGCGTCAAACACCATCGTTCGAACCTTGACGCAATATGCGAAATCAGCCTCACAGCAACGTTAAAGAGAACCATGTTGTACGCACCGTTCAACTGCTAAGTTTACAAACCATCCCCACCGCCCCGCCGGGTCCATTCTCTGCACGAAGGCTGGTATTCTCTCGTCGGCGCCCTGCTCCATCGCCATGCGAAGCGCGTGAAACGCGTGGAGAATGGCAAGATGCCCCTGTAACTGTGCGGAATTCACGAAGGCCTTGACCGACCGTTGACCCATGGTGTATTTCTTGGGTGAGGTGTAGACCGGTAACTGCGCGTCACCGTCTGGGGCACCATTGTTCATCGTCCCTGCCGGATGTTCCTGGAGGCCATTCGAGTCGAGGTTGGGTTCAAGATGCAGCCCATCGTTGGCTTCCGTCCATATCTCGTGGCCGACTGCTTCGGCCTCTTCGTCGGCGCGCAAAAGACGTGGAGCGGAGCGAGACGTAGAGGACTCTGGGGACATGTTATTGTATGGTGGTCGGCGTGAAGTTGAGGTAACCGTGCTCTCGTTGACACTATCACGGTCGTTAGTTAGAGGGTGAGTTGGGATCTACGGCAATCAGAAAAGTCACCCAAACTGCCGCTATTACATTCTGATGAGGAACTTGCTGTAGAACTCGCTTTCGACACTGCCTATTGATGGAGACCACGGGGTACAGGAAGATTCAACGACGGATCCTATTCTGTCAGAGCAACTCTGAGCTAACAGGGAGATGAACTTCGGGCAGAGTAGCACACACCTAGCATAAGTTAAGAACCTGCCGAGTTACAGGTCAATGAATCAACGATTACGATGGCATTGCAGGAGTTTTACCAATCTTTCCTCATAGTGCCTCATAATGACACGACAGCCGCATAGGACGATGTAAAGAGGGACATCGTTGGTAGGGCTTTAACTAGCAGCCTAAATGATCCACTATTCTGTCCAAGAAGTTCGTAAGCGGGTTAGGGCGGATTCATGGTGGATAGTGTCGTGTGACGGGCGTGTGCTGCTCATAAAGCACAGTTCTATTTGCTGTATGTGAGAACGTTTCGATGAAAGATACGAACGCATCCAGAGTGTGCATGCAAGGTGTAAGGGGGCGCCGCTTAGGGAAAACTCACAAAATGGCGAGTGGGCATTGGATATCCTCGACAACTGGGCGTTGGAGGGTGGAGAGGAATTTATCGAGGATTGCGAGACCGCAAGAGGGATGCCTGTTGGGTTTACGGTTTGCTTCTGAGCTTGAACCCAGTGCTATCTCAATGGGAAAAGGAGACGACGGAAAATGTGCTAAAGGCGTACCCCGCTTGTTCGGTCAGCAATGTTTTGGCGGAGGTGTACCTATAAGTATGATTTAACGATACCAATGCAGCATTATACGGTGCCGAGTGTGATTCCCAAGGCATGTTCGAGGCGTCGATATATTCAGAGCTCGAGTATATACACTCGAGATGCCATGTTTCCTAGAGGAAATCCACGGTGTCAAGATTGTCCCAGGTCAGTTAGATAGAGAAGACTGTTGGGTGGTGTAACGGTGCAGGCCGTTACAATTACGTAGTCATATTGCTCACGTTGTCGCGGCCGGTAGCTTTCCCTCACGGAGGGTTTTGACGCACCCGTGCCTTAACTATATAGTTGGCGCTCGTTTATTCTCACGCATCCGTAGCTAGTTAGAAGTACTATTGTTTTGTATGTTTTCTCTTCGTCTACTCAACGCCAGTATTCGCTGCCATTCTACTCGTTCTATTCCATTACTCCTCGTCTCGCTCGTTTCGGCTTCTCTCGTCTCGACATCAACCCCCGGCACCGTTACAGTTTGAGTAGACCAACCTTCCGGAACGAGCTAAGTCCCTCCACTCCGACTAGCCCGCTTTTCGCTTTTCCGCTCCCACCCATTCATTTCGACTCTTCTTTTCGCGCGCTTATTTCATTTCCACTTCTCCGCGCCCTCGTTGCTTCTTTCTACTAAAATGTCTTGGAACCCCGCAGATCAGAACCCCACCGACGAATGGGATACCGGCTTCGTTGCCGACGAAGCCGCCGCGCCCTCGATCGAGGCGCCGCCGGCTCCCGCACCTCCTCAGGCGACCACTGCCGAGGAGATCCTCTGGTCGGCGCTCAGCGAGATGCGTCGCGAGTCGGCCGAGGCACGCGAGCGCTTCGAGCGTCAACAGCAGTCCTCCAACGAGGCACTCACTGCCATGGCCGCCGCCCTCCGCGAGTTTCGACGCGCGCCGGCTTACGCGGTTCCTCCCGCTCCGGCCACCGCCCACCACTTCGCACCCACGCCCGCTCGGCCGCTCAAGGCTCGTGAGCCTCGCCTGTTCGACGGCACGACCGCCAACGTCGAGCCGTTCATCGACGAGGTCGAGACGAACATCCGTCTTCAACGCATGGCGGACGACCGCGACAAAACTGGCTACCTCTCGACGTACCTCAAGGACGGTAACCCGAAGACGTGGTACTACACCGTCAAGACACACGAGCCGCACCTGCTCGACGATTTCCCTGAGTTCCTCGACGCTTTCCGTACCCAATTCGCTGACCCCAATCTTTCACGCACTGCTATGCGTAAGATCCAAGCCCTCAAGCAGACGGGCTCGTGCGCGGCTTACGCGGCTCGCTTTCGCGAGCTGCTCCCGCTCGTCGACTTCTCGCCCACCACGCAGCTCGACCAGTTCAAGAATGGTCTGAAACTCGCTGTTCGCGATCTCGTTCGCGGCGTACGTCCCAAGCCCAAGACGTTCGACGAGTACGTCGCCCTCGCCATCGAGTTCGACAACGACCTGCACGAGGACGAGCTTGCCGCCAAGCACATGCGCGAGCCTCCACGCCGCGGCCTCGAGCTTCGTGAGGTTCGCCGCACTGCACCGCCCTCGCCACGCCCATCGACTTCCGCCGCCGCGTCGTCCGACGTCGTCCCCATGGAGGTCGACGCTGTCAAGTTCCGTGGTCCGCTCTCGCAAGAAGAGAAGGACCGTCGCAAGCGTCTCGGCCTCTGCGACTACTGCGGCCAGGGCAAGCACTCCGCCGACGACTGCCCTAACAAGTCCGACAAGGCGAAGAGGCGCGACGCGGAACGCAAGGCTGCTCTCGCGAAAGCGGGAAAAGCCTAACCGGGAGTCCACCCACTGCCCTAGGGCTCCCGGTCGCCGACGATAGGGCACGTCCGCTCCCGACCGTGACGCCTGCGTTCGTTCGCGCGACGGACGGACGTTATATACCCCAGAACTACGTCCCTTCTCGTTTCGTTTTCGCTTCCTCCACTTATTTTAATTCCCCAGACCACTTCTTCATCAACGTCGCTCTCTCGTTCCCTGGTCGCAAGCCCATCCGCACGTTCGCTCTCGTCGATTCCGGCGCTAGCGCATCGTGTATTTCGGACCGCTTTGCTCAACGCCATTCGCTTCCGCGCGCGCCAAAGGATGTTCCCGTCCCGATTACCGCCGTTGACGACCGTCCCATCGCTAATGGTCTCGTCACTCACGACGTCGTTGCTCAACTATCGGTGGACAAACATTCCGAGGTCATGCGCCTAGGCATTGTATCAGTGGGTTATCCTGTTATCTTGGGCTTGGACTGGCTACGTCGTCATAATCCGCAGATCGACTGGTCCACTATGGACTTATCCCTTTCGTGTTGCAATCTTCGTCGCTCTACGCCGGTGCGCGTCGTCGCTCAAGGCCCTGGTCTTCCTCGACTTCCGCCCACCTCGCTTTCTGTCAACTCTACTTCTGTGACCTCCGTCGGTTTAGGCTTTGGTCTTCGCGGCGAGTCCCTCTTTTCCTCTCATTCCCTCGCTTCTCCTCTCCCTGTACCTACATCTTCTCCCCCCAATATATCACCTTCTGCATTGCATGATGAGCGTTTGGCCAACGCCTCGTCTTCGCGCTCGTCCGCGGACAGCGCGCCAACTTCTCTGAAGTATACTTCCTCCCCCACTCCCTCTTTTCTCTCTGCGATGACGGGACTTAACGGCTTCGGTCGCTCTGTCCTCGATAGCTCTCATCCTTTACCTTCTCCCCGTCCTAATATTCGCATTCTCTCGTCTTCACGCTTCCGGAAATCCGCGAAGAACCATGATATTGCGCTGATTCGTTTCCATCCTGTAGATTCCCCATCGTACCGCATTGCCACTATGGGCTCGACGCCCTCGTCGCACGATTCCGACCTTGGTCCTGACGACCCTCATGACGCTTCTGCGCTGCGCGCATTACCAGCTAAGTATTTCCCCTGGGCTTCGAGCGTCTTTTCGGACACTGAGGTCGACGCTCTTCCTCCACACCGCCCATACGACATCTCAATCGACCTCGAGGACGGCAAGTCTCCGCCTTTCGGTCCGATGTATCGCCTCTCGCAGGACGAGCGCGACGCACTCGCCAAGTACCTCGACGAGAACCTCCGGAAAGGTTTCATCCGTCGCTCCACCTCCGCCGCCGCTTCCCCCATCCTATTCGTACGCAAGAAGTCCGGCGAGCTCCGGCTCTGCGTCGACTATCGCGGTCTCAACTCCATCACGAAGAAGAACCGCTATCCGCTCCCTCTCATCGACGACCTCCTCGACAGGACTCAAGGCTGCAAGGTCTTCACCGTTATCGACCTCAAGAACGCCTTCAACCTCATTCGCATCAAGGACGGCGACGAGTGGAAGACTGCGTTTCGTACCCCGCAAGGGCTCTTCGAGACGCTTGTCATGCCTTTCGGTCTCACCAACGCGCCGTCGACGTTTCAGGCGTTCATCCAGGATACGCTACGCGACTACCTCGACGTTTTCTGTGTTGTCTATCTCGATGATATACTAATCTTCTCTCGCTCGCAGGACGAGCACGATGCGCACGTCATGAAGGTGCTAGATCGCCTCAAGTCTGCGCGTCTCTTCGCCAACCCCGAGAAGTGCACCTTCGACCGCTCCGAGGTGGACTACCTTGGTTATGTCATCGGCGCTGACGGCATCAAGATGAGCCCGAAGAAGCTCGACACCGTTCGTTCATGGCCCGAACCTCGCAGCGTCCGCGACGTGCAGTCGTTCCTGGGTTTTACGAATTTTTACCGCCGCTTTGTTCTTCGTTATTCTGCCGTCGCTCTTCCGCTCACTTCTCTTTGCAAAAAGGACGTTCCCTTCGCGTTTTCGGACGCTGCACGCGCCTCGTTTGAAGCGCTCAAGTCGGCGCTTGCCTCTTATCCTGTCCTTCACCACTACGATCCCTCGCGTCCGTGCACGCTCGCTACCGACGCTTCCGACTTCGCCCTCGCCAGCGTCCTCCTCCAGCCCGACGATGACGGCGTCCTCCACCCGGTCGCTTATTACTCCCGCAAGTTCACGCCTGCCGAAATTAACTATGAGGTTTACGACAAGGAGCTCCTCGCCGTGGTTGATTCATTCCGCGACATGCGCGCCTGGCTGCTCGGCTCCGCTCACCCGGTCTCGGTGATTTCGGACCACAAAAACCTTGAGTATTTCATGTCTTCTCGCGTTCTTAATCGTCGTCAGGCGCGCTGGTCGATGTTCCTCTCGGAATTCGATTTTAAGCTCGTTTGGGGCCCGGGTATCAAGAACGTCGCTGACGCACCGTCACGGCGCCCGGACTTTGTCCCTCGGAAGGGGGATGAGGCCTTCGAAGCACAGTTCAAGACGCTTCTCAAGCCCTATCACACCCAGTCGTTATTCCCTGAGTCCACTCTCCTCCCTTCTCTTGATTCTCCTCCTTCTGTTTCAGTTTCTGCGCTCACCACTCTTACAGTCGATTCATCCGAGCTCCTCAAGCGTTTTCAGCACGAATGGGAGTCTGATCAAGAGTGGCGTGAAGCGCTAGCCCGAGGCGACCCTGACTTTACCGCCGAACGCGGTATGGTATTCCACAAGGGCCGTCTTTTTGTTCCTCTTGCACTTCGCTCAGATATTCTCCACTCACGTCATGACGCTCTCGTTGCAGGCCATCCCGGACGCACGCGCACGTTGCAGAACGTTCAGCGCGATTATTCCTGGCCCGGTGTTTATACCTTCGTCCGCCACTACGTTGAGGCATGCGACGTCTGCCCGCGCATCAAGGCAGTTCGACATCGCCCCTACGGACCGCTGCAACCCCTCGACATTCCCTCTCGCCCGTGGAACTCGATCTCCATGGACTTCATCGTCAAACTCCCCGTCTCGCATGGTTACGACTCAATCTGGGTTGTGTGCGACCGCTTCACTCGCGCCGCCCACTTCATTCCGTGCAAGGAGACGATCACATCCCCCGAGTTGGCGTGGCTATTCCTCGATCGCGTTTTCCGTTACCACGGTCTCCCAGAGTCGATTATATCCGACCGCGGTTCTGTATTCATTTCTCAGTTTTGGTCAGAGCTCACGCGTTTGTTGCAGATCGACGCTCGCAAGTCCACCGCCTATCACCCGCAGACGGACGGACTCACAGAACGCACAAACCAGACGCTCGAGACGTATCTCCGCGCTTACGTTTCATACCAGCAAGACGACTGGGTCGACTACTTACCTGCCGCCGAGTTCGCGTTCAATAACGCAGAAAACGCGTCCACCAAGCAGACGCCGTTTTTTGCCATGACTGGATTCCACCCTGTTTTCGAACCTCGTATCACCGACGCTGACACTTCTTCTGTTCCAGCTGCTGCCGACCTCGCCTCTCGACTCAAACGCATTCACGCTGAGCTGCGCGCTGAGCTCACCCATGCGCAAGAGGTGCAGTCACGCGCATACGACCAGCATCGTGATCCGTCCCCGGATCTCACACCCGGTCAACTCGTCTGGCTCTTGCGTCGCAACATCAAGACCACACGGCCATCCAACAAGCTCGACCATCGTCGACTAGGCCCTTATCCTGTTGTTCGTGCCGTTGGCACTCGTGCATACGAGCTACGTCTTCCTTCTTATTTGTCTCGCCTTCACCCCGTTTTCCATATCTCCCTCCTTGAGCCCTACAAAGATCCTACTGAGTTCCATGGTCATGCAGAACCTCAGCCCTTTGAGCTGTTTGCTGACGACGACCCCGCTACGCACGTCGCCGCTATTCTCGATGCTCGCAAGACTGGCCGCCGTTACGAGTACCTTGTACACTACCACGACCGTCCTGCCGATGAAGACGCTTGGATCCCGCTCTCCGACATTCCACGCACGGCCGATGAGCTGCTCGAGCGCTTCCACCGCCGTCACCCGCGCGCACCTCGGCCAACGCGTCTTGTTTTGGATCGCTCTTATTTGGTGATACCTTCCCCCACTTCTCCTTCACTTCCTACGCTCGCTCCCCTTGTCCCAGATGCCCCCCTCCATGGTGCTGCAGTCCCTCGCGCCACCTCACGCTCTCCGACACCACCGCCGCTTCGTGAAGACCCTCGCACGCTCTATGTTCCGCCTTCGTCAACAACACTTCGTTCTGGTCGTGTCTCTCGCCCCGCCAATCGCCTCAACCTATAGCCGTCCAGCATCGCTTTCTCACCTCAAGTTCGACGCTGGAAGGGGGATGATGTAACGGTGCAGGCCGTTACAATTACGTAGTCATATTGCTCACGTTGTCGCGGCCGGTAGCTTTCCCTCACGGAGGGTTTTGACGCACCCGTGCCTTAACTATATAGTTGGCGCTCGTTTATTCTCACGCATCCGTAGCTAGTTAGAAGTACTATTGTTTTGTATGTTTTCTCTTCGTCTACTCAACGCCAGTATTCGCTGCCATTCTACTCGTTCTATTCCATTACTCCTCGTCTCGCTCGTTTCGGCTTCTCTCGTCTCGACATCAACCCCCGGCACCGTTACAGGTGGCCGCAGGGGTCGCAGACCTAGGATTGAGTTGTGCTGATAGCTCATGTCTACGTCACGTTTTACGCCATGAGGTCGGGCGTTTGTATTTGGCTCAAGAGGGCGTGCGGTTTATAGGGTGACGCAGGTCTTGCATGGTCTGCGCATCTGAGGAGGTTTGATGATATAGTAGATGATGTCTGAGCGCGAGCTTGAGCCTAGGTTCATCAGCACAACGTTCTCGACCGTCGCTGTCGGGCCAAAAAAGCTTCCGTCGCCGGCCAAGAGACGCCGAGTGTGGGCGTCAACGTGCCCGATCGCCGAATGGAGCTCATCCGTCACCGGCAATATTGCCTGATATAGAAGGAGGAATCCTGCGAGGCCGGGCCAGCCGCCGTAAGGGACGCAGCGCCTCGTGGACATCTTTGGCTCTCGCCTTTCATTTCCTCGCCCACCGCCCTTTTCTCCCTTTCTTACGCTCTCCTGCTCTTGCCTTGCCTTTGGGCACCATCCAAGAGGGCACGCACGCACGACACGACAGATAACGGCCCAGCTCTTGATACAAACACAAGTCACGTTTGACGAAATTACACATCTTAGTCATCGTTCATCATCTTTGACGCATCTATCACAACAACGAACTACGTAACGAAAAGGGTCTTGCAAAGATCTGTGGCACGCTACGACACCTCATACGACGACGCACGATACACTCCTATCGATACTTTGACGCATCTTCCACGCGCATACGACCACCATGCCACAGCGATACCGCTACCGCAACTCCAACTCGGTCGTCTATGACCGTGCCACCGCCGACTCTGGCGATGCATCATCGTCGTCAGCACCTCTCGGATCGTCCAGTGGCGGTGGAAGCCCGAGACGGCGTCGGCATATCCGCGAAGTCGAGTGGGCGACGGGGCGAGAGATTTGGGAGCGCGTGCCAGGAAGCGAGGGCATAGACAGGACCGATGAGGACCGGGAAAGAGAGAGACGAGGAGAAGAGGATAGAGAGGGAGAGGTGGAAACGGACATAGGCTACGCAGACGAAGACGCAGACGACTCGCTCGTCCTCTCAGACCTCGTCCGCACGGGCGAGGCCTCGCGCCTCCGCAGGCGCGGCGCCATCCTCCGCATCGACCATGCCCATCGCGAGTCGCGCTCTTCGGCTGGCTCGGGGCCGGGCATCCCAGGGCGTCGGACGTCGTATGCACCTGCAGCGTCGAGCTTGCCCGGGGCGGACGCGGGCGCGGGGTCAGGAGGCGGAGGCAATAGAGGGTTGTCGCGCTCGCCGACCTGGCTCCCGTTCGAGCGCGAGAGGGAGCGCGGCGGAACGGCGGGGAGTGCGAGTGCGTTCTTCAACTACGACTACGACGTCGATTACGACGCGGTCCCGTACAACCTCACCGGTGGTCTACCCAACGATGACCCCGACGGGGAGCTGTACGATCCCAATCCGGAGCTGGACCCGTCCACCATCAATCCTGCGTACAGCCCGGTGTTCCCAGGTCTGGATCTCACGTACGCCCTCGAGCCAGAGGGAGATGCGGACGCGGACGCGGCGTTTGACATGGCAGCGCAGGCGCCCCCCATGCCTGCGCCGGACGACAGCTACACGTACACGCTCACATGCGGCGGACCGCTCCCTGCGGCAGAGGCGGAAGAGCTCGAGGACACGGACACGTTCGCGAGTGTGCATGGGTGGGGGAAGAAAAGGGGGCCGTTTGTGCCTGCTATCCTTCCGGACCAGGTGCCTTCGTCATCGACGGCTTCGACATCATCGCACACACGCACGAAGAGAGCTAGGAGCACAGGCTGTGGCGCGGTACTGCACGTCGCAGCTGCGCCGCGCACGCGTGCGGGAGTGTGGGTTGCCCGGGCCGCTGCGACCTCCGCCGTCGGTGGCGTCGGAAGTGCGCACGCTGGCGCAGGCAGTGGACGCCGTGCGGTTGGGGGCTTGGGGCGCGTGAGGAGCGCCTGTGGGTGTATACGAGAAGGAGTGGCTTGCGTGATCTGGTGCGTCCCTCCTTTTATACTGTCATCTTTCCCATTCCTAACAACCGTTGCTGCTTACCAGTGGCAACGTCATCGGCACGCGCTACCGCCCGTGCCAAGCAGCGAGCGAAGGCCTCTTCGCGAGCGCTGCGCGGCGTACACCCGGGAGCACGACGCACGGGGCGAGGCGCATTCGCGCACCGGAGGGACCAGAGTATTGGCATGCAAGAGCGCCATCGCCGTCGCCTTCTTCCTCCTCCTCATCGACGGTCTCCTCAACGTCGACGCGGCCGGAGCTCGCGCATCGCGTGACGAACATACCGTATTTCCCGACGTCGTCGGGCGCACAGTCCCCCGACGGCGACGGCGACGGCGACGATGCGCAGGCGACACCGACACCGACGCTCGGTGGCGGATGGAGTACATCCAACACACAGCAAACAGGGGAATCGCGCCAGACCCAGACCCAAACTCAGGCGCAGGCGCAGGCGCGGTCCCGCCCGCAGTACATCTACACCTTCCTCGCGCGCTCTGTCTCGTCCTACCCGTCTCTCGACTTCCCGACGGCATTGCAGACCCCGTCAACGCCGATGTCGTCGTGGGCAGCTGCGGGCGCGGGTGTGGGTGCGGGTGCCGGAGTAGGGGCGGGACTGCGCGCGTCGGCGCCCGCGGGCGGGTGGGGGTTCACGTCGGAGTATACGGCGCCTGAGCTGCTGCGCTATGCGTCGGGGGACAGCTATGGCGGGTACGAGAGCTGGTATACGCCGCGCAGTGATTTTGAGCGTGGGGGTGGTGGTGTGCCCGAGGGCGAGGGTGAGGATGCGGCTGGGGTAGCGGGTGGGGCTGGGGTGTCGGGTGAGGCGGGGGATAGGAGTGGGCGGAGTAGTGTGTATGGTGGGACGGTGTATCGGGGGAGGATTGGGACGACGTATGGGAGGCGGAGGCGGGTGGGCGACTGGGTGGGTGCAGAAGCGGATGGGGTCGGAGATGGGCTGGGAGAGAGGGGGGGTGGGCGAGCGAGGAGCAGGAGTGTGGGGAGTAACGGGACGATCATCATTCCCGACCTGCAGGAGCGCGGGAGGGAGTATCGCGTTCGCTCGGCGAGGTCGAGTCCTGATCTTGAGATCGGCGCGCGGGGACCGAACGGGACGGTTATCGTTGGGAGCTTGTCCAGGCGCGGCTCGATGGAGTTTGGGGAGTCGGCTAGAGGGCAGGTGGAAGAGCCGAGGCGGGAGGGCGCCGACGACGAAGACAGGACGCCGATTATCCCCCCGGATGTGCTGCAACGGTTCATGCGCCGGCCAGAGGACAGTCGTGATCATCGCCTCGAAGATGTACGCTCAGAGGCGTTCTCTGATCGATCGCGTACCAATTCGGTTGGCTCTTCGACGGGTGCGCTTGTCGGTGTTCCGCTTGAGCCGACGCCGCTCGCCATTCGGGCTGTTGTGGAGCGTGTCACGGACGCATCGACACTCGCGCTGCCTTACACCAATACAAATCCGCCACCCGGCGCCGACGGAGGTGGAGGTGGAGTTGAGAGCGAAAACGGAGACAGACCAGCTTGGGAGAATAGCGCAGAGCAAGAACCAGACTCAAACTTGGACCGCGAACGATGGAGTGAGCTGGTCGTTCAGCGCATGCGCAGTCCTTCCAATTCTGCGCCTGCTCCCGATCCTAGACGGGCGTCGACATCGCGCGACCGGTCGCAGGCACTACCGTTCTGGCCGCGCGTCGACAGCGCAAGCGACATGAGCGACCTCGAGCTCGAACCAGAATTAGGATCAAGAACCACCGAGCCAGAGATGGGCGCCGGCGTCTCGTGGCGCGAGCCGTTTCGTCGACGAGACAACCGAGATGCGGGGCGCGAACGCGAACGAAGGGATAGTCCCGGTCGCTCATCCTCGCCTGCCCGCCGCCCTCTTCCCGCCCCGACCCCACCTCGCTCGTCGACGCTGATCATCAGGCGGAGCGTCGAGCTGCGCGAGCCTGCGCCTGTCCCTGTCCCTGCGGTCTCCGATCCCATGCCCGTCTCCGGCGTTGGTTCTGGACCCAGCGTTGGTGCCAGTCCTGGTGTCAACGGGGTCGGGGCGGGTGGACCGACGTCCTTGCTCGACCGCGGGATCACGGCTTCCCCGAGCGAATACGGCGACGTTCTCCTCCCGCGCACTGCGTCGCCCGCGCGCGAGTTCGCGTACCCGTATTCGTACCCGTATCGCGCCCGGCTCAATGGCACAGGCACTGCACCAGAACCAGTACCAGCGCCAGCGACGCCGCGTGTGGGTTTTGGTGCGCGTGCAACCGCGGCGAGAACAGTACCGCGCGCGACGTCGACGTACGCGTCCGACTACACGTATATGCACGCATACGACGAGACGACGTACGCGTCGGGGCCGGGGTACACCGCCGCGGGTGTGCGGCTCGACGCGGACGGGGACGTCGTGCCGCCCTCGTCCGGCGGCGGATATGGGTATAGCGCATCGAGGACCGTTTCGCGCTCGCCTTCTCGTTCGAGGTCGCCGACGAGGGCGCGGTGGCGCACGAATACGAACGCGTATGGTGTATCTGGGGCGAGGTATTTGAATGCGGACGGTGATGCGTACTCGGACGTCCCCACCGAGGTGGATGGGGATGGGGATGGGGATGGGGAGATGGATGCGGATGGAGATAAGGTCGATCCGAGTCGGCCGAGGGTGGGTGTGAGGGTTGGTCTGCGCGTTGGCCGGGGGAGGGTTATTTGGCCCGAGCGGTGAGGTTGGGCTGTGGATTGTCGGGTTGCCATGGGTTTTTGGTCCTTGGATGTGCGTCTGCTGTTTTACTTTTATGGTTTGTGTGCTCATCTTGGATTGTTGATTTAGTGCATTTCCCCTTTACCTCTCGAGATCGAGCATCCAGTCAGACCTCATGTGCATGTTTCATGTTTTCGCCTCTCCATTCTATCCCATTGTCACTTCCATCCATAAACTCCTCGGCTGACGGTTGACCCCGTCTCACTTCATCGTCTCGAAACTGGCTCCACTCCATCTCGCACTTGTTTTTCTCACATCTCATATCTTATATCACGATTGATCTTGCTTCTCCAGTCGACTGTACCCCTACTCCTCTGCAGGTTGCTCTCGTCCATTTGCTTTTTGGATGCTGCTATAATCGTCGCTTTTGCTGTTTTTGTTTAAAGCTTTGTGGATGGTTTTCCGTTGTATATGTGCGCACGTTCTATTAATCCAAGCGTTTCTGTCATGCAAAAGCGAAGCGATGTCAGGAACATGTACAGATCAAGGTCCAAGAACAAGGGATAAACGTCATATGGATATGGCACTCGGCAGTAAGGGTCTGCGCCTTTCTCTTCCTCTTACCACGCCTCCTCTGGACGATATCACTTTTGCCGCCTAAACATGGCGGGATTCTAGGTATTAGAAGTGGCTTTCTTGTGTCCTGCGTCAAAAACTGAGCTGGTGGTCAGTCATCTCCTTGTCGGGTGGGTCCCGACGAGGATCGGCGTCGGTCCCCGCGGTGGTAGAGGCAGAGACAGGCACGTCGTGGAATAATATCGCAGCCAAACCCACACATTTACTCTCCGGTGAGACATGATCGTTCAAGAAGAGCACGTTACTGCATACAGCCTTGTAGTCGTAAATTTACAATGTTTCGTTGTCCATACGTCCCTCAAACGAGAAATATTGGTTCTTGAACCAGACGCAAGTCTCTTCGGAGACTGGTGGACCATCGTGCACGATAACGTTGCGGATGCGATGACGAGTCTTAAGCATACGTCGCAGAGCATCCCATGAGAAATTAGACCGCGACAGATATAGTGAGCGTAAGCGTGGACAAACAGCGCTGTCCTCGAAGGCCCTCTCCCTGGCTTTGATTCGTTTCTTCAGCTCGGCAATCTTCTTCCGATGCATGTTCACCCAGTGCTCGGGGTCATCGTGTGCTCTAAGCACGTCATCGGTGGTGTACTCTACGGCATCGAGCTGCGTTAGCTCTGCCCTCGCTTCTACGACATCTGGGGCGCCCTCCACGGATTTAACTGCCATGGCATCGAAGACGTCGTCAGGAATCTGCGGGCAGTCTGTTATGTGAAGTTCTTGGCCGGACCACCGAGCGAGGACGGGACGCATGTCCCCGTGCGAGGCGGAGTCGATGTCAGTGAGCGTGAGTTTCGAGCCGTACGCTGTCCGTGGCGATCGTTCCACCATCGAGTCCCTGCGCATGAGGGCTGAAGCGAGTAGTTCCTCGGATGGGAGTGCACACTTGGAAATACACAATTCCGAAGTCGCATATCGGATACGTCCTAGGGTATCAGCCACCAGAGCGCCATTGTCGTATTCTGAGTTCTTCAAACATAATGACGTCTTGACATCTAGAAGGGAATCTCTTCGATCGGGTCCGAGGAGTGGCATCGGTGGTTGGACGTGCTCGTTGATGTCCTCGTCAAACTGCACAGCCTTGAGGGTGAGATTGACGAGCTTCCTCATGCTAGATAAATCCCCGAGAGCTCGCATGAACTCTCGCCGCCGTACTCCCGATACGGCAACAGGAGGGTATGGAAGGTATGCTGCAATGCTAACGCCGATTGGGATTACTATTGTATAGGGAGTCCGCCCGCTTAACGAAACCCTCTGAGGGTATCCTGCTCGCCGACCTCCGGCTTCCGCTGTCCAGTCTTCGAAGTACGGCACTAGGCTCATGAAGCTCCTTGCGTCGACCACGATGTCAACAAGGTGGGAAAATGTCGGCACAGTGCCTCCGCCAATACGTAGCGGGTCGGTAAAATCAGCGTTGGCCGCAACAAGGCCCAGAAGTCGGACGTCCGAGATGTCGTTCCACGAGGCGTCGATAAACTGACTAGCGGCGACGAGTGACGAACGGAAGGAGAGAAGGAGAAAGAGAGCGCTGTCTTGGTAGTTGAAGCAGTCCAAATCTCCAGACACGCTCAGGTCACGGAGTGTGCGCATGATATGCATGGTGCGCCGCTGCTCTTGTGCGGGGGTGATATTTGAGTGGCTGGAGGTTAAGAGCTGCACCGTCTTGACCTTTCGAGGGCACGCTGCGAGGAGCTGGGGAAGGTATGGTGGCGTCGCCGTCGGAAGATCAACGAGAATGGTAATGCCGGGCCTCACGGCGTCTTCTCCATCTTCGTACTCCCCGACCCGTCGCCAGTAGTGGTCATCCTCGGTGAGGATGTTAAACCATCGGACACAAACCGCTGCGGGCCCCCATGGAAAGAGCTTCCGAGGGTCGTGAGGCGTGTAGTACCAAGGCTGCGTCGGATGTTTGGTCGATTCCTGAATAATGTCAAAGACTTCAATCAAAGTTTCCGTGGGCAGATCATTGATTGAGGTTCGGAGGATGAGACGGTTTTCCATAGTCGTCGTAGGAAGTTTGAAAGGCGCCGGTATACTCTGAGGATGAAGCTGTGTTGACAACGAACAAAGGAGGATCTGGTAAAGGGTTAAGTTTGCGAGTGACGCGTGTTGTATGTAACAAGGGAAACAATCATGTACAAACAAACATTGTGGCAAAAATAAAATCATCCGGCACGCATATCAAGTCAGGCAGCTCACTCCTTGTCGTCAGTCGCTCGATTGAGCACTGAAGTTGTATCTTGTGAGTAACCCTCGAAACATAACACCTCGCTGCATTCGCACCTGCCACTCAGGCGAGACGTGTCATTACAGTTGTTGCCGATCAAGAAGCACGACTGACGCCCTCCTGGTCGAAGGCAACCATAACATCTCCCCCATCGCAACTTACAAAGAATGATCCAGTGCGTCCATGAACTCTCACTATCCTTGGTCGTGCAATTATCATGTTTTCAGGTCAGGAAGAACTTCTTTGGAGCCCTACAAGGACGCCATCCGCCGAGAATTTAAGCGATATGTCAATAACGACATACCGATACACATCATCCAGTGCAACGACATTGAAGGTTTGAAGCTCGTTAACCGTAACGAGGTGATGGATTATTTTCAGCCTCATGTGAGCCGGCGTATAGATCGCCTCCAACTCGATGAGATCAAGTCTTATCCTCCATCCTGTGATGACGACTACATAGCCAACCAGATCATCAGAAAACTAGTCCAATTTGCCATTCTCTCACATAGATGGTCTCGCGACGAACTCTCATACAAGGACCTCCGGAAACAACGTGGTCTTAAAGGCGCTGGGTGGACCAAACTGGTCAGCTTCTGCCTCGAGGCAGTGCTCCACGGAATGCAATTTGCGTGGATCGACACGTGCTGCATTGACAAATCCAGCAGCGCAGAGCTCGACGAGTCTATTCGGTCCATGTTCAAATGGTATAGAAACTCGACCCTCTGCATTATTTACCTCGAACAGACTATGTCATTAGCGGACATGGCTGGAGATGAGTGGTTCCGAAGAGGTTGGACTCTACAGGAGCTTTTAGCTCCGGAACGAGTCCTGTTTTATAATAAGGAGTGGGACCGTCTCACTCCATCTTTGGTAGCGGATGATAAGGATCCATCTCCACTCAGCGAAGTCTTTGATATAGTATCAGAAGCGACGGGAATACCTGTACAAGAGCTGGTGAAGTTCGAACCATCTCCCCGGGAAGTCGACCAGCGTATGACGTGGGCGGCAAAGCGGGAGGTCACAAGGCAGGAGGATGCAGCATACTCACTCATGGGAATTTTCGACGTCTCGATATCAACGGCATACGGAGAGGGTCTTGATCGGGCATTCTGCCGTCTCGTCGAAGCCATCATGCTATCTGGAAGCGACTCTTCTGTTCTCAACTGGGGCGGTTTACCGGCGAAGAACCACTCAACAGAATGCATGCCTGCATCACCAGCGAGCTATCAAACCCGTTTAACGCGGAATCCGAAGAACGTGTGCAAATTGAATATTGCGCTCACAAGCATGGGTCTACGTGTTCCTCTAATCGTCTTACCTCTGAACTCCTTGGAGTCGTGTCGCGAAGAAAACACCGTTACTTTCTCGTTCAACGACCCTCAGACTTCTTTCCCCGCCCTGATATTTACCGCAACGATGCTGGGCGAACTTTTGGACATGTTGGTTCTGATTGTAGGAGGATTTAAATTCGCCCTCGGCGTCACAGGTCATACGTTTATCAGGGCCAGCGGTGAAGCAGAAGTTTCATTAGCGATTTTCTCGCCCCTGATTGGATGGTTGCTTAAGGACGACTCTGATACTGAACCAGGTACACTACGAACAGAGACGGGGAAATCATGGAGTAGAGTTCCGACCACGCCGATACTTATTCATTTTGCTGGTGATGAACCTTTGATACTCGACAAGTCTATGCTACATACAGTATACTTGTAGGCATAGAATCCGGCTTTCTTGACGTATAATCAGGAGCTATGGATTACATAGGCATTACGCTGGGGATAGTGAGGAGATCGTCTAATCCAAGGAGTACTATATATAACTAATGGCTGGGACGACTAACACTGACAATGAAAATGAAGACAAGGCAAGGATACACTGCCAAGTCAATGTCACGTATGCAGGCTCTGCTGGAAGATTGGCTTAAAAAAGCCCTCTCGTTAGAGAGTTCGAGTGATCCATCACAGGACGTTCGGCATAAAGATCACCCACGCGTACATTGATTTTTGTATACAAAGAAAAATCAACGTACAGATGCACGATGACAGAGTCCCGGATGCTATGGCAAATCTCGAGAATATTTCGTAGAGAATCCCGTGAGAGGCTGGACCCGGATAAGCAAAAGAGATTTCCTGAGATCCAAACACTCGTCTCCTAGGCTTCCAGGCTCCGTGAGGTAATGGGCTCGGTAGCCGGATAATCTGACATCCTCAATCTAACTGAATGTGATTGTGGTCTATACCCCTTGATCTGGTTTGTATTATTATGCAACGCTACCGAGAACTATATGTGGCCAGATTAGGCTCCTTCAACCCAATCTATGTGTACGATGGTGGCTAGCGAAGACCATTGACGCAGATATATCAGCTGTATTTGCAGCTTGCACATCTTGGTCATGTTCTCGCCTAACCGCAGTCACCATCCGTGGTCCTACAACCCCGAATGAAACATATTTAAATGTGGTGAATGTTATCCAACATGAAAGCTACCATTCTAGCACGTTTTTTATGTTTTGGTAGCACGTATAGCTGCCGCTCTATCCTGTGCATATTGCACTGTGTCACAAACTGGAGTATATTAACGTATGACCCCAGGACGCTATAGTACTAGTGAGTGGGGGCATCTCCACGGCGAGCGCTCTCTCTAATATATCGCTGCATCCCTTTTCCTGCTTTCCGCCTGAGTGCTTCTCCTTTGCTCCGCCGATGTTGATTCCCTTCTCCCGTCCTAACTTCCGTCCTCGATTCCCGACACAGTGGCAAATTGCAACGTCGGCAAATCAGTTAGGTTGGAACCCTGCACATCTCTCTCATGCTCTTGACGAATATCAAGCATCATCCATGGCCCAATCATTCCGTAGAGCACATACTTCATATTAGTGAATGATATCTGATATAAACCCTCGAACTTGATGTCATAACACAATTCGGGCCAAGTCAGAATCGGATGCAAAGATACAAAGCAACTCGCTCACCCGGTCTATCGATGGAGCTCGCTGCTGTATTGCTGTGAAAGAAAAGATGAATACCGCGCTATGATGTGCAACGTTTTTGTCATAGAAGTGAACGTAGAAACTTTGGTACTCACACAAGAAAGTAGATCATGTTTCCCCTGATTAGTGCTGTAGCCAGACGACCAATTGTTCGTGTCCGTAGCGTAACGCAGCTGTCTTTGAGGTGGACAGCGGTGTAGTACAGAATCATGATGCACATAATGACTTCGAAGAGGAGAACTGCCCAATCAACCAGAGGGGTTGTAACAATCTTTATTCTGTCTGACAGCTCAGGCGAGAACCTTATGGTGTCCACGACCCAAATGAGCCCATTTAGAATATTGATGCATTGTACGGTGGCGAAGGTGATTCCCAAGGCAAGTTTGAGGCGCCGAGACTTTCCGAAGAGTATGTAAACTCGCAATGCCATCATCCCTATTTAATATCGTAATCATCAAGAGCACATGAGCAGAAATGAGCCTCACGAACCTTGCAGTAAGAATATTATAATCCACGATGAAACTTCGTTCAAAACATTGATCTTGTTCCCTATATAATTGCAAGGCTGGTCAGATACAAGCAAATGAATGAACCCGTTCACTGACACCTATCTACCTGTCAACAATCATAACTCATTTTGACATATGGATTGGGACATACGTCTTGAATGGAAAATATGTATGGTAAGTGAATCGCGTCATCCAAACATTCTTTGACCACATACTTGGGTAGAGATAATAAAACCGAATTTTTGAACTACAGTGCAAATTGTGTCCAAGTACACGTTAAAGAGATAAGTAGACGCACCACAGTCAATACTGGAATGAATCATATTGAACGATTCGAATTTGGATATTAGATTCCCATGCCTCAAATTACATTGAAACAGAAACAGACCCACATTGACCAAAATATACCACCATAACGAAGCTTAAGTGAACATAGGTTGGCAAAGATCATAACAGACTGAGGACTGCTCACCCCAGCGTAGACAAGCGCCATCTTGAAGTTCTTCCTACTAGTAGACTGAAGACTTGACGCATCAGTGTCACAGTCCAAGGGAATAGGTATAAATACTGACACAAAGGAGCTCCACCTGTTTGAACGAGTTCCAGGCGTCCATACGTTCGCTAAATCATGAGAATTCGACACACCTCATCTTCGATGCTTATCACTGGACCCATGTGAAATATATCAAGCACTATCTGAATAGAAGGATGTAGAAGCATAAGGTCACTCACTATAGCTGTAAATCACTACTGTGACCCCGGAGACTAAATCATGCTGAGTTGATAGAATGGAGAATACCCCGAAGAAACGTACATCTGGCTAAGTTCGGAATAAAATTTTGCTCTTCAGCGAGCGAGATAAGAGCTGAGTCCGAATTCATGGTCCGGAGGATATGTCTTTGAAGGATACGGGAATACCTAGAGAACCTCAACACCCACAATATATATAGTTTTCGCGACGTGAGAACATTGTGGAAGAGGTCCCAAAAAGGCCAGGGCTCCCTGATTCTCGACCCCTTAGAGGGACCTCTCATCAATGTCATCGCCTACAAAGCTCGTTGGAGCGTCGAGAGATCCATATGGCTAAGTAAGGTTATGATGCGTATATTAAAGAGCGCCTTTTTAATCTCAGGGAAGCGAACAGGAAGTCAACGATCACCGGTAAAGGCTCAATCGTTCGAGAAGAACATGCATCGCAGTTTAACTTTGATGGACATTTTGCTATTTTCTCCAACTTCCACGTTAGATATAAACGCATGAACGTCCTCGGGTATTCAAGCTGCGCCGCCTCACGACAAAATTCCCATCACAATGTTGAACGTCACGGGAGTATTGGTTTGCGAGTTATGCCACTGCCGAGTATTAATCGACGTCGAAGGCAGTGGCCCCTGTATGCATGCAATATGTACATTTTAACAGTCGCAGCGCCGCTGCTCGGGCTCTGATATTTGACTGATGGAGTCCAAGGTGCTTTCGAGTAAGGTGTAGCCACTTCTCCACTCCGAGGAGGTGAAGGATGCCTGTACACGTCAGACGTAATGCAATACAAGAACGGATATCGTCCCATATTTAGCACACTAGAAGTTTGATAGAGGGACCGGCACGTATTGGGCACGTAACGATTTATGCAGACAGTAATCCACATTATAAGGTATCGGCGGTGGGTACTCCCAGCGTCTCAACCCCCTTTTTGAAATACCTCCTAGCGCTATGCCTCGTTGCTGTCTGCATGAAATGAAGGTATGCCAAAGATTAGATGTCAAACACTGAGGCTGGTACCATTCTCATACTCCATATTCCGCCAGTGCGAGTCATGAGACAGCATTTCACTCCAGTTACTTGTGATACCCGTTGGTTCCACCTTCAAGACACTGCACAAAAACGTGACTCGTTATTTAACCTTAGGGTGTGGTTTTAAATGCTCCCAGAGCTCTAAGACCAGTACTAGTCGTTCTTATATAGGCTGCGTTGACCTCACGCGGGATCAAATTGGCTTATGCCGAGTACAGCCATAGCAGGATCCAGGCGCGCCGGCGAAGACACCAGAGTTGCCCGATTGGCGCGAGCGTCAATATAACCGTGGATCGAGCACATTACATTGCAACAATTTCTTAATAACAGTGCCATTATTATTGTATAATCATCTCAAATAATGAGGTGAGCAAAGCTACCTCAGCTTTCATGATTACTTCGTTGTAGGCTGAGAAGTAGTATAAAAGCAAGTACTCTGCTACATTTCTCACGCCTTGAATATTGGGTAGAGACAAATCCATAATTACGTTATGATTGGCTGAAATTTCGTTATCTGATCGGCTGAGCATTGCCGCAACTCGGGTAAGTACTACAGTCAACTGTACTGCAGTAGCTTCGGTACGACATGGATTCAATATTCCTACGCTGCACTCGGTACTTAAATTTAAACCTTACAGTGTATCTCAATAGCTTTTCACAGCCGCTCGTAGCTCCATCCTGTCCATTCTCCGAGTCGGCTCAAATTTAATATCAAATGCCCGCTCGCGCGGAATGAATCCTCGCGAGTATGCGAATACATTGCCTGACGGTGATCGCATGGAGAGACGGAAGCTCCATAATATGAGGAGGGCAGTGATGAACAAAGAGCGGTTCGCAATGTGCAACCCTGGACAGGCCCTGACGTAGCAAAAGTTAGGTTGAGAGGGAGATGACGTGATGAGATAACATTACCTCCTCCCGAACCCATAGGGAAAGAACTTGAGATCGTCTCGAAAGTGACCTTCGCCGGTTATCCAGCGCTGAGGTTCAAAAGTATCGGGGTCGGGGAAGGTGTCGGGGTCTCGTGAGATTGCCCTATACCAAAACTTGTGAGTCTACTTTCCAGGCTTAGACTGAGGCTGTGTCGACTCACCAGTGATGACCGAACAACGTTGTTCCTGCGGGAATGCAGTAGCCCCCCTGTTTATGGATTAGATTCGAGTTTACCGAAGGGAATATGCCGAGGGCTTGCCCAGAAAATATCTTCGGTGGTCCTATGCGGTAAGCCGGGCGGTATTATAGGTCGCCACCGCATAGTCTCCGCGATGAACGCCCTAAGCTGTGGCAAAGAATCATGGTCTTCGAACGTTGGAGCTGTAGAGCTGTGAAACTCCAATAACAAAGAAGAGCATTTTAGAATACTAACGCCTATCCTTCCCGATGATAGCATCTATTTCTTCGTGAACCGCAGTCTGCGCCTCGGGATGTAGCGCTGCACACATTAGGATGATGCAGATACCAAGCGAAGTCTACAGAAGACACATAAGCTGTGAATTGTTCGAAGAAACGCATGCAATATACCGTATCTGAGCCAGCGGTGAAGAAGCCTCCTGTGAGAAACGCCATTTCTTTCTCCGTGAGGTTAACCTCAGCCTGGTTCTCTAATAGGAACTTGCTGAAAGATGGCTCTGCATCGCCGCTCGCCTATAGGCATGGAATGAGTATGATTCGGCGTGCGGATATCACCACTGACCATCTGACTCTTCACGCGGTCCAATTGGCGCATGTATAGTTCAGCGTCTTCTTTGTGCGCTTCCTTCAAGTCAGAAGCGTACCACGGAACATATTTCAAAAACGAATAAGACTCGACAAGATAAGCGCCAGGTTGCAGCGCTTTGCGTATATTGTTCATCGCACGCTGTACTCCTTGGACATCAGGATCGAGCGCGGAGGTTGGCGATGTTTTGCCGTAGGATATCTGGAGAATGACAGACGCTGCGTACCTGTAATGGAGTGTTGAAGTCTTGCTTTGCAAAAGCTGAAAGACGATGCTTACGTTTGGGCATGCAGTTGAAAGTCTTCGGGCGTATCGAGAAGGTGGATGACCATGTTGCGCGCGTGCGCCAACTGGATTGGCTGATATCTCTCGGCTGCCTTTGGCTGCAGGTGCGAATGAAGTGCCCTGTCTCAACCGCATGAGCATCGTATATTTATTAGGATAAGCGCTTGACACTTACTTGCGCATCTTCTTGAATCTCGGTCCAGCCGACGTAAATAGCAGACGAAGGCCTCCCGACAAAATCTCCCCCGCGGCTATGCTCCGTGGCCTATCGACAGATAAGGCGCCTTGCTTCTCCATGATGTCGACGGCAGCTTGATAGCGTCCAATGATGACGACATTTTGCCGGTGTTGCTTGAGTGTGATGATTGGGCCAAGTTCCTCGACCCATCGTGTTACTTGCAGGAAGGAGCTGTGATCACAATATTAAACCGGGTACACTCAACGTGTGTGATCGATAGGATGGACAACTTACTAGTCATATGGCATTGAGTGACCCTTGAACCAGTGGGCGCCAGGTGGACTGGGAGGGAGAGAGAGGCCCTGATGCTTCGAGGTTACGAGAAAGAAAGCACATGCAACGACTGCGGCAGCGATGACGCCTGATCCATAAACGCTCCAGTCTAAAAGCATGGAAACAAGAGATGTGCTCCAAGACATGGTGTGGAAGAAGAATGAACGGCGTCGAGTGGATTTTGCCTGGTTTTATACGCCTTTTCTCTGATGGCTATTAAGCTAGTGCCGAAACAACACCTATGGATATGTAGACACTACGACAACGAAGGCGTATGGGTGTGACGGTTGTGAGAGAGATGAGGTACTTTTTGACGGAAAAGAGACTTACCGACAACGCCGAAATGGGTTTGAGAGGTACAAATCTGTGTACGCTTGTTATATCGGCGTCGTGGTGGGAGCCTTCTGCAGCGAGAAAAGTAGCGAGAAAATTGCCGTGCTAACAGTAGATTATTCGCACAGGGTAAATATAAGACAGATATAGTTCACTGTCGGAGTGACCAAGATCAGCAAATAGTAACTAGGCTGAGCGGGGAACTTACCGAGAGTGAATGTAACTTTAAGCGAACCACTTGCACTTACCCAAAATCAGAAGAGCCCACGATGCAGGTTGGAAGTACACGATTCTGGGAGCGAGGAATGGAACGAAACAATGATCATTGAAGCAGGCGAGACAAGTACAGTGATGACTAATACCGAGAAGAACCTAGATTGGCCATAACATGGCCATAGCCGACTACCGGAGGTATATTCCCACTAAGGAGATATTAAGAGGCATTACCACTTGTTGCACGCCCCCTTGTCGGCCCACGAGCCTGAAGAGTCTAGGAAAGGGTCAGAACGAGTTCAACTTATGGTGAGAGAACGCTCGACTTACCACCGGGGCAGTTGCTAGTCACCCACCAGTTGGCGATCCAGAGGTGACCGCTGAAGCCAAGGTTAGATATTCTGTGAATGCCGTATTGACGTAGAATCACTTACTTGTATGTGACGGAGCTACCACCGGGGTACTGCGAAATTGGTACGTGTCAGCATTACGAGAAGTAGCGACGAGAAGAAATCATATGCAAACCTGTGCAGATTTGGACCAGGGCTGAGCGTTAGAGCAGTCACAGTTGCTGCCGCTGCCGTTATTGCCGTTGTTATTCCAGCCATTGCCGGTGTTGGTGCCGCCGTTGTCGTTGTTCACACCCTGCGTGTCGTTGACGTCGTCACCTCTTTCCTTGTTCCAGCTTTGGCCTCCACCCGAACCGCCGCCATTACCATTGTTAGCGCCATCGCAGGAACCAACATTATTCCACTGGTTAGCAGCGTCTACCGAGTAACATCAGCGACGTGGTCACGAAAGAGAGGGGCTCGGCGACATACCGCCTGGGGGGTTGTTGTAGCTCCACTCTTTCGCTTGCCAGATGAATCCCCTAAGAAAAACGGCAGTTAGCGACATGTTCATAAGTCTGATGTTAGTACGAGTGCACGCATACCAGTAGGAGATCTCGTCGCCCTGTGAATACTTATATGGATGGTGTTCGTGTCAGACGTTGGGGTAACATCTTTCATGAAAGCGGCGACACTTACGGCTTGGTTACGCTGCCATCCCAAGATGCCATTACAGTCACCACCACCGCGAGTGGCGATGGTGGCGCCCTGAGCCGCCGAGGCGAGGGTAAGAGCGAGGGCGATTGTAGCGGAGTTGAAGAACATGATGAACGAGTTTGTTGCAAGATTATGAGCGAAGTATCGTTGAGTTGATGTGAGAGTGAGTTGTGATGTCGTTCCACAGCAGAACTGCGAAGGGCTTATATACCTTCATGGCAAGGGGTATTGGACAAGCTGAGCATGCAGAAGGGTGGAAGCCGCACTCTGAGACGAGTATGTGTTTGAGGAAAGTGACGTCATGTTACAGTACGTAGAGAGCACAGTGGTAGTTGTTTCCGAGAGGTCAAGCGCTTGAAGACGTAACAGGAGTGGGATGTCCGAGGAAGATAGACGAAACATGTTCAACCACAGTGCAGAATCAACCATCAGTTGACCGAGGAGACATCGTCGAAAAAGACGCCAACGTCGGAGCGTTCCAGAAGAACTCCTGCGTTTCGACACACGACAACGTCGTCAGCGGTTCGATGTCGAGCGTCATAGTCAGCGACGTCGGACCCTCAAGACTCACGTTTGAGAGCTCATTTCCAGGAGAGACGAGGGTTTCAGCAAGACCCGGGGTAGAGTTCCGCGGGGTTGAGACTCCGAGCGAAGGGGCTTCAGCTAGCTTCAAAGTTTACCTGAAACATGACGTGCTCAGGAGCTTGCTTGCGCATGATCCAGCGTAGCTTGTGGCTTGTGGGCTATTTCTATCGATTGCTCAGATGGTTGTGAGAGGGAGAGGTGAACAGCAGCGAATATCCTATGCGTGAGCCCACATAGGACTTAACTTACGAATAAGGGAGCAAGTGGGTGGCGACGGGACGAAGGAAGGGGGCCGCGCGCGTCATCCGGCACACTATTTGTTCAGGCTCCGCTTCGTCGGGGTGTGCGGCATGACAAAACCTCAACAGAACAACGACAGGTGAATCCGTCAAACGTTCATGCATGTACATTCATTATGAGATGACTATTCAACATAATGGAATGGATGAGCCATCGACCGAAGACGAGGTGGCCGATGGAAGCCCAAGAATACAGCTGAGTTCAATCTCGCCGGCGGCTTCTCAAGATAGGGGCTTTAGCGGACCGAGTAGATGCGGGATACGCAAACTCGAGCTGAATACGGAGAACAAAAGAACACAGCGGAAATCATCTTTGATTAAATACGAATACAAGCAGATCAGTTCAATACATATGGGCACAACAGAAGCTGTTCCCTCGTCGAGTCAATCGACGAGGAAAGACAAGACCCTCTACCTAAGTTGGCGATAGACAATATGAATGCTTCGCTCTACAAGCCCACAACAGACGGATGAAAAGCTATCGAGAGAGAGAGAGATGAGCAAAAGGGCGAGGCAGGGGCAAAAACAAGCAGGCTCACCAGTTTACGAGGAAGTGTAGGTGGAGCCGATGTCACCGAACTTGATGTTCGAGAAGACGACCTGCGCGCTGGCAGCAGAGGACTCAACGTCCGAGGGCTGACCGCTGGTCGTCGCACACGTGCCGCGGGAGACACCGGGAGTGCTGGGGTCAGCGGTGGTCGGGTAGTCCGAGTCGAGCCAGAGCATCTCGGCGGCGTAGTCGTCCCAGACGCTCATGACGAGGACGACGCCGGTGGCGAACGACTCGCCCATGGCCTTGAGACCGCCCTTGTCCGCGAACGAGTTGGTGTTGTTGAACACCGTCTTCTGATCCGTGCAGAACTGGTCCGTGACCGAGTCGTAGGCGGTGAGCCCGGGGATGTTCGTCTTGGAGTTCTGGATGACCTTGCCGTTCTGCACGTAGAGACGGCGGATCTCAGAGAGCGTGCCGCTGGTGGTGTTGTCGGAGGTGAAGAACTGCGTGACGACGGTGAGCGGCTTGGTGGTGTCGACGGTCTGCGAGGGGCCGTAGAACGAGGTGTCGCCCATGCGGTATGAGTTGAAGTCGCAGCCGTCAGGGTCGCAAACGCCGCCGTACCGGTCGGTGATGGCACAGTCATCGCCACTGCAGCGAGTCTGGCCGGAGACGGAGCAGGGGTGAGGGGTATAGGCAGCGGAGATAGAGTTGGCCTCCCAGACGTCCATCTCGTTACAGCACGAGCCGTACGAACCGGTGCCCGAGTTGGCAGAGGTGGCGTTCCAGCCCTCGATGTTAGCCTACGAGAAGCGTCAGGAACCGCGAGCGAAGGAAAAGTGTGCGGAAACTCACCTCGCCGTTAATGAACTTGATGTCACGAGGGCACTGCGAGTCGCAGTAACCAGTGCCGTAGGCGGCACCAGCCGCGTTAGTGGGGTACTTGGCCATGCCACCGTCGGCGTCCATCTCCGAGAAGTAGAGAGCACCGTTGAGACCGCAGGGGAGCTGCGATACATCAACATCGAAGGTAAACTCCTGGTTCAGGGGCTTGAACATCTCGTAGTGCGAGTCGTCCGCCATGAGGTACACACGCGAGCCAACGTTCTTGTTTGCCGACTGCGTGACGAACTTGATGGTGAGCGCGTCGCCGGAGGTGGTGATACCGTAGGTGCCCTCGTAGTCAGCACCATCGAGCGCGCACTGCTGCGCGCACGTCTTGCCGTCCGTGCAGATGGAGGTGTCCCACGCGTTGCCGGTGTAGCAGTTGGTGTAGCCGCTGACGGTGTGCAGCCAGCGCCAGTTGGCGTCGAGGACGATCTTGCCGGAGTCCTGTGCCTGGCAGCCAGCGGACGTGCACTTGGACCAAGAGAGGGCGGGGTGGACCTCGGCGGTGGAGTTACCGACCTGCTGTGCGGAAACGGCGGCAGCGAATGCGAAAGCGAGGAGGGAAGCCTTGGGGAACATGGTGGACTAGCTGGCTGAGGCGGGGTAGTAGACTGGCTGGGCGGCGGAAACCGATGTCGAAACAGAAGAAAAGTCGACCAGTTTTATAGACATGGGCTGCGGATAATCGCCGGCGAGCACTACGTCGTGCGCTCGCTGTCAGTGCATACACGACCACCTTGTATCACTCTTGTATCCTCCTGTACCTTAGATCCGCGAACGCGCCGACGGCCATCTCATGTGTTAATGGCGCTACAGCGACAACGACGCATATACCCGTACATTTTCCCGCCCTCGCAGTGTGGGGTCAGCAGACGCGGTTTCAACTGAGTTGAACCGAGAATTAGAGGTAAACCGGGTGCGTGGCCGAGTGCATTGATGGGGCAAAGGCTGAGGTTGACAGCTAGACTATGACAGCTTACTACCGACAAGAGTCCGCACAGCAGGAGTTCGCCTGAGACAGCATGCAGCGTACACCTCGCGAAAGTGTGGACCTCGAGGAAAGAACGGAGGTAAAGTGTATGATGATCATGAGATCCTTGACAACAACGCGTAGAGATCGCGTCTCAAGCGCAAGGAAGCGTAAGGATGTGCTTGGCAAGTATATCGGAAGAAATACACACCTGTACCTTCATTAGAGGACGCGAGTCTAAGAGAAGACGGCTTGCGCAAGAGGACGGAGGTAAGTACGGCAACTGGGGGGTGCGACCTATTGGCGAGCGCCGAGTGAGTCTTTGCCTGAGTTCCCTTGCGGCTGCGGCTACCCCACCCTCCAGTATCAGCCAGGATCCACACCCAGCGTGATCAATATCCTTCTCAGACCGACAATTTTGCGGGTTTGACGTGAGGTTGCTAGGCTGGCCGAAGACCATACAAAAACTTAGACATTGCGGGTGAACTGCTGTCAGCAGGTCACTGCAGATTGACGGGCGTCGAGCATTGTTGAGTGATGTCAGGCGGTGTCGAGCGTGTCGATAGGTGTCGATGGTTCGTCGGGTCGGCGGGGCATGTCAGGAAAGTTTGTCGCGTGGACGAGCCAAGCGTTGGTGGAATCAGGAAACCGGGACAAGTCGCCAAGTGTCCCGTTGGTCAGCCACAATCTCAATAGGACCAAGCAGGGACAATCAGTTGGGCTCTTCCTGACATAGCCATAACTGCAGTTAAACGTTCATCCGCCATTCACCAGCAACTCCAACGACATCTGGAATTGCCTCGTTTCAATCACATCGGTAACTTCATCCATCCTGTGGACTCAGGAAATGCATACGATCAACGAAAGCAAAGCGATCTCTACCGCCACGGTACTGCGCTTCTTGGTAAAATTTCTTAGGCCTGAGCACTGGGCTGCGCTCGGTGCCGTTCTCGACTCTGGGCAACTCAATCGACCTCCTATCTGAACATAGGGTACCCGAAGGAAGCGGCCGACCACTTCCAAGGCACACTGCCTATCGGACCTAAAAAATGAGTGTTTGTGGCTATTCGTTGTTCCTGATGACGATGGCGTCCTCGGTCCCTTGCTGTGCTTACATTCCGCTTCATAATCCTACCTTGTGCAGACTTGGCACTGTACATCGATTTAAATTGGACATTACTGCACACAAACATGATCTTGACTTGTGCGTACCTCCACCTCAAAGTTCATCAAATATGGAGGCTTACCTCACCGAACATCGATACGCTCTCCACCTCAGAATCCTCTCTCGTGAAGGAAGACGGGATGTCAGGAACGGACATTGTGGAAGCAAACTCACCATTCTCTCTAGACGTCCCCTATTTCCCACCATTGAGTCAGCCCCATATCCAAGGCACGGCTTACTTGGCGAAGGACCTGACGCTCGAGAACTGTACAACACAAGCTTGGTTGAGAAAGGAGATGTCTTGTCTGGCTGAAGTTCCAGGAACAGCCTCGTCGGATGGAAAGTTCCAACACCTTCGCGTCTTCGCGTCCACAGGCTCTCCTCTACTTATGTCTCCTGAGTTTCTGAGGTATAAGAGCCTGACCATTATGCCCAGAGACGACATTGGATCAGGATCACTCAACCGATCAGGAACATACCTCTACTCTACATCTTCTGACACCTGCGTTGCCAATACCAGACCAACCACTCCACTTTGTTCAACTCGCTTAGCTCCCAATCCACACTATGAAATTCATCTCGCCCGCCGCCGTTGCTCTCGCACTTGCATTCTCTGGCACTGCCGTCGAGGGTCTCGCTATTCGTAGTCCGCACGCCTTGGATGACGGTTCCAAGGTGGTGAGGCGCAGCCCGGTACGTATGTTGCGAAGCTTTCAAAAACCAGTAGCGCTGAAGTAATAGGTACTCCAAGTACCCCGAAGGCAATGCAGCTACTCACGCGGCTCGGGGTCAGCAGTATGATCACTACAATGGCCACCACAAGCGCAGCGAAGAAGACGACGGCGCTGCATACAACGCTGATGTCGGCTACGGCAAGCAGGCCGCAGTAAGTATACATGTTCTATCCGAATTAGTAACGCTAATACCTGCCTCGCGATATAGGAAAAGAACGAAGCTAATGTGAGTTTCAACTGCTCGGAGTGACCTAACAAACACTGATTACTTGGCGCACTCTTTATCCAGCGCAAGAAGCAAGACTCGATCAAAGACAAAGAGTACGACAAGGACTTTGATCTCGATCTCGACTGGGAGAAGGAGAGAGAAGACGTCCAGCGCAACCATGACTCAGACGAGAAGCACGATCATCAATCCAAGGATAAGAACAACGCCATCGACTTTGGCTCGAGGCTGAAGGACTTTGGGTTCTTCAAACGCCAGGCTGTAAATAACGTTTGTCACATTCAGCGTACGAGTTCGAACATGTTGCTGATATTCTCGCAACAGAGTGGCAACGCCGTTGAGAATGCTGAGTCTACGGACGATCTAGGGAGCTTCTTCGGGAACGCAGAGAACCCCGATGACCTTACCTTCGATGACATTTCCAAGGAAGATGCCGGCGCCGTCGAACAAGAGGCAGGCAATTCTGAAGCAGAACTCACCAAACGCGGTGACGACAGATACGTATGTTTGTATCTCTCCACTCCAGATCTTTTGTTGGCTAACGCACGAAAAAAAGGGCAAGGGGCACGGCGGATACGGCGGCAGGAACTTCGCGGTAAGCTCCCATCATCCTCATCTCAATATAACGTCGCTAAGATAGAGTTTGATTAGAACAACCTCGGCGCCTACAACTCCGATAGAAACAGAAACGACAAGGGAGAGAAGCACGTTGTAAGTGCTATCGCAGCATTTATCCCGCTCCCCACACGATGCTGACATCCATGGGGAACAGAACGATGACTTCAAGAAGAGCAAGGAGAAGGAGAAGCTCAAGCTCAGTATCAACGACGATGTAAACGCACACGATAAGGCTGCGCAGAGCAATGAGTCCGATCACGCCAAGAATGAGAAGCTTGCTCAGGAAGGCGCGGCCGCCAAAGAGTCCGCTCAGCTGTAGAAGTGGGATAATGAAAAAGCAGATTTCGGAGGGAAGGACAGGAAGTGTAGACTTACGTATCATCTGTGTAGACTCAAGATCAAGCCTCCGTTCTAGCATTAGACTTGTTTTCTTACCATATTTCATTTCTTTGGCTGCTACATGTCTCGTAGTCTTATTGTTATTGTTAATTATCATTCACTCACTCATCAGTTATCATGTGTCCCTCGGGAATCAAACCCGTTCCAACGTATTAAGTAAACGTAGTTGCAGATGCTGTGGTATAGGCGCCTGCCTCGTTCACTTGACGAACATCCTGTGAAATACTCTAGCGCTCGGATGTACTCTTCTCCGACTCCGCCTTGTACTTTCGACTTAAATACGCGTGCATTGGTTTTGTTTCGTATAGCTTCCTGATCCCTTCCCTCTCATCCTCAGTCTGCTCCTCTCTACATTCCATGCCACGATTCTCTACCTTGTGCACGCGATACCCGAAGATATGTCGTGTGCAAGTGCAGACACCATCAGCACGGTTGCGGGAACACTATGCTCAGAAGATCACCGCAGCATGTGGAGCATCGTATCTTCCTGTCTCCTGACAATTCTTGCCTGTGTGTACACGGCGATACATCCAAACGTGCCCAGTCCTTATGATAGTCCTATGGCTATACTCTCCCGAACACTCGGCATCATGATTTGGCTGTAATTGCGCCAGAGCTCACTGTAGGCTGGGCTGCATGACAATACCTCAGCGCAAGGGACTTTACGAAGAAAATGCAGTAACTCCTCTCTGAGATTGATGACTCAAAGTCGCCAGGTATTTTCTCGCTGTACTGCTTTTCCGACACCATTTATCAACACCAGACACAGGGATCTCTGCCATGTATCGAAGAAGGTAGCGATAATGGTTCCCAACGTGAAGAGCAGAGAGCATGAACTGAGAAGCAGGATGTTGAGGCCAACGTTTCGGACAACGTGCAATATAGTCAAGCTGGTGAGATGTCTTCAATAGATCAGCAGCAGGTACCCTCAAGAGGTCGCTTGTCCTTCTTAAGCCGCATGTGGCGTTCTTTTTCGACAAGTAATCAAGGTAAGAGACAAGTCACTTCCTAGAGCTATGGATCTAACAAATTAACTTAGACGAAACTTACACTATCACACACAGCTTTTATGCGTACATGGGCGGCTTTATGATATACCACGAAGGGAAACCATGGTGCACAATCACACCCCCGAACCTCTTGGAGGCGATCAGAAACGGCAACATCAGTCACATCAATCTGCGAAGGGCCGTAATCAAAGGCAACTTCATCTCAAACACTGCAGACAAACGGCGATTTTATCCGGGGTGAAACCGAGAGAAAGAGGCGGCGAGATGAAAGCCTTTTCCTCCGAGTTTTGGAACCCCCTTTTACACAGGAAAAGGTATTATTTTAGCCAACATTTGCGTCAATTTTGCGCTGGTAAAATGAACGGGTTACCGAATTTGGACTCTAACTTACCGATTTGGATGTGTTTCTATCTAATCTCCGCACAGAAATGCAAACTCCAAGGCAAAAGTTTAACTTTTCAGTAATTTTTCGCACAGCAAAAGATGGGTGAAAAAGGCTTTCATCTGTCTGCCTTCTTCAATCACTTTTTGTAACAGAAAAATCACAGTTTGTCTGCAGTGAAAAGGCCTCGTCGTTCTTCAAGTCAGCTGGTTCTGTATCCAGCTCCTCGCAAGGCGTATATTTGACCTCGCTATGTTGAACGCCACTCGAATTCGGGACCGTTGGTTTCGCCATCCTTTGTGTCATCACATATATATTGTGGTGGAACAAGCCGTTGGGCATTTCTTGCCCGCGGCGCCTCAAGTGGGGAGGCGAAGGGGTGACTCCTAATAATCTGCATGTGGATGGGTTCGTACTCTCTTCTAACAACACTTAATATCAGTACTGATACCGTGACACCGTACTATACAGTCAGCACGGATCAGACGTCTTCAAGAACAACCTCTCAGATAGGATCGCTCTTCCACTTGTACTGAAAGACGTGTCTAACTTAATGGTACAAACGCTTCAGAGTCGAAACCTTTGGCGGAGACGACATCAACTGGGACACCATCGCGGGCGAGTCTCTCGCCGTCCTGTGCATCGGTTTCCTCACTGTGATAGCATTTGGACTGGTCCACATCGCCGCGTGGACAACACATTTCCCTTCTCATGTTGAGCAGATGCTGTGGCGTTATTCAGCTCTTGCTATCACCTGCGTGCCTGTTAGCGCTCTGTTTGGCGGCATTTTGGTTGCATTCTTGACGGACCAATGTATAGGTGAGGCATCATACAAGATTAGAGACGCGCTGTGCGAGATCATATTTATCATTGGCTGAATCTTGTATATCGTTGCTCGCGGTGTCCTCATGGTCCTCATGTCCACATCTCTCCGTAGCCTTTCCCCTACTTCATTTGAAACTGTCCAGTGGATAGAGCTCATCCCTCATCTGTAACCAACCTTAACTCTACATGCAGTGAATAATTTGGATAACTAGCAGATTTACTTGTATGCATTCAGGACAGCAATAGAAACGTTATTGTACAAGAGAAAACGACAGCAAAGAACAATCGACAAAAACCATGTATGAGTACAGCGGAAAAGCGCCCTCCTAACCCTTGGGCTGCGCGAATATAGATACAACCCATGAACCTTCGTGCGTGTATGCAGTCACAACCTGACATCTAGTGCTCACCGCCTCCTCGCCTCAACCCACTCATCCGCACTCTCCCCGTCGCTGAAATCGTCCATCCCAAACGCGCTCCCAGCATGCCTATGGCTCCTCGACGCAACCGGCGCTCTCGGCGTACCATGCGCCGGTGGCGAACGAACAGGCGACAAAGCAGGCGAGAGCACCTGCCGCACCGTATCACCACTAGCGCCTCTCCCTGCGCTAGCGTCTGCGCCGCGCCGCGGGGGACTCATCCCATCAGAGACGGAGAGCACACCATCATCAGAGTCCGAGCCCACTGAGAGAAAGTCGGTGTCCGAGATAGTCCGAGAAGACGAGTGGTGTGTGCGCCTCGAGCGTGAACTGGTACCGGTGCTAGAGAGGGACTGCATGCTCTGCGTGCTCGCTGAGAGATCGATGAACGGGGAAGACGTGCGGCCAGATGAAGACCGAGAAGGAGACGTGACCCGAGATGCATTGCCGCTGGGACCGTGGAGCCGCTGCACAACAGACCCAGAGCTCGAACTCTGACTCTGGCGCGAGCTCGAGCGCGACATGCCAGACGCTGACGTCCGGCGCTGAGGCTGCTGCGTCTGGTTCTGGTACTGCTGATACTGCTGCTGCTGGAGCTGACGCGGCGTAGGCAGCGAAGGAGACGAAACCTTAGGAGGCGACATCGGGATCCGCTGGATAACCGAGCCCGAGCTCTGGTTCGAGCTCACAGACCCAGAGCGTGTGCGAGGCGTGGGCGCAGCAGCCGGCCTGCTTCCGGGGCCCGATCCGGTACCGGCAACGACGCCTGGTCCGGATCCCGACGTCGAGCGCTTAACGTTAGCGCCTGCAGAGGGCGGAGGGGAGCGCAAGCCTGAGCTCGCAGGAGGCGGCGTGCGCAGCGTTCCAACTCTTGAGCCCATGAGAGGTGAGAGAATTTCCTGCGGAGCAGGGTCCTGAGACGCTACGCGCTGTATACGGCTGTCTCGAGGCGGGGACAGAGCCCGCGTGGACGGAGGTCGCGAGGCTATCGCGAATGAGCTTGCGGGGCTTGAGGAACGGGCCGATAGGGCGTCGAGGGGATCAACAAAGACAGGGGGCGAAGAAGGTGCTTGGTAGCGCTCAGAAAGAGAGCGGATGGATCCTTGAGGAGGGGAAAGCGGGATGCGCTGGATAACGTGCGTGGAAGCATTAGACGATGCTCTCGATGCTATCCGCGATACCTCCCGTGAAGCCGAGACAAGAGATTGGCCTTGCCCCTGGGGCTGAGGGCGAGGGCGAGAAGGCAACTGCGTCTCTGTCTCTGTCTTTGTTTCCGAAGTTTGCGACCGCGTCAACTGGACGGGCGGCGACATTGGTGGCGACAGGGGCTCTTCTGCGGGGGGCGAGAACGGGTGATTGATGTTGAAACCGTACCCCGAATCAGGAGAGAATATAGCGTCAAGTGACATAGGAGGAGAGATAGGCTGCAGTGACATGATCGTGGGGGCACGCATCGTGCTAGCCTCTGATGGAGGTACGGCCGTATGCCCGCTCACTGTTCGCGCAGGCGGGGCAGCAGGGGCAGAGGGGGGCGTAGGTGGGCGGAGAGGGGGCACGGGACCTGCAGGGCTAAAACAGTTGGAGATGGAGTCATACGGCATGAGGGAGTAGTCCGTAAGTGCAAGCGATGTCCGGTTGCTTGTTGTGCTACCGTCTTCGTCGGCATCAGTGTCTACAAATGGATTCGAGGGGTTCTCGGTCAAAGTGGTGGGATCAGGGCTGGGATCTATGCCAGTGGTAGTGTCGGAACCAGATACCGCAGATGAGTGTGCGATACTCGTTGCAGCACCATTGGAAGAAACGTTCGCGATGACGTGAGTTGGTGAAAGGGGCGTATATGGCAGAGAAATAATCGTCTGGAAGTAATGTTAGTGACGATGTCTATGGTGATGATAGGCTGATACGCACCTCTTCCTCAAGCGAGGTCCCCGTCCCGATCCCACTTTCCCCTCCGTACTCTGGTAGGTTCCCGCGACTCTTCTTCCGCAGCCTGAGCCCGCTCGTACCTACGCCGCCGTCTTCATCGGGGCGCGGGAGTGTGCGACTCCTGTGAACCTCGTTCCTCCATTCATCGACCTCACGAGCGACGATTTCCTCTAATTCGAGCGCAGCTTGCCTGTCCTCTTCGTCATCTTGCTGGTCGTAAGTCTGCGTGAGGGCAGTAGTGTCCATGGGATTGGTGCTGGGCACTGCCGTGGCGGTTTGTCTTTGTTGCCTCGCGCGCCGTTTGGCGAGGAACTCTTCAGCCCATCGTTCGATGGCGGGTGCTATGTGGGGTTCATAGACAAGCTATGGAACGTACATCGTGGTAAGCACCAGGTTTAAGCACGAAGGATAAGGAGAAAGCTGCAGGCATATGGGGGAATGATATAGGGGGATGGTTTATACGCACCTCCTTGAGAGTCGCGATGACTGCTGCGCCTGCGACCAAGGATACGGCGAGGATTGCAACTGTTGCTGCTGGAGCGGGCATGCTGAGCAAACACCAGATTGCGTAGGTCGATTACCAAGCGTAACCCGTAGCCGTGCGATGCCACCACCGCAGAGTTGACGTCGCCGGTGATCGCAGAGCTTTGAAGAACAATCTTGCCCTCTGCTTCAGGCAGAGCGTGTTCGAAGGGAGGTCAAAAAAGCCTAGAGAAAGTGTAAGGAGGCAAGGAGGACAATCATGCTGTGCACGCGTGCCAGGCGTGCAAGCGCTTGCGCCTAATCCACGGCAAAGAGCTCACGCCTCATGCATGTCACACGGCCCGAAATAACCGACCTGTCGACCGTAGTGGTAAGTTTTCCTTTGCGTGAAGAAAATCATCGCCTACTACCCGCCTTTTCTAGCACTCTACGGGCAAGAAACAGCGGTCTTCTCATGATCCAACGTTTGAAGCCGGCCGAAGCTGCGCCGAAATCTTCGATCTCCGAAGCATCCTCAATTCTCTCCCGAACACGGCCACGCCAGTGTGCCAGCACCACACATGGCACGCTCTAAGACGCTCCGAGAGTGCTGAGCCCTAGCCGCCCTTCGCTGGACGGGTACCTCATGATCGTCCGTTGGCACCGTAACCAACAACATGGTCTGCACTATAAAGTCGGCATGCTTCCTGATCGCTGCTTGTTGTCTCTGGGCTTTATTGCTGCACGGCGATGCGGGTGTGTCTCTTACTTGGTCTTTTGGGCACCTTTGTCGATGCATCCTCTGAACTCTTCGGACGAAATTCGCTTAGGGTCAAAGAGAGGATCTCAGCTCCTTCACCGGGATGGGTCAAACACTCAACAGCGCACCCAGAGCATATGCTGCAATTCCGGATCTCTCTGGCTCAGCCGCGCTTTGGTGAACTCGAGCAGCAGTTACTCGGCGTCAGCGACCCGTCTCATAAGGACTACGGCCTGCACCTCTCAAGGCAACGCGTCCAAGAGCTAATGGCACCTCACCCGGACACTCGCGATGTCGTCGTCAAGTGGCTTGCTGCACATGGCGTTTCCGAGAAGGATATCGCGTACTCTGCTATGGGCGACTCGATGACTGTTCAGACTCCCGTGAGAACTGCAGAGGCAATGTTTGATACCGTACGTGCCCCTTCAGTTTTCTCGCTGCCGAGTTCTTGACTACTCGTAGGATTTCCACGTCTATCAATACGTAGAGACTGGCAGCAATGTCATCCGTACAATGCAGTACAGTCTTCCAGAGGTGCTCCACGAGCACATCGACCTTGTGCACCCACTCGTCATGCTCTCCCCCACCCTTCCAATGACGACCAAAGGCCAGAATCTCAGCAACACATCGCAAGATCTCGGCATACCTGCAACGTTTATGCAGCCCCGAGCGGCTATCAATTCCTCTTGCATGGCCCAGGTAACCCCTGACTGTCTCCGCCAGCTGTACAACATTGGAAACTACACGCCCTCTGCTACGAACGGCAACTCGATTGCGGTCACCGGTTTCGCGTTGGAATGGGCGAATATCAGCGATTATCGACAATTTCTGCAGATGGTGGTTCCGTCGGCTGCAGCTGAAGCGAACTTTACTGTTGTTTCAATCGATCGTAAGTCAACCTCTGTCCTACCGTTATTATCTGTTCATCTTTGATGGCGCAAAGAGGGAACAAATACTCAGTCAAAACCTGGGCCCGAGGCCAACCTCGATGTCCAGTACGCGTTTGGCCTGACAAGACCTATGCCGGCAGCGTTCTACACGGTTGGAGGGATCACTGATAACCCTTCAGACTGGACGTTTGGTGGAGCGACGCTCGATGTGCGTTGACGATCAAAGTGTTCCATCTACTAACCCACTAAAGAGCCATTTACATCCTAGTTTATCGACTTCATGCTCAATCAGACGGACCTCCCCCCGGTTATCTCAACGAGCTACGCACAGCCTGAAAGCGACAGTGAGTAGCGATGACCTCTTTTACTCACCGACTGTGCTTAAACTTTGTCAGATTCACGTGAGCTCGCAAACAAGATCTGTCAAGGGTTTGCTGCACTAGGTAATTTTATCTGTCTTTTAGGGAACACGCTGACTTACTACCCTCAAAGGCGCCCGTGGCGTGTCTGTCCTGTACGCCTCCGGTGACCTCGGCGTAGGATCTGATCCCGGCAACGGAACTGTGACTCCATTCGAGCCATACTTTCCCGCGAGCTGTCCTTAGTGAGTACATCGATGCTCAACTAGACGCTCGCTTGGCTCACTTTTTGTAGTGTTACGTCCGTGGGTATGACCTACCAATACCCAGAAGTCGCCGGCAAGGACACGGGCATGTACAGTGGAGGCGGGTTCAGCAACTATGTACGCATTCTTCTTTTCATCGCGGCGAACAAAGACAGTTATCTCACGGATTTGGTAGTTCGCTCGACCTTCATATCAGGATAAGGCTGTCAACGATTACCTGGGCTACCTCGGTGATCAATATACGAATTTGTACAACTCGTGAGCTTTTCTTGAATCTACCTTCACTTAATTTGCCTGATTGCGCTCACAGGAGTGGACGCGTAAGCCCCTGGTTTGTCGCATGTTGCACAATAACGCCTAATTTGCTTCGCTCAGGGATACCCAGATGTCTCAGCCCAAGGCGTCAACTTCCTTGAAATCTATTACTACAGCGTTGTGAACAACACTGGCACGTCCGCGTCCGCGCCGACGTTTGCGGCTATAGTCGCGCTTCTCAACGACGTGCGCGCGAACGCAGGCAAGGGTCCGCTGGGCTTCTTGAACCCGTGGTTGTACGCGTCGGGCTATACAGCTCTGAACGATGTGACAGTGGGAAATAATCCGGGATGCGGAACAGACGGGTTTAATGTGAGTGATAATTCTTGGGCTCGGAATGAACGCAATGGCTCAGGTAGCGATGGCATGACTAGGCAACAAAAGGATGGGATCCGGGTAGGGATTAATCTATAATTTATTTTCGCTTCCATATCTAACCTTGTACTTTAGTGACGGGTCTCGGAACTCCGGATTTTGCCAAGATGAAGGAACTTGTGTTGTAGTAAAGCCTTATTGAAACATAGTGTATAGCACGTTTACCTCGTGGTTATGCTTTAAACCAAGTTTATGCGTCAATTAAGTAATAAAATAGTAGTACGATGACAAAATGCGACAGAGATAACTGGTAAAACTAAAGGTGAGGCAGAAGCTCAGCCCATTCTATCGTAACGTAAGCACTAGATGGTAAACTACGCAGCGACGTGAACATGATCGCGATGATAGCAGCCCGAGCAAGAATATACACAAAGAACACAGCTACAATCGCGTCAATCAGTTCGGTGAACACAGCTCCGACGCATACCATAATAGGGCCAGAAAACAAGATAACAAGAGAACTAGTCCACCACAAGATCTGCTCCACACGCGTAGGGAACTGGAACCACCAAGCTGATACATGAACAAGGCCGAACGACACTGATCCTAGAAACCCAATCATCAGGAATAGGCTTGGCTCTCCCTGGGTGAAGCTGCTGATTCCACTCATGATGATCTCATCCCCGCCTAAGGTCTCAATGCGAAAGCGTTGATTACCGATAGAATAGCCAATCAACTTCAGGCTGTTGAACCTGAGAGAAGCAACCCATTTCGCGGGAAGGGAGAGGGATGATAGATATTCGTCCATGAGCACATTATCGGCCATACCACTAATCGTATATTAGCCCTGAAATACTGAGCCAAGCACCAAATATAAAGCTTACCATACTCCTACGTGAAGGTCTCTAGGTGGCACCTCATCAAGCCTCCAGTCTAACCTTCGCGGTTGCCTCACGTTCAACGGTTTGTGCCACCACAGTGCGTATGTTGCCACACATAAAAGTGCAGAAGCCATTGTTCCAATCTCTATTTGGGTGATTGCGAGACCATTAATGTGACGTGCGGCGAGCTGCACAATGAACCAGATGACCTGGAGAACTACCAGACCTTTGGACAAAACATTGCCCTTGCTGCAGTCATTTATATCTTTCTCCGTGGTTTCGATGGGACCAATCGATCCGTTGAGAAGGTGCTCGCGTAGTTTCGATGGAGTGATGGCACTCCATGGCTGTGATTTGTAATAGACCATGAAGCCACCCATGCATGCATAAAAGCCGTGTGTAGCTGTCCATGGAGAGGCTGTATATCATACTTCAAGGCTGTTGTATTGACGATGGTAATATGTTTACCTGGGTGGGTGAACATAGCAAGAACGGGGAATTGTCTGTCCACATATCGACGCAGAGATTGTACGGGGGTGTCTATGATTTGTTTGAAAAGCTTATTTGTTTTGCTGCATGTCTTCGTCGCCTTGTATCCTTGAGACTCCGTTATAGCTTTAGTTTGTGTTCGTCAGATGCCTCGATGTTGTACATTTTTGGGCACATACCTTGGGCCTCACAGTCAACAGGCTCTCGCAGCATCGGAAGCTGAAGACGCTCTACGTCAGAGTATATAAGTGGACTGATCCTGTAAGCTAATGTCAAACATACCTCTATCTCCTAAATCCAGGTCCTCAAGACTATCGTTCATTGCTTTGGCAAAGCTACACGCTGTTATGAATTGACGCGCCGCCCAAGCAACGATGAGCTCCGGTGCGAACACTGCAACCGCCATAGTGGCAATTGACCTGCGCATAATCTGACGCTGGCTGTCATACGGGCTGGGGAGGTTGGGGTGGATAGCGGTATAGACGCATGCAAAAATTGTGAGAAGGCAAGTAACGATGATGTTCCACAAGGTACGCTGTGTATCCGGGGATCCGCTCCAATGGATGGCGGTAGCCACCTCTTGTCCTTCAGAAATGTTCAATGACATCGCATATGCTGTAGTGAACACGTTGAATCTGAGGAAGGAGACAAAAGAAACTGACGTGGGATGGGGTGGAAGGGGTGGCACTGGAATATATACAACGATTTAGCGCTTATACCACGAACCTTCCCGAAGACCTCGTTGCTAACTGAACCTTTTTTGTGGAGATCAGTGTTTCAGAACAATAATGGAAAAGAACAAGTACTGCTGACCACATGCAGTACTCGCCCGTGCTATGCATGGACTAATCAGAGCCAGTGGCGAATACACAGCTGATGCGCGAGGTAGCGCTCTCTTAGCGCTCGTGAAGAACAGTACTGTGACCTTAGTAATCGCATTGTTCCGTGGAGGTGCCATGCCAATATTGATGCTGCGCACTGATGTATCTGGGATAACAAGCGCTTGCACAGGAACCACTCCTACCATAAGCTAACAAGCGAATTAAGCGCCAGCCAGTAAGCTCACAGCAAAAGGTCGGAGTGAACTTTGAGACGAGGTTTGTGTTCTCACCATGATGTTTCCGGCAGCCGTGTGCTGGGTAATTTAGGCGCTTTGCTACTCGAGTGGAGCTGTTTGACAGTTCTTAGAACAACAGGGAGATGAAAGTTTGATTCTTCTTCGAACTCGAAGTTTTGGACATCACAATGCCTGGGCCTGAATGATGGAATGCCTTGATCTGTTCGTTGCTGTGCGTCGGACTCTTGGGAGGGCCGATCTCTATAAACAACAGGCTCGTAGTTCAGGGTATAACACATGCGCTAGGCATGCTGTGCGAGTTCTTTTTTTTTCACGAAACTGGCACCTCCAAAAACCGGTAAAGGATATCTATAATTAGGCAAAAGCGCCTGTTTCTATCTTCAAACTCTGGGGGGAGAACGGTAGCCAAAATTAGAACGAGAACATGCTGAAAACTGGTGGGGAAAGAGGTTCCATCGTTTTCTTGCTCGCACGACACTAGACGTTTAGGTGTGTACGTCTTGATGTTATCTCCGAGGTCGTCGAGAGGAACGTTCAGGAAGTCGGCACGGTGAAGTAGCATGACCTAGCTTGGTTTTATCGGAGTAAACCAACTTTGAAAAGCGGGAAGGGACTGAGAACGTACCTCTGGTAATGACGTCAAAGAGATAATCCCCCTCCTCGTGGCCACTTTGACGAAATCGGAAACTTCGAAGTGTGATGGGGCCCGGGATAAGTCATAGTACTGAAGTGCAGAGCAACCTCGAACTTGGTGTTACTCATCGTTTCTTCTCTGTATTTAAAAGGCGTCTTTGAGAGTAGTTAGTGCGCTATGTTTTCCCATCTTCTTGATTACATGTATAGCAGTGAGTACTTGAGTACGCGTAAACCCAGGGCGATCCTCGAAGGGAGCTCACCCTGAGTTGCCTCAGCATGATGATGACTCCCGCGCCGACCTCCGAAGATGTGCCAGCGCGCTCATACACGTAGACCTCAACGTCGGGGTACCGCGAGAGTGCTACTGCTAGTATCAGGCCGCCGACTCCCCCGCCGCTAAGGGTGTCGGTCATTATGCAAGGATGAGCAATGTCGAAGACGCAAAGCGTGAACTCAGCTGATTGCAACCCTAAACTTGGTAGGTGAAATGTTTTGAATGACAATTAAGGAGATTAGAGAGTTCGAGGGTTTTTTGCCAGCATCCTCGTTTTGAGGCTGTCCTGCTTTTATACACTGCCGAGCATCGTATTAGATGCCGACTCGGGAGCCATTGGGCTGAATGTGCAGAGAGGTCTGCGGTGTCATACATCACCCTTGGTGGTGACGGGTGTGGCTCGGAGATCACCTTGAAGGCGAATGAAGCTACGATGCTGCACTTGAGTCCGCTGTCGTGGTTTACAAGAGAAAGTGGCGATAGCGCTCGAAGCTGAGCCTAGCCCCTAATAGACTCATGTTACTATACCCGTTCGCGCGTAATTGCTGGGTTGTCTCACGATCGATATACCTGTGCCTTCGCCCGTCCTACGTCAAGCAAAGATCGAGCTTGGCTTGGTCGGATGTTCGACGCTCCGTAATGCAGTAAATTGAACTACAGACTATTTTCGGTTGGTAAAACTGTTTAAAGATGAGGAATGAGGTCAGCCCATGGAATAGTCTGATATGAAGTCGCGGGCAAGGCTTGTAATGAGGCAAACATCATCACTACAAGGATCAAGCGAGCGAAGATATACGCAGGTGACAAGTAGAGGAAAGCCGAAGCGACAAAGGCGGTGCGAGATCGCGATGGAAGCCAGGGAAGAGCCCAAATATACAGAACAACTATGATCGGAACACATGTCACGATTATGGAGCTGATACGCCACACACCTTGCCATACCCAAACGCCTGATTCATAGTAAATCTGATCACCGCAGAGTTGAGAATCAAAGGGACCTGTATCTAGTCCGGGGTTATAGTTCCACGCGGCGAGATGGGCCAGTCCAAATGCAATAGACGACAAAGATATAAGGGCCAAAAGAGCATTGTGATGCATCTTTCGTCCCGTATCATCTCCGCCCAAAGTTTCGACCCGCAGAGGTTCATTTCCCCAAGACAGCCCAAATAACCCAAAGAAAATGGCCTCAACGACCCATTTCACAACGGGGTCCAATCCATGCGAGTCTTTTTCTTGGGAGGTGCATACCCTGCATTTCGGTGAGTTTCATCTCTCATGGGCAATAAGTGCATACGAACCTGTTAACGTATAAATTGTCAGGTGGTGGCCTATCACTCCTCCACTCGAGACGCCGAGGACAACTGACTCCCAATGGCTTGTGCCACCACAAGATATACATCATCATAGACGGAACACAAAAACCAACAGTGGCGAGCTCAAGGGGAGTGATATTTAGTTGAGTCATGTGGCGGGCAATGAGTTGCAAACAGAACCAAGAGACTTGAAGGAGTACAAGCCCTTTCGAGATAAAATTACCTTTACTCGTGTCGTTGATCTCGTTCCTTGTCAGCCTGATTAAGTTGATATTACCGTCTTCAATAGCCTTCAGAAGGTTTGCAGGCGTGATGGTACGCCAAGGTTTGCCCTCATGATATACCATGAAGCCGCCCATGTAGGCGTAAAAGCTATGGCTAATAGTCCATGTCTCGTCTACTCGTGCGAAATGTTGATGAGTTTTGCACCAACAATCAATTTACCGATTACGTACCTTGGCTACTACTGCAAAACTTTGGCCAGAGGCATCGTCCGTTGCTACGTGTTATGCGATCTGTTTGAGTGTTTGTCAGCGACCTCTTGTTTCGGAGGCAGACCGTGCATTTTCCCCATTCTTACCTCCCTCGGCGTTGCTAATGCACTCGGGAAAGCTTGCTGTAATGAGTGCTGTTTGCGACGAACTACAGGTGCAGTTGGGCTGAGAGAGGCTCTCAAACATAGCCTCCGGGTCTACATGTTCTTGCTTTCGCTTTAATGAGAGAACTGATGGTAAGTGATGTAACCTTACCGTGTGGGCGGTATAAACCACGTTGCATGGTCTCCGTAAAGTCTCGAGCACTGAGGTACTGACGCGCCGCCCAAGCAACCATAAGTTCGGGTGCTAGTACAGCCATCACCATCGTGCCAACGGCTCGAATGAGGATTGTTATTGTGCCATCGTAAGGGCTGGGGACGTTGGGATGGATTGCCGTGTAGATGCAAGCGAAGATGGTCAGGAGACAAGTCGAAATAATGGTCCACAGACTACGGTTGTTGCTGATCAAGGGATGGTGAAGCGTTTCAGCTCGCACAAAGGTGGAAAGCTCGTTAGGAGAGTCAACGGGCGCTGCAACAACGCTTGATGTATAGGAGAAGAGAAGGAAGGGCAGCATTATGAAGGTGCTCAGTGGGCGACCTACTCGATCTGACGTCTTTAAATACGTCTGTTGGGGCCCAATGCTGTACTCTGACCAGAGGGAAACCAAGGGGTGACGTTGGATTAAAGCCGATTTGATGTTACAGCGTTGGCTGTTGACAGAGACGGCCTACCTGACTAGGGAGTCATACCAGTCTTCCGGAGATGGACTGTGTCTACCGTAAGCATGTAGCTTAGGCATCAGAATACCGGCAGCACGTACGTCAAAAACTTTTGTATTCTCCACTGTCCAATGATATCTGCGTGGAGCAGTCGCTAAAGTGGTCCCATGCAATTCCTGGGAGGAATGAATCAATGATGCTCCGATCCAAGACAGACCTCGGAGTCGGAGCCAGGTGGACGGCTAGGCAGTCTCTAAATTGCATTGCCGAGTCATAGCACTTACCTTTTGCTAGTCTCCCGTAGGCAGAACTTTGTGGTTTATGGAAGGTAGCCGCTCCTCGCAATAAAGACCCTTTGCTATCCCGCAGTACGCTGAAACAAGAAAGCATGAAGTGGGGGATGATTCCATCCACGTGCATAGCGTACGTTCTGTAGCGGTCAACATGCAAGCAAATCGAGGTGCGGGTCAACGAGACGTCGGCAAGCACCAAGCAAACGACAACAAACAGCCCAACCCGTAACTCTCTTCTCCTCGCCCCCATTTCTGTTCGTCTTCTCCCCAAACTACAATGATTAGCCAGCCATTCTCAAACCTAACACGTTTTATCGGTGAAGTGATAAACTCAAGCTTTGAGGTGTGAGGTGCCTGCATGTACGTGGCTGTGTTCAAATGATGATCAAGGTGCGTGTTCTGTTCGGACCGCTCTGGGGGCAAGTTGAGGCGAAGCAAGTGCATGCTGTGGTGTACGCATGTCCGCCCTCTACACGTGTACCGCTGGCCTCGGGAGGCACAGAATGGTGCTCAACACTGCCCTCCGCTAATTCTGCCCCGGACCCACTGACACCTGCGCCTACAGTACGCATCACCCAGTTCGGTCATGGCCTCGTGGCCTCCTCGTGTTCTCGTGCAACGCTCCAGGCCGAGGAAATGAAGGCCAGCCAAGTGCCCATCTCCCTCAGCTACGCGGCTAAAGACAAGGTAAAGCCCCTGGCGCGACTCATTCCGTCAGTCCTTGCTGAGCTTCTTTGCCTAGTTGGCATAATCCCTTTGTACTTGCCTTGAACTCCGTGGCGACTTTGTCCAACCCGTTCAACCTTTCGGCGAGCGACTCAATGGGCGAGAACACGTGTATGAAATCCACGCGACTATCGCAATGGCGGGTCGCGCGGTTATCTGCACCCTATTGTCTTCCTCCCATCATGTCACCCTTAGGTCAGCGCAGCGCCTTCACAGTTTCCCGGCGCATGGCCCGCCTCGTCGAAACCACCAGGCATGCTCTTCAAATAGATATCAACCCATGAAGCCGCGGCGTTCATCTTCACCTCACCCACAACCAACCCACACCCGCACTACGCACCAACCCACCACCACGACTGCGCTCGCTCGTCTCTGGACGCGCGACAGATACAAGTCCCTTGTTCACTTCCACAACCTTTTCGCTCACACCAACTGTAGTCCTTTGTTGTACTATCTATTCACGACCCCTCAACCCACTCTCTACCTTCCTCGACACTCTTCACTTCTCCTACTATGTCTTCTTCATCGTCCAGCACCCCCAAGCGCCCCAGCTTCAAGAACCGCATGGGCACCATGATGCGCCGTTCCTCTACAGCTCTCACCCTTAACCGTTCTGGCTCACAAACCCCTCCACCCGGTGGTGATTCAGACTCAGGTTCTGTTAGAGGCAGAGGACGCTCAGGCTCAGTCGACACTGTCCCACCGACCGACCGACAATCTTCTGACTCCACCCCGGCACCCAAGCCCGAGTCCAGGCAGGAGCAGCCGTCGTCCCAATTCACTGCCTCCCCCGAACCCCAGTTCTCTCCAGCCCCGCAGATCAAGGTCGAATCCGAGTCGCCCGAGAGCTCACGTCAAGCCTCGCTCGAGGGCTCGATATCCTCGAGCAAGCCCAAAGTCAACACGCTCGCTGCCGATGCCAATGCGGACACGCACGAGGCGCCAAGCCCCATTCCGGAGTCGCCCATCAGCGAGGCAGCGGCGGTCACGGAGCACACCGTAGGCCTGTCGAAGCTCGCGCATGAGCTCAAGCCCGAGGATATCTCGGATGCCGGGGACGAGGCGCCCGACGCTGAGCCGGAGGCTGCTCCTGCCCCCGCTCCCGCTGAGTCCGCGAAGCCAGCGTCGGTGCACGAAGAAGGATTCGGCGCGGGCGAGCGCGAGCCGCAGCCTAAGACGCAGGTCGTCTCCCCGCCCGAACAGCATCCACACATCCTCCAGCCCACGCCCGCGCAGATCGAGAGGAACCTGGAAGACGTCCCCATCCTCACCCAGACCCCCGAGCAGACTTCTCTCGCCTTGCCGCAGCCAGCCAGCTCAGGCGACCAGGGCTCGATCGCACCGACTGAGCTCTCCGTGCCCTACATCCCACGTACGTCCACGCCCCCGCCGTTCGAGGGCACCGGCACCGTGGCGACGGGCTCGCCGAACCTATCGCGTACCCAGTCGCGCGACGACCTCGCGGGCTCGAACGTGTGGGTCGGCCACGCGGCGCAGCCGCAGCGCGAGCAGGTCCAGCGCTCCGTCTCGCCCTCGCGCCAGGGCTCGCCTGGCAGGCCCGCGGTGTACATCCAGCGGAGCACGAGTTCGCAGGTGCCGAGCCGCAATCTGAGCGCGAAGCCGAGCCGCTCGTCGCTTGCGCCCGGTGGTGGTGCGGCGGGCGGGAATAAGGATGCAACGAATTATACGTGGAGCAATTCGAGCACGAGGAGCTTGGGTATGGTGTATGCGCAGGGTGCGCCTGGATTTGGGCAAGTTTCTTTTCTATGCATAGCTGGAACGTTAGCTGATGATTTTGTACGCTGCTCACGGTATGCAGTGTCCAGGAAAGAAACCCATTCGATGATCCTAGCTCGTCGCAGGTGAACTTGCCGCACGCTGGTGCGCACGATAAATCCCCCTCTGAGACTATCAAAGTACCCGAGTACGTGCATTGCTTCGCTGCCTGTACTACACCTGACCATCCGTTGCGACCTGATAGGGGCTTCGACCCGCGTTCGCCGCACGACGAACGTCAACTCGACGATCACCAGGCAGACCCTGTACCTGTCCCGCTGCCCGCAGCGTCGGAAGTCATGCTCTCGCGCCATTCACGGGAGCTACCTGAAGGGTATGATGTATTTGGCGCTGGTCCGACGCAGGATTACTTCGACCAAGGCCCAAAGCCAACCAAGTATGTAGAACATCCGTTATACACGAGATTGCCTGGCTCTAACACTTCTGTCCAGCGAGCGCCTCCCGCTTCTTGGCAACCGCACCTATACACCGGGCCGCGATCTCCACCGTGCCCCCAGCATCGACTCCCAAATCGCCTCTTGGAAGCCCAAGTCCGCCAATGGCCACGGCCACGGCGACGCACCCAGCACCGCCAACGGCAATGGCAACGGCAACGGGCACGCCCACGAGTCCAGCGAAACCGCGAACGACGACGGCGACCTTGCTGCGACTAAGCGGCCGCTCTCGCACGCCCACTACCCGGGGTACGGCGCGGGCGGATACGGCGCGGTCTCGTTCCCGTTCGCCGCGCGCGGCTGGGCGGAGCACGTTCTCCCGCACGGCGCGCGCTACTTCGTGCACCCCGGCGTGCGCGCGGTCGCGGACGCGGACCTGCGGAGGCTCGTCGAGCTGGATGTGGTTAGTGGTGTCGTTGGGCGGGCGGGGATTGTGCCGGACGGGTGCGAGATGTGGATACGAGAGGTGTATCCCGCGAACAAGAACGGCGGGAAGAAGAAGGGCGCGCAGAAGAAGGGGTGGTTTAATGGGAGTGGGAAGGGCAAGGGGAGGAGCGAGGATGTGGAGGTGGCGTGGGTGGATCATCGGGCGAGGAGGGTGTCTAGGGATGTGCCGAGTGTTGCTGAGCGGGCGGGCGAGGAGGATCGTGAGTTACATTTTCGTGTCTCGCCGCCAATGGTTCGTCTGACACAAAGTACCAGGCCTGGACGATGAATACCGATACTGGTCCTTTGTCGAGTCGCACCCGTCGCACGTGCACCCGCGCCCAGACCTCCGCCAGGAGGCGCTCGACGCTCTGCGGTGGTCATACACCGATCAGCTGCTCGCATACCCGCAGCCTGTGCCTTCGCCGTTCAGTACTGACGAGTGCATGCAACTCGAGCGCCTGTTGAGCGCCAACGGGCTCGTACCGGAGCGCAACGCAGTGCAGACCCGGCTGATTGCCAGGATCTTATTGCGAGTTGGTGAGTTACTCATACCCTCTCGTCCCTACGACATGAGCTAATCGTGGTTCTCGTATAGTCCACTGGCGCCAGCAGCACTTCCGCCCACAGAAGCCACTCCCAGAAGATGTGCCGCAGGCTCAGGCTCAGGCGCAGCTGGCCGCGCGTCGCCGGCCCTCGGTCTTCCGCACGATCCTCGATATCCTCATCGGCATTGCGTGTCTCGGCATTCCGTTCATGTTTGAAAACAAGGCCCAACCTGGGTCGGCGTTTGATATCGAAGGGGGTGCACTGCCCCACCACGCTGGCTCCATGTTCGTCGCTGGCGGTGTTGCATGTCTTGTCGTATGTCTTCCCTATTGTCATCACGATGCATGAGAACTGACATTATATGCTCTCGCAGGCCGCGATCATACTGAGCGCCAGCGTCACCCTCGTCACCCTCCCAGGAATCGACGAGATCGCCCGCATCGCAGGCATCGTCGCCATCGCGTGCTCTGTCGCGAGCATGATCTCCGCCTTCGCCGTCATCTTCCGGCACAAGGCTGAGGTGTACCACGGACGCAGCCACGGCGTCGGCGGCGCGAACGGTATCGGCGGCGAGGGGTTCATCGTGCTCTCCCGGCGGAGCGTGCTCCTCTCGCTCCCGCTCGCGTTCTTGGCGTACTCTGTCGCGGGGTTCGTCACGGGCATCCTCGTGTACTCGTTCAAGAGCGCTCCTGGCGCCGTTGTCTCGCTGCCGGTCATCCCCGAGGCGATGAGCATGGTGTCGCAGAGTCTGCCGACGACGGCGGATGTGAAGGTGGAGTCGTGGTCGAGGTGGACTGCGCTCGGGGCGCTGGGCGGGCTGAGTGTTGCGGTGCTGGCTACAGCGTATGCTGCGAGAAAGTGATGTGTTTTTACGATGACGTTTTTGATGTGCTTTTGAAAGTCATGAGCTTATGACGCATGGTTTGACTCGATCTGTAGAAAACTGTACACCAGTACTGTGTCTTTAGAACTGTAATTATTATCAAGCAGTTTTTACAACGGCAATATGAACTCCAAGTGCATGGCAATTGGGGTGGACGGGTGAGCCCGGAAGCTACTGAACCCTAGGGCCCTATGCCCTGTCATGAGGCTATCTCCATATCCCGTACGCGTGGATGCAGTTGTGTTATTCCCGTCTGATTAACGTCAAATCCATGCTCTTTCAGTGAGGCAAAAGATCGACATCGTCAAAAGCCAATATATTATTAACGGTCTTTTACGAAATGACCGAACGTGTGCGGAACAACTACGGGGGCATACGAGGTAAGGGAGTCACATATGTGGAGCATAAGGCGTAGAGAAGAGTCTGCATAACTCGCATAGAACTGTCTAGGTGGTCTGCGTCATCTTCGGGAAGGCCAGCCGGACTCCCGGTCGCTAAAAGGCGGCGCCCGAAGGGCTTCTCGACCACGTTTTTCGCCGACAGCGTGCTGGCGAGTCAGGCGTCATACTCGTAAGCCCGCGGCCTGGGCGACCAGCACAGGCAGAAGCACAGCGTGTTCAGGATGCCGTGCTCGTACTCGCTCAGCGAGTCGCGCGAGAGCGTCCGCGTGTCGGCGTTGGAGAAGGAGAAGAGGGAGCTCTCGGAAAGGAAGCCGTTGACGTCTTCGTCGCTGTCGCTGTCTGCGTAAGCGCCTCGGTGTGGGTAGTGGTGGTCATGGTGCATGAGGCGGGCGCCGAATCGCTGTAATGAAGAGGAGCTATGCGTCAGAGGTGACGAAGCTTGTGAGTGATAAGGGCCTTGTACTTACTCGGTTTGATCGCTCACGCGAGAGTGCGGTGAGTTGAGAAGGAGTGAAGCGCGTGTGTTCGAGTGACGTAGAGCCTGGCTGTGAGGTGCGATGAAAGAGGCGCTGAAGGAGACGCGGACGGGATGTTAATGAGAGGGATGCGACAGAGGACGACGATGACGACGATGAGGAAGAGGTATCATCCTCTGGACCCGTGAGAGAGCGAGGGATGACCGCGTCTGAGGTTTGAAGTCTGTTAGAATACGCTGCACGTCTCTAAACGTTGGCTATCAGTACTTGTTGAATGGATATAGGATATTAAACCCACCGACGTAGCGATTGAGCGCCTGGTGCGTCTCGTTCGTCCACTGCGCACGCTTGTCCGCGTGCTCGCTCGAGTACTCGCTCGAGCAGTGCGGACGCTCAACCTCGAGGCATCGCCAGCCGGCTCCGAGGAAGGGTTAAAGATGACTGAGCTGCGCCTCAGGGACGCGTGTTCTGCAGTAGCTACATGCGACTTCTCCTTGTCTTCTTTTTCGGAGTCACTCGTTGGCGCTTCTGTGATGATAATAGTGGGTATGTCCACCGGGGGACTACCTGAGCCCGCCTCTTTGTCATCGCTAGAGCTACCGTCATCAGATGAGTCGGAAGACCGGCGGCGAGAGTGTGGAAGATGGAGTATCCGAGTACGGTGCGAGAGGCCCCTGAGGCCGCGAAGGCTGGCGAACTTGACGATGGATGGCCGAGGGGGCGTCGTTGGTGCGGAGCTGGGCTGAGCTAAATCTAGAATCGGCGAAGTGGCACTCGGCGCAGTAGGCATATCAGCTGCGCTCCTATCGTCATGGACGAGGGGTGCAGCATCTTCATCCCGCCCGCGTGAGTCGGACGCACGAGACTTGTCCCCTTCCCAGGCAGACAGTTTCCCCGAGTCCGGCTCAGGTACTAGTGACGCGGGTTGGCTACTGGAGGAAAACAAGGTCGACAGGAGTCTGGAGAAGCTGGCGAGAGAGCTCATATCGGATAGGAGTTTAGGACCTTAACTTTCGTAGAAAACACCTCAGCGAAGGCTTTTAAGCGAAACGAGACACGGCACCGCAGTTATCGTGTACGTCACTTTGACGGAATTCGTTCCATGAGGACAGGGTCTGAAAGGTTACGGGCGTACTACGGCACCACTGACGAGCAAACGTTCGAAGAGGAGACGAATGGGAAAACGGGCTCTCTGGGCTAAGCGGGGGGCTCGAACGTCGCTTGAAGGATATGGCAGTGACTGGACTTCATGAACAGGCCGCCAGGTAGTAGCTCGTGGATTTAGAGCCACCTCTTGATGGTTAAGGGTCTAAGAATCCTGAATCGCGCTTAACAGCGTTTCTGCTCGTGTGAGCAGTACACGCCCGTCACACGACACGAAATGCACTGGCCGGCAGGGCTTCGGCATGCCATACATTTTAGGGAGCCCTGAGGAAGTCCATCGCGACACCTATATGCTCCAGTGATCTGTTGTCACCACATGTAAGTAAACATTCGTGAACAAAGTGAACAACTCACTTGATTATCATAGTGCCAACATGAGGTTAGCAGCGGAACGAATGTTTGGCGTTATCTTTGGGATTCAATAAGACCAAACATCAACAAACCATGGCATCTCGGTCCGTGGCGATGAAGTCATGCACGGTTTGCCGTGTTTCTCCCTTCCGATCACTTATGAAACCACAGCAGGGCGACTACGGCGCGCTTGCCAACATGTCTCAGGAAAACCTCTGGGCCCCGCACGCCGTTGGCGAACGTGCGTCTTAGATGAGCGCATCCTTCCTCTACGTATGAAGAATGCGAGACTCCGACTTAGCCCATTCACGAACTTCTCGGATGAGTGCATTTCCTTGACAGTGTATAGCTTCATTAATGTGTCCTGTTTACCGTCACATCTTCGAACCAGCTTATATTCGGGAGACTCAAAGGGAATGCTATTTTGGCTAGTGCATTGCTCATTTGCCTTGCATTTGCCTATTCACGGTGTTTTTGGGAACATATCTTGAGTCGAAGTTCTAGCCAAAACACTAAAATATGTCGCTTGTATATTCTACAATACCAATAGGAGAGCTGTCGTATGAGTTGACCAGCCCACTGTCCAGGCAGAAATGCGCTATGTCATGTCCTCCGAGTCCAACCATATCCTCGGTGAACTTAGCAGTGGCGTAGATCAGCAAAAGTAGCGCGCTACTCTATTCATTTTAAAATGGCCGTATCTAGTCACTGCTTTGGGCATTGGCTACAGAGTAGACAACACCTGGATGATGATCGACGATGTGGGGCAACGATTTCCTCATGACGCTCTCAACAGCGTGCTTTAAAGCTTCTCATGAGATAAGTGGTGTTTCACCGTGAGTACTACGACAAATGTCAGCAGACTTCAAGCAACCACGCTCCTTTCAAACAAACATCGCACAAATCTCCGAACTAAGTCTCACTCTCACTATAATACCATCATAGGGGCCTTATTCCATAACTGGTCAGCTGCAAATATGTACAAACCAAATTAGGCACGAGGGGGCCTTCGCTCCCCAATCGCTTCCGAGCCGCGGGTTCATTGCACCATTAACGCACTTTGCAACTCATCCAGGCTTTTATGAGTATGAGGAGATGTAGCGTTCGTGTCATCTTGCCCTTCATCCTGTGATTAGCTCAAATCTCTTCTGATAGAATAGGAAACATCGCTGAATCAACCTGTACCCCACCGTATCCATCAAGAGGCAGTGCTGATAGCAAGTTGATCTACAGCAAGGTCGACATCAGAACTGCCGTTCGAGGCAGCGAGAAAGTGCTAGTGGAGCACGTTCCTCGACTTTGCTGTAGGCGTTGTGGGGTAGTCGTCAGCATAGCCACTGGATAGCGGCGGTGTGCGGGACTTTTCTGATTGCCGTCCAGCTGATCCCAAGTCACCGTCTATTTAACAACTGCGGTAGTGCCAACGGGAGCGCGATTACCGCTCCTTCACGCCGACCACCATACAAGAACATGTCCCCAGATCCCTCCACCTCTCGCCCCGGTCTACGACCTTTGCACGCCGACGAAGAAGCTGAGGCAGTCGGCCACGAGATATGGACGGAAGCCAACGACGGGCTGCATCTTGAACCCAACCTCGACTCGAATGGCCTCCAGGAACATTCGGCAGGGACGATGAACGGTGGTGCCCCAGACGGTGATGCGCAGTTACCGGTCTACACCTCACCCAAGAAATACACCATGGGCCAACGGTCGGTCAAGGCCTTCGTGAATTCCGCACAGCTACAGGGGCATCTTGCCCTTCTCCACGCGTTTCACGCGCTCCGCGTTGCAGTGGAGCAGGGCGCTGACGAGAGAATACCAACTTTCGTGCAGAGAATGGATCCGGCGGGGCGGTGGGGATGGTTTGTAAACTTAGCAGTTGAACGGTGCGAACGACATGGTTCTCTTTAACGTTGTTATGAGGCTGATTCCGCATACTGCGTCAAGGTTCGAACGCTGGTGTTTGACGCTAGAAGAGGATGACGTCGTGCTGGATCATCTTCCCCCGCTTGACGTAGTGATGGTTTGGCACTCGTACTTGCTTAACCCCAAGTACGCCCCAATTTAGACTCTTCTCTGGCATTTGTACTGATGCTACCGTAGCAAGTATGCCGAGGATACCACGCGCGTTCGTCAACTCGGACGCCTAACCAAGTACACCGAGGACATGAAGATGTTCCTGGTACGCTATCCAAAAATACTACATTATCTGAGAACCCTAACATATACGCAACGATAGGCTCTTCCCGATCTTCTAACTACTGAGAACCCAACTCCAGAACGTGTCCAATCATGGGTGCAGCGGACGTACACCGCATATGCACCGGCAGACGCGGTCGACAAACTGACTCATAAGTATATTCAATGTCCAATGTGCTTCACTCACGTCGCCGCCCGTAGGTATCTTACTGTGCTAAACTCTGCCCAAGAGATTAATCTTAACTTCTACAGCGTTTGTCTCGTCGCTAGGGACAGGTTATGCACAAAGCAAGTTTAGTCACGATTGTGCCTGTGACTTCGTGATTACCAAGGAGTCGCTCGGCCTCACCAAATTCGTGAGGAACATTGTCGAATCTGGGGCTCCAGACAAGTATCTCGCGTAACTTGTCTCACTGAGAAATCTGTAGAACATTTTGCTTACTATGTTGTTTCACCAGGAGAACCGTCATGACCCCAACGACCATGATGGATGAGAGGTTTGCAACGCGTATCAAGGACCGTATTCTTGCTACAATACCGGTGCAACAAGCATTCTCCCTGGTACCACGGTTTGATGGACATGATACCGACAACTATACCCGACAATTACTCTTGAATGTCGACTACTCGGTCAAGAAGTTTTACACCGCTATGAATCCACAGGTTATGCCTCGAGTGTGCGTTTGTTTTTCGTCGCTAATACGCTACCTTGTGACGTACTCATAACTATAATAGGCGAACGCGGATATTTAGCGCTTATACAGACGATCGTGTCTTTTCGCTTGATCTCGTTGGTGCGGTGCTGCGCCAGGGTTCGTTCATAGAGAAGATGCACGATCTCCAGTGGACCAAACCGGGATTTTTCGATGCTCAGGAGGACCAGCTGGTGTTGGAACACTGTATTGCCCGCTATCACGCGTATGCTTAACTTTCCCTCGCCCAGTGGTTCTGTCTGAATATGCGATACAGGTTCTTGGGACTTATGGCTGAATCACCGGCGTCGTTCTTCGTACCCACCCTTGATATCGACCTCGCGTGGCACACGCACCAACTCATGGCAAAAGCATACCAAAAGGACTGCATCAAATATATCAAACGATATGTCGACCAGTAATGTCCTACCTTTATCCTCTTCTACTTAGTCTTACCAGTTGCTACAGCGATGATAAGGTCGAAGAGAATCGCCTTGCGAACTCATTCGACGTCACCTGCCGCGTGTGGCGGGACAAATACCAAGTACCGTACATGTACTGTGGTTGCCCTCTCCCCGGTGACACCCTCGGACAGAAGCTCAAGCGCCTCGTGCACCGACACGCGCCCCTGGAAGCGGAGGCGCTAGTACCGACCGACACACCCATAGCGCTTGCAGCTACGCACCCGAGCGAGCACAACGCTGTATTCCCGCTGCATCGCAAGAGCACGAGTATGACGGGTCGGAAACACCGCGAGGAGAAGTTCGCCCGCCGTATGCGCAAGGCGGCTCATGGCAACGGCGGTGACAGTCACCTTGAACCGTGGGCTCAGAGGCGGGCGAGGGCACCAACGCATTCGCAAGCGTTCCTATACCCGGTTCCTATGTATTATTGGATGCCGGGTGGGTGTGTAGCTGGCGCAGGAGGTGTTGTGACGGGCCCGACGACATCATCAGGCAGCTGTGCGGTATGCATTTCCTGGTTTGCCTGAAAGGATGAAACTTACTCAATTTCGGTTCATAGGCCGGTGGATGCGCTTCTACGTGTGCAGCTGGCGTTGGGGCATGCATGACTGGTCCCTCATGCGGAGGCGGTGCTGCAGCGTGCGGTGGAGGAACTATAGGTGGAGGTGGTGGTGGTGGGTCAGCGTGCGGTGGGGGCGGTGGTGGGGGCGGAGCAGCGTGCGGTGGTGGGGGCGCCGGTGGAGGAGGGGGTGGCTGCGGTGGTGGAGGCGGAGGCGGAGGAGGCGGGGGTGGTTGTGGGGGTGGTGGAGGCGGAGGTACATGCTGAACAAAGTTCTGCTCATCGATACCCTCGATACGAGCACCCATAAACACTCGAGCTCTAGTATAGGTTTCTTTCGCTATCATCCTATCCCTGTATATGATCCCGTCGTCAAACATTGTCGCCGTGTAGCATCATCATTTAATATTCTCTAACTCATTAACTGGTCCGTTCGAGGTTGGTGTTTCTTAGGTGTTTCATCAAAAAGCAAAAGCAATGTAGTGCCGCTCTACTTCGATGCTGAGCGCTGAGCGCTGACTATTGAATGCATCTGCCACCAACTTACCAAGTCATCCTAAAACAGCATACTCACCCACTATCTCAGGATCTAGGTGACGCCACAGGAACCTTGGCACCTCGGCCAAGTCCGCAAAACCACTTCAACTCCCGCGAAAATTGTCTTGGCCTGCACGACTCTTCTGCACCGCCATGGTGCCACCATCACCTGTATCATGGGAATGCGACTATACCTGAATAACCCTTACCTCATACATAGACCATGCTAACGAGATATTGCCCATACAATGGCTTCAATACCGACCCCTTCCTACTCCCCTCCGCCGAGCTACGATTCAATATGCGGAAATCAATCCATAACCGAGCCCACATACGAGCATGTACATGATCACGCACTGAGCGGCCCCTCTGAAACAGTTCGTCAGGCATCCAGGACTTCAGAACTTTGGTCGTACACCAGCGAGGGTGTACACTTACAGCTTGGCCATCCATTCAACGATACGGCAAGCGATCTTGTCTCGACAATTGACTTCGTACTGCCCGCTATAAATGGGAAAACTCCCAGTCCCCTCGTACGCCAGGAGCATCTCAAAGGACATCTATCACTTCTGAGGGCATTCAATGCGCTCCGTGCGTCCATCGAAGAAGGGTCTGTCGTAAATATTCCGGGCTTGGTGCTGGAGATGAGGCCCGATGCATGGTGGGGTTGGTTTGTTAACTTGGCAGTTGAGCGGTGCGTGTAGATCAGGCCTGAGTATATCCCACCCCGAACTAATTCCCTTTTGCTGGCGAAGGTTTGAGCGTTGGTGCCTATCACTTGAGGATAACGACGACGTGCTAGACAACCTTCCCCCGATTGATGTCGTCATGGTCTGGCACACATACTTGCTAAACCCAAAGTGAGTTCTGGTGAAATTTACTATGCTCTGCCAGTGAAAAATGATACTCTAGTAAGTATGCTGAGGACACTACGCGTGTGAGTCAGCTCCGCCGTCTCCAGAAATACACCAAAGATATGGGATACTTCCTCGTACGAAGTTAACATTACACCGCTACGGTGATCACTATGGGCAGCGCTGACCCGTTCAATACGTTTTAATCGTAGGTCACCCCTGAATTACTGATCACCGAGAATCCGCACGCAAAACGAGTTACACAGTGGGTTCAGAGAACGTCTACTTCATACTTTCCAGCCGATGCAATCACGAACTTGACACACAAACTTGTTCAATGTCCACGCTGCTTTTCCCCCATCACAGCTCGTGAGTCTTACTTCGCTCACTTGTAGTACCCATGGCGAGTTGATAACATAAACAAGCATTTATGACAGAACAAGGAACAGGCTATGCTCAGAGTCGATTTCTCCACAAATGTAGCTGCGAGTTTGAGATTACGAAGGACTCCCTCGGGATCCTGAAGTTCGTAAAGAATGTTCTCCACTCCCAGTCCCCGGACAAGTATTTCGCGCGAGTCCTCTCCAGCCCTCGACACGTTTCAGTAGTCTTCGTCAAGCCTCCATCTGATCATGCTTATTATTGGTAGGACGACTGTTATGACACCAACATCAATCCTCAACGAGGAACGTGCGCAGCGAATCAGAGACCGCATTCGCATACTCGGTCCCGTCTGGGGAGTTATTTCCCAGGATTTATCCTCGAAAGAGGGAAGCACCAACAATCGCTGCCGAGCGATACTTTCGAACGTCGAATATTCTTGGAAGAAGATGTGCGAATCTATGGCCTATAATCGCGTCTTAGATGAGGTGTATGTCAATTTCGCTACGTAATATGAGCAGTACTATCCGCTCATCCATGATTTACGAAATTTGCAAGACGAATCAGGATAACCAGTTCATACATGGACGATCGCATGTTCTCGCTCGATCTTGTAAGCGCGGTATTACGACAAGGACTCTTCATACACAAGATGCACGATCTCAACTGGACGAAACCCGGATATTTTGACTCGCCGGATGAGGACATAGTTCTGCAACACTGTATTGCGAGGTACCACGCGTGCGTCTATTCCCACTTCAAACCCATGAACATCGGCTGACCGCCAAAGGCAGCTTTTTAGCCGTTCTTGCGGAATCTCCTAAACATTTCATTGTCCCGACACTTGATATTGACCTTGTATGGCACACACATCAGCTCATGGCCAACTCCTATCAAAATGATTGCCTCAACTATATCAAGCGCTATGTAGACCAGTGAGAATCCGTTCACCTATCCCTTCAATGTGTCTCAGTCATGCGTGTAGTGACGACAAAGTCGAAGAAGGTCTGCTTGCCGACTCCTTGGATAGCACCTGCATAGCGTGGCAGAACAAATACCATGTTCCATATATGGTCTGCGGTTGTCCCCTCCCGGACCTCCCAGGAGACACTGTAGGAAAGAAACTCCGACGACTGGTGCACCGCAAGTCTTCCTTTGATGCGAGCGTAATATCACCCCTGGACACACCTCTCGCTGTCGCGGCAACACACCCGAGTGAACACAGTGGCGTGTTTCTTCTGCATCGCAAAGGTCCAAGTTTGCTCTCGCGCAAAACTCGCAAGGAAAACGCCATGCAGCGAATGTCTGCAGCAAATGGGCCCGAAGGCGACAAATCAAACGTGTTGTCGCGATGGCAATCTAGAGCGCCAGCTCACTTGAAAGCATTTCTATACCCTGTACCAATGTATCACCATGCGCCCGGAGGTTGTGTTGCTGCTTCAGGCAGTGCGGTCACCGGTCCTCCGAAAACGACAGGAAGCTGTGCGGTATGTGGGAAATTTTGTCTTGTAGTCGTGCTATATGCCTCATGGCTACTTATAAACCGTAAATATAGGCTGGAGGGTGCGTGTTATCCGGGGGTATTGGCACTAGCACTGCGACTTGTGTGACAATTGGCTCTTGATTGAGTAATTTGACGAAGAGGTTTAGACGTGAATCATAGCTAAATCCACGTGTTTAGTTGCTCAGTAGCTATGATGGAGACTCCGACGTAGTAGTAGATTATATTACCAGATTCACATTGGCCAGTGGCAATGAATGTTGCGGAACAAACGTTCACATTCATTTTCTCGTGTGCTTGGAACGTGTCATGCCAATAACATGTGGCAGCTTTGATCGGCTCCATGTTAATTCTCAGCGCTCAGTAGGTTTGTCGGGTATGATGAGTAGAAGGGCTCATGTTCTGTTCTTAGAAGTGTGCATCTCTTTGTTGTCTGTGAAGATGACTTAGAAAGCCGAGGTTTCTTGGTAGGTATAAACGCATATTCAAAAGAGGAAGCCTCATTTGAACGTCTTTCCCGTCAATTCAAGCGTGCGAAGCAATTAATTTAACATGTAACCTTGTAATACAACGTACAATGCTATATCTGATTTTTATACACAGTTCTCGTCAATTGCTTGATGAACGTGAAAGGATCGAGCGAATAACGCATGATATTCTCACCCTCTTCCGTGCATATATGATGGTACACATAAGAGCTCTAGGGTGGACAAATGGCAATTTGGAATATGTGTGAACCGTTTTCTTAAATACGGGCCAGCCCATGCTACGTAGATTAAAAAATTCACTCCCATCATCCACACCATGGTGCTCGACAACCCCCTTCTGCCAAATTCCACAATGCAAGCCATTGTAACTTATATTCCGTCGTGCCATATTACTTGCCGCTCTCTCTGGACAATCGTTTCTACGTGCTTGCTCACAGTCTTCGCCTGCGTCTACACTGCTGTACATCACAACGTCCCAAGCCCTTATGACAGACGACTGCGACTCATTTTCAGAACTGTCTGGACTATCATGTGTGGTATAGGTACCCCTGAGCTCATCGTCGTCTGGGCTGCACGTCAATGGATCAGCGCACGTTACTTTACCAAGGAGATGAACCAATGGCTTTCAGACGAGAAACGTCAATTTCAGCTTGAAGGTAGGATTCCTTCGGCGAGCATCTCAGCTATGTTTAACGCTCATGCTTCACTTAGACCAAGTTCAGACTGAGACAGCAAACAATACTGGTAGCGAACATAGCATCTCCTCACGGTTTTCGGAATTTACAGACAACGCCTCTTTGAGCAGTCAAGAAACCGATAACAATATCAAAATAGCCGCCTACACAGGTAGGACAACTTCTGCCTTTCAAGTTGCTTTGAATTGGTCCGACTGAAGAGCCGTGGGTAGATCAGAAGATGACATGGATAGCATCATGGTTTTTCATTACTGAAGAAGGTGTGGCTCCAGGTGCATTCGCGGTTTATTCTGACAATATTTCCTCGTAATAGATGAATCTTGGACAGACGCGCACAGCTTCTATGCATATATGGGCGGTTTCATGATCTATCACAATGGCAGGCCATACTCAACAATCACACCACGAAATTTATTGCAATGTCTCAAGGATGGCCACATTGATCCAATCAAGCTCACGATAATAGAAGTCGATGACTGTAGCAAAGGCGACTTTATTTCGAAGGGATTGGTTATCGTTCAGGTCGCTTGGTTTGTCATACAGCTGGTTGCACGGCATTTGGGCGGTATCGCTGTGACGCCACTTGAGATCGGCACAGTGGCCTTTTCTGTCCTTTGTTTTGTCACGTACGTTTTTTGGTGGGAAAAACCGCTAAATGTTCAACATCCTCGTCGGGTTGACTGGAAGGGACCTGTGCCACTTCCCAAAAATCTTCACACCGATAAGTGCGTATCCTCCGATTTTCTTGACTGGACCATGCATACTGAATGGTCGACGCTTAGATCGAATCAAGCAGACGATCAGGAGCTCACAATGGCACCTGTGCGTTATGCTGTCAGAAGGATTCAAGGCTCAAAGGGGAACAGCGCGTATCGAGTGGAGACGTTCGGCGGAGATGATATTGATTTCCTCAACTTACGTGGGTTGGAAGGCCTGGAAACCCCATCTAACAAGCTTTTCGTGATCGGTTTATGTGTCACCTTCGCTTTCGGTATTATCCATCTCACTGCGTGGAACTTCAAATTCCCGTCTGTTTTCGAGCAAATTGCATGGCGCACCAGTGCAATCGTTCTCGTGTCCGTTCCCTTGTACATGTCTATGATGGCGGCTGTTCGATCGTCTCTCGGCCGTTTCAACTCATCCATATCACGCTACTTTCCGCCGATATTTACTATGCTTGCTTTTTCGTATGTAGTGAGTCGAGTTCTGATAGTAGTTATCATGCTTACCACATTGCGTGGTCTTCCTCCCAGTGCGTACCAAACAGTTGCTTGGGCAGAGCTTATTCCCCACATCTGAGATCGTTTTAGCCATACATCGTATTGCATGTTGGAATATTATATAATAATACGCTTCATGTTAGTCGCGGCTTGCTTCGTTGGGAGTGTACCACCTGCCACGCCTGCAGGGGTTGTGCATCACAGACGCGACAAACGATAGCGCGCCAGACAGGGGCTAATTCCGGAGGTCGGCCCGATCTGGGAACACTGCAAAAATTTCACCATAACTTGTGCCCATTTACTTTAAATAACTGGCCCGGTTAGTTAAAATAACTTTATCATAACTTGCCGGGATTTATCCGGGTGTGGATACACATTGTATTTTAAATAACATTTGACAGGTTATGCTAAAGGTGGGACACGCAGTTTTGACAGTTATCTTCAATTGTAGTTTCTCACGGCTGTCAGCCATATCATTGCTCATCTGTTTATTTTAAATAAAATGGAGTTAACATAAATTCTACATTGAATTAGAGCTTGGTGTTTTCCCCACGAGACAAAGCTGATATGTGATTGGCTGGGGACGAGACAAAACGAACATCTGATTGGCTGATTCCGCCGCGTCTCGGCTATTCCGAGCTGTTGCCTCTTTCGCACTTTTTTCTCACACCTTGCTGCTGCGTCTTGCGCTTCGGCTTCAGTGCCTCATCTTCCTCAATGATCTGTAGTAATCTGATTGTAGCAAGTATAGGGTGAGTGGCCGGGGTCAGGTATATATGTTGGGTAAGTGTGTTCAGTCCGGGCAGTACATGTACAAAATTTAGCAGTCCACGGATGTTCTGAAGCACATAGGAAATATAAATTCAATTAAATAAAATATATTAAGGTCTTGAGGTTTGGGTAACTTGGTGTGTACGGGTGAATGGAGAGATGTACGGGTGATCTGGGAGCTGTACGGACAAGCTGATAGATGCATGAGTGAGCCGAGAATTGTACGGGTGAGGCGAGAGATGCATGGGTGGGTGAATAAATCATGAAGTGCTTGCACGCAAAATGTTTTAAATGGGCATTATAAATCATCCCACTGAAAGTTTACTCGACAGCCGAGTATAATAGCACAATTATGTTTACAGAAACCGCTTTTTTGTCCTGTGGCTGTCCACGGGTTACACACCTATGCGGATAAACTCCGCATTTGGATGGCAACAATCAAAGTCTGGCCCATGATGGTCAGAAACCAGACAATGACCCGGCAATGACTAATCATATGCCGGTCAATGGCCAATCAATGGCCAATCATTTGCCAGTCATTTGCCAGTCAATGGCGGGTTAATGGCGGGTTAATGGCCAATCCCCAGTGAAAAGTCCATATTGGATTATTCTTTGAGGTTTTGAATAAAAGTGATTATTAATCTTTAAACGCTCTTCGGATTCTTTAAAACACGTACTATTCATTAAAACGACTTGAGCTTGTGCCCCAATAGGTGTTTTAAACAATTCCTCAAAAGACTTTAAAGACTGGCAAAAAACGGTCATCGACCATTTGATTTCTCGGTAGGGACAGTACAGGTTCTTTAAAATGACATAGAATGTTTTAAAAGCGACCCGAAATCAATAAAAACGGCGGGCGTTTGCGCAAAGAATAAGGCAAGCGTGCAAAGAATAGCAAATGATGGCAATGAAAGCAGTGAATCGGTAAAAACAGCGAAAAGAAGCGAATGTCGGCGTAGCAAGCGGGAGAGCTAGTGTCGGCGTTCTAGCGAATATCGGACTGACAGCATGCGCGAGTGACCTGTAAGCAAGCATAATCATTAGTATACAACCCAAGCTCGATGAACGCATAAGGTACGTGCGCGGTTGTATCAAGCAAGAGGTGTCGTTCTCTCTTCATCGGAAGTATCCTGTCATTTCTGCATTAAAGGTGTTAGTTTCAGCGTAGATATACGGCAGACAGACTCACATTTAACTCTACAGCGCTCTCCCTCACCGACTTCCAAGCCTTGTTGAAGCGTGCCTCCGTGTATGGCACGTTTGTTGGGTCATTGATCGAGGCGCGAGTGAACTCCCATCTATACATTGTAGGGTTAGATAGGTAGATAACGAATAGACATATGTACTTGGGGGAGAGATCGTCTTCGGAATGACAAGGAGCTTGCCG